AAATCTCACTTTAACTAATATTGGTTGTAATTGATATTGTACATTTGGTACTTCAGATATCTGAGGAGGAGGTTGAGACATTTTCGCAGAGAAATATTTCCATTTCTCCTGCATCTTAAACACAAATAATAGTCAATCAAACCTCAACACCTCCACTTTATCCTAAATGCTTCATATTACAAGTAATAAAACTAATAATAAATTTGAAAATAAAACATACTTGCTCTAAAAAACAGTCCTCGGAAGGTGCTGGCCATCTATGTTGTGGGAGTTTGGATGGTAACGGAGTAGATTGCAATCCATATTCTTGTGATTCACCTGATGCACAATCAAATACATAATTAACAATTGGTTCTTCTTGTACTGTTTGTCGTAATACATGATCTCCACTTGGTTCATTTTCATTTAACTGTTGTTGATGCTCCTAAAAGGGTTACACAAAGAGTACCATTTATTATTTAATGTATCTATACAATTTTTTTCCAATTCCCTATAATTTACTGTATGTATTCATTTTTACCTATTTATTGTATTTATCATAAAATAAATAATATAATTAACATTTATGTTTGATATTAACATAATATTCTTACTTGCAAATGACTACCACTGTTATTCAACACTGTATTGTTTGTGCTGGAAACAGGTACATTTCCTGCGCCTAACCACTTCATTTGAAATTGTATAAATCTGAAATTAATAATAATTTTTAATATAACATAATAATAAATAATACATTATTTCAAATGAAAATGAATAACCAACCTAGTCTACCTATATAATATGAATTTGATTTAAATTAAATTAAATAATGCACAGACAATTATTAGTTGTCACTTCTGAATTATTTATTTGCCCGTACCTTTAATGCAAGAGCTTAATTTATGGGGTACTGAGGAAGATGAAGCCCTACCCACCCTCTAAATATTAGGAAATAGTTGTTTTAATCAAAGTAATATAGGCTAAATCCTGAGTTGATAAGAGTGTATTTATGAAAAAAAAAAAAAGCTAGTATATTCTTCCTAGTTCCCTCTACACCTGTTTTGAAGTAATAATAAACAATTTTTAAACCAATATTAAATATTTTTAAATAATAAAGTAAATTACAAGTTTACCTGACACGACAATACTTTTTTTTCTTGTTAAACTATTTTGCTTTAAATCTTAAAATATTATGTTATGTATAATTTAAAATGTATTCAAAAATTATAATTTATATTTATATTTGACAAGATTATATTATCTATTGTGATTTTTTTTTGATTGACATGTAACATAGTATTATAGTTTTTTAATTAAATTGAATGTTTACATGATTTTTAATTTTAGTCCATTTTAATATTTATTGGATGTTTAAAATTTGCGCAATAATGGTGTAATATACGTAGAAAACTAAGTATTTTCCTTAAAATAAATACTTTTTTTTTAATACATTGTGTAAACCTATGCTACCTATGATAAAATTCTTAGGAATACCTAGTTATAATAGTAACCATAATACAATCTCCAAAAAAAAAAAAAAATAGATAAAGTGAATAATATAAATTCTAAAAATGATCTAAGTAAATTCTGATAAAAATACAATAATCTTTAGTGTACACCTACTCATTTTACATAAAATATACACCATATCTATACAATTTCAAAAATGTTTTAATCTTTAGTTATCAGAATTTAAAAAAAGAAAAAATTTACTTCTTCCATTGATTTGATAACCAACTACTTAGTGATTGGTCATAAAACTTGTTTTAATCTATCCTTAAAATGTTAAATTATCTCTAAGTTAGACCTTATATACTACTAATGAGCATAAACATAATAACAATAAGGATAATTTTAAGTTTTTATTGTCAATAATTATACTGATACATAAACAACAATTAACTATTGATATTAATAGTAAAAAATGAAAATTACCAAAACATTTTTATAAGTATAAAATCTTTAAATTTTTTAGAATGCCCAATCTAGGTACTAATGTTTTGAAACAAAAAAAAATATTTTATTTTTAATAAATAGTTATGCATGGCAAAATGTATAGAAACCATAATAAATGTATTTATATAATACAATTAGACTCAAAACTATGTGTATTTAATAATAATAATAACCATGGCTAGGAACCACAATCATAGTATTTGTAATGACGCTAAAAACAAAAAAATATACAAAACAGTTAACAACTGTTTCATTAATGAACATTTTATCTCCACCATATTGACCATAGGATATTTAGTCCCTGATATTATTTTACACTCCCAATTAAATTTAAATAATACAACAATATAATGTTTATACTTTTATTATAAATTCACTATAATTAGTTAAGCTTAAGTTAGGTAATATTTTCAATTTCAAAAAATTTACTGTTACAATTGATATGATTTGCATTTTATTATTTGTGACATCTTAACCAACAGTCTTAACCAACAAAACTACCACTTGTGCATATTTTTATCGCGAATAACAGAGGACAAAAATACTATATTCAATGTTTAATAATTTCTGAGGACTTGATGCCCTATGGTTGGAGACAAATACCCATTAATTTTTTCACAGGAATGAAAATTGTCCTGAATTTATACAAAATATTATTTAAATACACCAATAAGTAATCATATTAAGGGCCGTTCTTACCAACATAAAAAAAGGGGTTTATCTGAATCTTAAACTGATTTTATGGCTAATAGCTGACCATGATTAGTCGATTATCTTAAAAACAAAGTTTAAAAATCAACATTGGTGAGAACAGGTCTAAATCAGTAATTATAATTCATTAATTGCATATCTATATAATTATTGATAAGGTGTTATCAAGACAAATGTCAAGGAATTTAATTGTACCTAGTACATAGTATTATTAAAAAAATATAATATATAGATATATATACCAAAATAAAAACTAAAATTTTGGAACACATAATAGTTCGCATGGCAATTTAATTACTATTTATACTGTTTATACATTAACTAGGGATATTTTTATTTTACACTTTTAATACATAGAAATATTTCTATAATTCATAATAAAATTGATATAGATGAACAATGAAACATTTTCCTAGAGAATAAATTCAATTTCAAATAAAATTAGGCATAAAAACCAAACCCCAAATACAATACTAAATACTTATCCTAACATTATCTTTCAAAAAAATTTTGCTATATTGATAAATGTTTATTTTGTTTTAGTACATTGTTGTACCTATTCTAAATTTAAAAACTATAGTTAATATATAGTAAATATGCTAAAATATTTTTTACTTCAATATACTAGTTTTTGAAAAATAAAAAATTAACTAGGTAGTCACAAAAACAAGTAGTTTAAATTCAAAGGTTAAGAATGAAAATTAAATCAAAATATTAAAACACTTTATTAAATCCTATCATAATATGCACAACCGATTCTTTTTTTGAATCTTCCTCCTATCATCTTATCAATTATTTCATATATCACACTGGTTTTGTAATTTAATTTTTTTTTTTTATTATGTTAACCATCATTTCCTAACTGATTATTTATTGTTTTAACTAATTATTTTTACATAGTTTCAATGTAAAAAAAAACATCCTATCATATTATAAATACAAATTTTAAATAACATTCTTCTTCTTCACCTTTATCCTAACTATTTGGGGTCAGCCACCTTAGTTCAAAACTTCCACACATTTTACATATTATATTTTAATATTTAATACTAATAAATAGTTGTATTTATCACAAGGATTTTATTGTTATCGCATTATATTTTATTATGTATGTTAATGAACATTTTATGATATTAAAGAATAAATTATCAATTAGGCAGTGTTCAATAAAGGTGTCAACACACAAATTCTTTATAATTAGTTTTCACATAATATATCAATTATCGGAAAGAAAAAATGTAAATAAAATAAATTCTATTTGTTGGAACAAAACTAAAGGGTGCAATTAATCCAATCATAAAAAAATAAAATAAGAACCGTATGTACCTACAAACGGTAAGCTACAATGTGCATAAGAAATACACACATAATGGTCTAATTTAGACAATATGCTAATGATAAGACTGAAAACAAATCTTTCTTCGGTCGACTCACTTGTAACAATAATCGGCGGACGTTGAATGATAGACCAATGGATTTTTATGGAAAATATTCAACAATAATTCAGAAAGTGGTGATGTTTTGTATTTTATACTGTATGTTAATTACCAATAATAGTTTAGGTATTGGCTTACCGTTCGGTCTTTTTGTTTTTGTCTTAACAATTATTATACACGGTACCTCTGAATCGTACAGCCGGCACACAACACACAAATTCACACGCGTGCACACTGACACACAGAACGAACGAAACTTTGCTTTACAATAATATTATACAACACGAAATATTTTTACATTTAAACATACAATATATAGATATATATATATATATATTTATATATATATATATATTTATTTAAATAATATATACATACATTTATTTTTTATTTTTATTTTTTTTACGTTATGATATAATATTTACAAATAACGCGGCCTCCGTCGGGAGGTTTTGTACACCATTGAATTACATTAGACAAGGATAGGCGATATCGGTATCGGTAACCTCACTCCGTCGCACGCGCGCACGCTCTCACACAAGCTCAAACTATCTCGCTCCACCTCTTTGTAGAGCCGGTGCCTAATCTTTCTCTCTCGAACACTTGTGCATACACATTATAAACTGCTCACTGCGACTACCCGTCGGCCAAACACCATTGACACGGCGCAGCTGTTCGAGGGCACACATTAGCTGATAATGGTGCGGCCGCTACAGCGATTACTGATACGGTGTTGCCGGTGGTCACAATCACACTATCCAATAAATCGCACCAATGATAACAACACCACCATTGCACGGATGGGATGAGGTCAGTTCAGCCTCGTTATCAGAATTCGGCCCCGTGATAAGAAATTGCAGCTGATAACCGAAATTAAAAGTTCGATCTCTAACCTCAAATTAAAAAAAAATACTAATAATTACCGACCATCAGGTATTGTAAATAGTTCAAGTAAGAATGTGAAGTTAATGAATTTCTCACACTGTTCCTGGACAAGGTAAGTTATTTATCCATAATCTATCCTTCGGACAAAATATTCTTACTTCTGAATTTGGTAATAGATTAATTCATTCTAAAATTAAGTATAAATTATATCCAAAAATTATTAACTCGACCAATAGCCATATAAATGCAATATAATATATAATTTATTTTTCTTTATTATCAATTTTTATTTATTTTGTGATACTCTTAAAAATTTAAACCTGTACAAAAACTGCTTTTAATACTTAATACTTGGATATAATATTATTTTTGTGATAATAGCATAATTAAATGGGAATTTTTATATTTCAAAGTTGATACTCGTGCATTTTCGGACGGTCCCGATTTCAGCGTTTATAAGCTTATTCTATGAGATACATCTGGCTGTTATCTCGCGGGGTCGAACTGCACGATGCACTTGCACGAATCCAACAAATCCGACGCTACACCATAATTCCCCTCTCATTCTACAGCTAATACTACACGGTGCAGAAAATCCATAGATAATAAAAATGGATAAACCATTTAACAACTAACCATACCATATCAGTGTTTCAAGGACGGATATAGTACTACCAGTGGCGCACACCGGAGGGGTGAGTGGAGTCTGTGGTAACAACTAACACTTCTCAGAAAATTGGTGGGTGCCTGGTGCCAGGTGAGTTAAGATGATATTTTTATGTAAATTTGTTTAATATAAATAGTATTAATTTGTAATTGAGTGTTATGTCTAAACTCATTTGAGTGATGGGGTGAGTGGGTTGGTTCCTAGATATTTATATTTTTGACATCCCTGTGAAAAATGTACTGTGCGCCACTCAATAATTACTGTAGTTACTCCAAGATTCTTAATTCATTAGCTGTGATGGCATCCGCGGCGGTGGCGTCACTGATGGCACCATAAGGTATTAAAGGAACATCGTTTTAAGCAGTGTTATCATGAAATCTATAATAATAAATATAACTATTATCGGCTATCGCCATAAAAAAATGAGATAGCAACTTATTTAGTCCACCCTTAAATCATATAGATTACGAATTAAAATAATTTATCTGTGATGGCATCGGTATTGTTCTTTTTTAAATCCGAAAATCTCTGATGACATCAAAGCATAAATAAATAAAATACTAAATACCTAGATAGCAAACTCGTATCTATTATTGAAGTCGGACGACATCTACAGGTTGGGCAAATACGATAGTGAATTATTAATATTAAACTGCTGTTATTTTTATGATTGTGTCCATCATACAAGCGTTTAGAGACAGAAATGCTGTCAGATTGCCGACTACTACGTTATCATACAACCAAGGTGGATTAATAATTAATGTTAATCCACTCAGCATACAACCACTGTTATTATCACTTACAGCTTATTACCACTATTGTACTCGTCATTACTTTTTTACAATTTAACTTATATTTTTACGATTTTAAACTTATCGACATAAGTAAATTATTGTTAATTGTTTTACTATTAAAATAGACTGTTGTTTATGTGATTCGTTATGTTCATTGTGTATGTTTAGTAAATATATTACGAACTATTTGATTTTCAAACCAAAGTCAGAGTATTTAAATAAGTTTAAAAATCAAACAGTCACAATTTGGCACAAAAGCAAGAAGTAGCAATCACTGTTCTTTTCGCAGCTACTTTTTCAGTAGCAGTTACAGTTACATCCTGCTACTGAGAAAAAATGACAGTTAGCGCCATCCTTACTCTAGTCAGACGTTTGTTCCATTCTGAGATAATAAAAAATCGATAATAATTATATCGTTGTCCTATTTTTCTATCGTTTTTGTCCTACCTGTAAATTGTTGACGACTTCAAAATGTTGTCAATCCAGTATACAGGGTTTGCTATCTAATTATTTTATATATCTATACCTCAAAGGTGGCTTTATCACTCAAACCATTCTTCTTGATGACATTTTATTTAATTTAGAGCATTTCCTTGTCGCTCTAGATTTTATAATGCAGCTATGTAAAATTCATTCATTATTACCAAAAAATATTTTAATGTTTTAGATTATGTTAATATTAAGAATAATCCAATTAATAAAAAGATAACAAGTGAGCTGTAATTAAGTAGGTACTAAATAAAAACCAATATTTTTAGCCGTATATGTGCATACTTATTTACATTATGATGAAATAACCGTGATAATCAAATTCACCAGTATAATGCCTAGGGAAAATGTATCAAAAATGAATTTCAGAATATCAAAATACAATAATTATTTGTGTGATAATTCAAGAATTGGGCCCCAGATTGAATGTTAAGCGCGGCTATAGATACTAATATGTTACAGCTGTTATTTATACTAAAACGTAGAATGCTCTTTATCACATAATCTAAACAATTATTTGATAATGTATGTTAACCTGATAATATATAAATGTATTATATTATATTAAATTAAATTATAATATAAATATAAAATCGGTATTCAATTTAATGAACATATTAAAATATAAAACGAAAAAAAAAACGTTATGGTAAAAATATGTTGATAGCACCACATAATTTTAAAATATTACATTGCCATCGTCTACGGTGGTTTTCAATCTGTGGGTCTCGGCCCCAAAGGGGTCACCAAAAACCATGGTATCATATTTATATTGGCATCATATTATTCAGTTCTATTAAACGATTTTTAAGGGGACGTCATGAATGAATAAAAAAATAAATATTCATCTTATAACAATATCTGGGGGAGTCGTGATTCGTAAATAGATCACTGGTCTAGCAAACCGACCATTTTGTTGATTGATGATCTGTTGCATCGAGAAGCAAATATTCCGATTAGTAATCAGATTAATCGAATTTAATGAAGAACACACGGAATATTAAATTATTATTATTATTATTATAGATTTAGATTTCATGATAAAAATCTTTAAAACAATATTTTTTTAATATTTCATCGTAACATCAGTGATACCACTGCCAATACTATCACAGATGAATTAAAGAACACATGGATTTTAAAATGTATAATCTTTATTTTTTGTTATTATCAGATTTATTGTTATCAAAATCGAGAGTATTGTACCCGCCCTTCAGTTAACTACTGAACTGAATGAAAAGAGATATCACATTGTAGAAACAATATTTCCATCAACATCTTCATTCTTCAATATTTTTCGTCCTTACGCTTAACTTTCTAGATGATAGTATTTCATCTATTCTGTGGCACTTAACAAAGAAAAAAGATAATTGCAGTAAGTTTTCTTTTATTGAATTTTCGTACTTAAATGTAGTAGTATATCTATATATTATGACGTATTCGTTTTTATGTTAAATTCTAAATTTAGTTCCTGTGTAGGTACTAAAGTTAAATAAAATAATTTACTACTTAAACAACAACAACTTGTTCTATTAGTTAGTTAATAGTTATGCCCCAACGAGATTTATCATGCTTCTATAATAAGTTAATACTATAATACATTAAATAAATTTCTCTGACTGTAGTTTAGAAAACAAAGCACATTGTATTTCATTAATTTTGATTTATTTTAATTATTTGATCGTAAATAATTATTATGGTTTTTTATTTTAATTACAGTTAACTAAATTTCTGTAGACAAATTCATATTCTGTTCAAAAATCAAACTAAAAAAAACTTATTTTAATTTAGCTCTATTTATCTAACTTATAGTTGAATAATATTCATTAATTGTGGAAATATTATTTTCATAAATTACATTTTCATCGTGTGTATCAGCGGAGCTCGTGAGATCAACTTTTGTTTTTTTTAATTTTAATTTTAATTTCAACAAAAAATTTAATATCTTATTTGTTTAACTAATTTTTTTTAGTATATAGGGGGATAAAATTAAAATCTATATTCAGAATATGTATAGATTAAATTAGACCAATTGGTTTATTGGAATTAGAACATGTCTAAATTCCTGTTACATGAGTGTAAGACAAAGACAGAAAATCAGAACTTCCAATCCCCTTTATAAACTCTTTTAATATTGTATTTTCTGTTTGCCCAAATTAGAAATTTATATTGGTATAACTTAATTAATTTATGTTACAGGTTGTATGTGAATTATGGGAAAAGTTGGTAAAAAAAAGAATCTTAAGACTGTATCATTCCTCAAGAAAAATAACAGTTCTCGTAAACAAAAAAAGAGGCGTTCCAAAACCTTTAATCGTAAGAATTCTGTGAAGAAAAGAGTAGTAATGAAAGCTATAAAAAATTCTCATAATAAGAAATACAAAAAAAAGCCAATACCAAATACAAATTTAAATATTGATACTGAAGTTATTGAAATTGAAGATAATTCAATATGTGTTGATACTTCTTCTGAAATAAGTGTTATACCAAATAACAATAATACAACTATTATAGATATTACTGATATTTCTGATGAAGTTTATGACTGCCACAGAATACCTTCTAAAATCAAAACTCAAAATATTAAATGTGATGATGTAATAGATATTACTGACACAACCATAAATGAAAATAGTCAATCAATTATTGAATGCATATCTAGTGACGACAATGATACTGAAACATTGGAATGTTTGAAACCTACCAGTGTTGAAAATAAACATATTCATCTTATAACAATATCTGATGATAGTGATGAAGAAAAAATAGAACAACAACCAACTATTATAAAACCAACACAATTTGTATCTATAAAAAAAAGTCTGGAATCTGCTACTGATCCAATAAACAAATTAAAAAAAAAATACATTAGTCCTTTACCTTTACGTAACCGTAAGAAAACAAAGATTAATGAGGACTTAAATTTTAACTTTGGTGCCTTTATAATTGATAAACAAAGAATTCCTGATCAACTTCAAAATTATATTCAAATTGAAAAAAAACGGCAACCCTCACTAAAAAAAATTAACTTGGCCAATAGAAAATTAAGACCAATTGCCATTGATGGTCTAAATATTGGATATAAGTGAGTTTTTTAAATTTCTCATTAATTTCACTATAATAATATGTATACTGAAATGTATTAACATGATATTTCAAAAGATTTAATTCTAATAAAAATATATATTGAACAATTTAGATATATATATTTAAAATTGTATAATTATTTATTTATTTGTAGACATGGTGGTGGTGGAACTTTTTCACCAAAGGGCATTGAATTATGTGTAGAATTTTTTACTAAACGAGGACATAAAGACATCTTAGCTTTCCTCCCAGAACATCGACAAGGACCACCTGGTAGTGATATGCATACTATCATAAATAAATTGGACAAAAAGGGTCATATCTGTTTTACACCTAGCAGAAAAGTGCAAAACAAACGTATGACATGTTATGATGATCGGTAATGTTAAACTTATTCACTAATTAATTCTATTAAAATTATTTTTAGTACAAAATTGTTACATTTAAAAAAAAAAATAGCCTAATGTTTGTCATACACACGTCACTTAGAGTTCTGTAGTTAAATATTTTAATATTATTTATTCAATATTAACAAAGCTACTGTTTATTCAAAATAATTTCCATTGGATATGTTTATTAAATGCTATTCTGTTACATGTATTAAGAATTTTTAATTATACAGTTAGAAAGTTAGAGGAGTTTACATATAATTATATATTATCTACTTCAGAAGCTTATATGTCTTGAAATATTTATCTGTAAAAAATATCTTATAAATACATTAAACAGATTTATAAATGTTTTATGGTATTCTTAATTATCTTTCCAATAATACTCCACATGATTGGGTGGGTGAAAAAAAAAAATTTGCATTCCTCAGTTGTATGTGTAAACAATTCTACTTCTGATCTATGATTATTATTATTTTATTTTTTTTACTGTATAATTGTATAGTTCATATGTGACATCTTTCTGTAGAATTTCATCTTTAGTAATATATAAATTGCGGAATTGCAATGATTGGCCAACAGACATGAAAAAATAATTAAGGTTTGAGGTTTGCTATTTTTACTATAGAACCCTAATAAATAGTAACCATTCTAACGTACTATCATTAGTTCATAAAATTATTGAATCAAACCTATGTACTTTACATAAAAAAAATGTGCAATATTTCAAATTAATAACTAAGGATAGCATATCAAAACAAAATATCTTTATTAGTAATTGGTTCTAGTCTTAAATCGTTATAAATATACTATTAAATTAATATGGTATGATACAAAGTACCTAATTTAGATAGATTTGTTAATTTATAGTATAAATTCATACAATCTTTTGATTCATATGGTATGAGAAAGTATCTATCCTTAAAAAAAAAATCACCACTCACTTGAACCGACTAATGTGTAAACTATACTACCAATATTGCTCATATAGACGTAGACCATAAACTATTTCCATTAATAGGTACAAGTTTTGTTTTAAACCTCATTACTCTAATATTGCTATTTTTATCTATTAAAAAAAATTTAATATTTGCAATAAAATGTACAAACAAATTTAAAAAAATGATTCGATACTAGTAATTACTTATTAATATGAATAAAGTATCAATATAAAAAGTACTTATATCAAAAGAAAAATAATGATACTTTACTGATATCGGTAGTATCATAACTAGTAATAACTCCCCGCTCAGTTGAAATCTAAAATATTAATATTATTCATATATTTATAGTATTAAAATTGTTAAAAGATATTTTGCTATACTAATTTTTCAATTTAAAAAAATTAATTTACACGTTTTTTTTTTCTACATAGGATAATACTTGATTATGCTAACAAGTGTGGTGCTGTAGTTATATCAAATGACTACTATAGAGACCTGTATGATGAAAATGAAGAGTTTAAACACATTATCGAAAATAGGTAAAGTATAAAATTGACTTAATTCGGGTGAAAAAAATAATGTTTGAATTTCAATATTTTTGATTTGCTTAAATTAAGGTATAAGACATAAAATTTAATATCAGGCTAATTCTAAAGTTTCAAATCATTTTTATTCTTGTATACTTCATCATATTTTTATCTATAATGATAATTCTAACAACATATTACGTCATTAAATAAGTTATAAAATTAAAACTAAATATCAAAAAAAAAAAAATGGGCTTGTACATGGAGTGAGTAAGTTTTGAAAAGTAGACAGTTGCAACTTGTAAAATATAATGTAATAAACTAAGCAAAAAACAGTAAATATACTATATGAAAACAAGACAAATACTGCTATAAATTAACATTATTTAAATCTAAGCTACACAAATAATTACATCAATTTAATTTCAAATCTATTAATATCAATATTTAATCCTTCATAAATCAACTCCTGTATAAACCGTATTGAATTTTCCAAATGTATTATATTTTAGGCAATTTAAATTATTTAATGTTTTTATTCAGGTATTGTAAACATACTGTAGTTTAAATATTGTTATATCAAATTTAAAATATTTAAGATTACTTTTTTACAAAAAAAAAACTAAATTTAATACTCCAAAATCAGTAAACATGTTAGTTGTAGGATATAATTTAGGCTTATGCAAAATTATTTTAATTATTAATGCATTTGATTTTTAAAAATATAAAAAATATTGAGAATTAAAGAAGTTATATGCTACTTACGATTTGTTTATTTAAAATGCCATCAAATATAACTCCAAAATACTTAATTAAATTAATGTTTTTAATATTTAAGCATGTACAATTAAATGACACTAAGCAATCAAAATTATTAATCAAACATTTTTTTAAATCTAAAAATTATTTTTATTATTATCCAAACTAGTTTAAATTTAATCAGAAAAAGATATTACAGCATCTGTAATAGATCTTCCTGGCCTAAAACCAAATTGGTTGCTCAAAAAAAATTGTTTTTATTAGACGTAAATAATGCATCTTCTATCTGAGTCATTTTTCATACAAAATTAGTGTTAATTGTTTATTTTGTTTTATAAATCATTAGGCAAGTAATGATTACATTTGCCAGAGATGAAATTCTTGTTCCTGAAGATCAATACAATCATTACAATCGTCAAAATGGCATGAATGATATTCGATGTCTTTCAGATATTTTGTCTTTTCCTGCATAAATACAAGTATATTGTTAATTTGTTACAATAATTAAATAATTAAGCTCATAAATGTATTATGCATGTAATTTATTTTTATTTTTTTATTTTTATGTTTTTTTTTTGGTACCTTATCTAGTTGCCCAACATGTTTATTAACAATAAGCACATATTTAATTTATTATAAAGACTGATATCATTTGTTTAAAATTTAAAAAACAACTTAAACATACATACTAAACAATAATTTCTTTGTGCCTGTCATACCTACTATGTAATGAATTATTTTTCTTCTCGTTTTATAAAAATGTACATGTAGAACATTTGTTAGTCAATCTAATTAATGATCATTAAATATTAAAACATAATATGAATCTAATAAAATTAAAATAAATTTGTTTATTTGTTGTTTACATGTATTGTAAAACCAAATATAGTTTAAAATAATTTAAAAAAAAAAAAACAAGTATTTTACAAGCAAATGGCAAATGTTAACACATCGTCACAACACTCCTCAAGTAGAAAGTTACAGGATATAGTACTTACTATAATAGGCATAGTTAATATTATGGATACACAGTTATTAAGTTTATAATGCAAAAAGCAACAATAAATCATTGCAACAAAAAAAAATAATCTGAGCAGAGCTCTGAAACCAATAAGTTTATGTAATTTAAATTTTTCCTTGTACCTAATCAAAGTAATCTATAATTCAACATAATATATCATCATTTTGTTATTAGTATTTAGTAATTTAAATGTATACAACAATTTTTAGAAGTACTCCTAGGAAAAATTTGGCATAACAAGGCACAATAAATGATATATTTATCAAAATTAAATCATATAATACAATAGTGATAATTTTACAAATATTTATAATTTATACCTATTTATTATCTAAACACCTTTTTTTCCAATTGCTTTTTTCAATTTTCATTGGACGACTACCAACATATTTTCCTGAAATCATCAAAACATTTTTTTTTTTTTAAAACAGTTGAGTATTTATATACATAATTTGTATTTAATATAAACTATAAAGGAAAGTTAAACTGAATTATGAATACCTACATGTGTAGGGCAAGGACATGCCTAAAATTATTTGTTTAAAGCAGGTAGATTATTTTGAATAAAAATCTTATATATTGTTTTTAAACTTGTTAAAACTGCAGAAGGTTCAATTTACATCCACCACCTCATAGGCACGTCACAATGTGTAGGTAACTAAGTAACTATCTATATTACTAGTACTTATAACTATAAGTAGTTAATTACAATTCAGTGGCGTACACAGATGTCTCCAACGGTGAATTACATTAAAACAATTATATATGTTATATTAATATTTATTATAGGTTCGTACCTAGGTAGAGTAAAAAATACCAATGGGGGGTTAATCATTCCCTCCCCGTTTTTCACACCACTGTTACAGTTTGATTCAATGTAAGAAAAGAGGAATAAAATAGGTTTACACATGATAAAATAAAGTTATTTTGTCATGAAAATAATTATCAAATATATTTCTCATCTAACACATTGAGATTACAATTCATTAACACCTTTTTGTATCAATGTTATAACGGCATGTCCAACGTAAATCCGTCAAACGTGATGAATGCTATATGTTGATAGTCTATATTAAATTCTAATTGCGTCTGATATTAAAAACAAACCTCTATACATGATGCAACCTATCCAATTTATGATAGTGATTGCATCCGACGTCGCATCATGCGAATAAGTAGATATTAAATATTTCTACCAAACATAAACTTTCATTTTTTGATTTTCCAAGGTGTTTCCAAAATAATTGTGAAAAACGGGAAAATTACACGAAATTTATTATTTTCAATAAATATGAAGTGGAGCGGAGAATGTTTTGGTTTTACAATGTTTTTTTATTTATGAATATTTTTTTTACTATCAATTTCGCTCCGATTTACAATGAAAGCGCTTTTCTTGAAAGAATATTTGACGTTGGTGGTCCTTACGGAGGTCATTTTTTTGATTTTCCCAGAAGATTTCCGAATATATGTAAAAAACCGAAAAAAATCACGGGAAAACATGTACAATATTAAACAAATATTTTTAAAGAAATTATGCAAATTATTTCGCCATATATGGTATATATATTGTTAAAAAATGAACACTATCAACCGAACTCCGCTCAGAATCGTTTTTCGTTAGCAATGATTAATCGTTGCGTACAGTGTACATTAAATTCCTTTCTATATCCTACCTTCCCTACTTCTCACCTAACAGTAGCCCACCCATCGTGCAAATTTTTTTTTTTTATGTACTTTTACTTTACAAAAAGTATTTTATACCTATGCTTTCTACGAGTATATTTTGTTGTACCATATGTGTAAATATTATAAAAAAAACAAGAGTCCTTCGCGTTTATTGTGAACCACAGTCTAGATCAATGGCTCTAATCCTTTTTGACACTATGGATTACCAATTTCAATAGGTCTCGGACAACTTCGATTTGCTGATGAGTTTTTTTTTACATAAAAAAATTTTCGTTTTTAACTTAATAAAATTTTCCTGGATATCATCAAGTAACATCGACTTTAACAATAAAATGGTTGGGTTGAATTCGTCAAACCTTCGAATCATACTTCGAAATCGTTAGGTACCGATAAGTATCCAAATACCTATTGGTTCTATACTATTATATTCTGGGAAATATCGATTAAATTCGTCTTTAAGTTTTTTCGATGGTGTAAAACGTTGTGCTGGATCTTAATTGTGTGGTCAGATGGTATGTTTCACGGACCTACGGTGGTCTAGTATAGGGTAGATAAATAGGTATCGTACTCATCGAACGCAATTTGAATTTACGCTGGATACGTACAATGCGTAATTATTATGATTTTATTTATTTATAATATTTAAGTTAAATATATTTTTCTCTTTGTTCTACTGCAAACAAAACTATTTTGTTATGTATGTAACCGTATATAAAAAATAAATAAAAGTATTTAATTATAATTATAACTACTATAATAGGTTCAGGTACAAGTTCTTAGAAGTACTGTAATTATAAGTTGTTTTGATATTAATGTACATAAAACTGTCACAAAGGAAAGACGGGTTCAATATCACCTCGTTGGATGAAACAAACTTTTCAATTTTTCAGTTTCATGTGAAATTTTTGTTAAGGACAAATTAGAGCTTATTTTTGTGTATAATACCAAATCTGTCATGTGTAGTACGAAATTATAAAATGTTTAATGTTTTACAAAAATTTTTCTAAACTATGTTTTATTATAATATTTTTTAATTGTTTAACAAATGTAGAATAAGTATATCAAAGAGATTTGATCAAATACAAAGTATTTTAAAATTGGTTATTTATTATAGTGATGTTTTAACACTTGTTATCTGTATGCTTGTTATAATTAGTTTACTGACTTTTAAAAAGGAATTAAAACTTAGGAACGTTATGATTATTTAAACAAATTTGTTGAACGAATAATGTATAAATAAAGTGCAATTTAGTTGATATTATGTAATTTTTTTTTTTTTAAGTTTATGTCTTACATTACCCATATATTTCTCTTTGATAAAATTTAAACCTGGAAATATTTGTTTAAAAAAATATTGTAAACAACTATAAATGGTAGAAAAATGAGTGAAATAACTGTATTTAAGGGTATGGGGGCAAATTTTATTTTGTGACCATGAATTTATAATCTAAACCAAATAATGTGTAATACGAAATATTACAAAAAAAATGGGCCCTGGGGCAAATGGAATACAAGATATGTTCTTAATACTATCCGCCTCTCCAAAACCGATTAGTAAGTTATACATAATCAGAAGAATACAAAGATACAGATTTGATAATACTATATATAACCGGGTAAACTAAAAAACAAAAAATTGAAATATTGAAAAATGATTTACCATATCTTTGCATATACAATCTTGCTTAAGTTAGGAAATAGTTTTAAAATGGAAATAAGGAGGTACATAGGTATATTTCCTCCTAAAGAGAAACAAAGGAATATACTTTAACTACCAACAGAAAATATAAAGGTACAGTTATTATTTCGCCAAGTATTGTATATTTTTTTCAACCCGTTATCGAACTTTAGTTGGTTAGGTTGAGTGTAGAATTTTGAAACATTCAAACGCCGAGTGCCTACATAAACGATAATCCACTACATTCCCTTCCACGTAAGTGTAATGTCTCGATAACAAATTGATGGAAATTACAAACTTAAACATTGAAATTTATTTTAACTAATTTTTAACATAGTTTGCTATTTGAAAATAAAAATTAGGTACTAAGTAGTAATTTCATTCTCAATAGGTCACCCTGTGTTTATATTGAAGAGCCTGGGACTGTGTTTTTTTTGAGTTATCATACATTAATTATTATCTTTGACTAGTTGAATTTTCGTAATTTGCATTTAAAATGCCGAATTTATGTGTCAAATTTAGACAATTCATAGTCATTTTATTAATTTCCGAAGTTAAAATGAATGTTGCCTTTGGTTTAAGAACCCAAATGTTACAAAAGTGAACCGAACTTATGTTCATTATAGCTTAACGATATGTGAATTCACGCGGAAATATTAATCCAAAGAGTTAATCAAAACATTGAAATAATTATAACTCACATAATTTCCTTGAAAATATTTCTACATTTTTTAAGAGCTAAGAAATTTTCTTGATATTCCTAATTTAAGAATGGTTGATCAGTAGTTCAATCAATGTATGAAAAAATTCTATTAGTTTTAGCTTTTAAAAATGTATTAGAACCATTAAATATAACGCATAAATTACTTATTATGGTAATTTAAATATCAATAATCAATAGTTTTACACTTTATGGGACACTATATATGGTCAAATCATTATAGGTACACCAGGAAATTTATAGTGGGTATTTAGGTACCTAACTACCTACTACCAATATTTGTTTATAAGTTCATAATCATTGGTACTTTGTGTGAATATATATTACCTACCGTTTAATTCTTTAATAGCTCGCAAATAGTCTGCCGAATTTCCAAATGATACGAATCCGTAACAACCACGTGACATACTTGTTCGGCGATTTTTTACTACATGGGCTTTAATAAATGAAGAATACTGCATAAATGGTACACTCAACGAATGATCATTGACTTCTCTTCCCAAATTTCCCACAAATAAACGAAAATCATCTGTATGTATGTATTGTAAAAGGTATACTACATAATTAAATATTATCTGAAGAGAAACATTACCAATATTGGTAATTAAAAAAAAATACTTTATTTGAGAGACTAAATCAATCATTAAAAGAAAATTAAACTAATTTTTATTTTATATCGTATAGGTACCTGCCTACCTCTATTAATTATACTTACAACTTACCTATGTTCAGGTATATATATAATGGTAAACAGGTTAATATATAGGTACAAAATTGATTCCCGAGCTTATACCCCATACATCGAATTGGTTCTCGTTTATTACCTATATATTCAGTGGCGGATTGTGCCACCGCAAGACCGGGAAGTCTCCCTATGGGCAGGAGCCCAGTCGTGGCTCTAAGACCGGCCCTATTATTATAAAACTAATTTTATACTTAAAATTGTTCTTTTTATTTTTAAGAATATTATTTTTCGACACAAATATTTTTTATTACCTATGACGTATTATATAAGGTGGTATTGTGCACACTGCATAATAAGGAGAAAAACGATTACGATTTAAAGATAATATGATATCCTGACGACTATGATAAGGTGGTTAAATGTGTCGTGTCCACCGATATATATACATAAAATAAATAATTGGTCGGTGAAACAAAATTCCCCCGGGCCAGTTAAATTTCAGAATCCGCCACTGCCTTCATTAATACAATAAATACCTACAATACTTGGAAAATTGTGTGACGGAATCCGATAATGGGACACTTACAGTTACACAGTTCAAATATTTGAAAAAAGTTTGCTTCAAATTATCTCAACCAACAACCTTCATTTTTTATTATTATTATTTTATATAGATAAGTGATGTTACTTGATTACTTGTTCTATTTCAACTTTTAAAACAATTTAAAATGTAGATGGTAATGACTTCATTTTATGCACATTTTAAATCATGCCTACTAACTACTTTACTTCTATGTTGACAGTCCTAACCAACAGGGACGGATCCAGGGGGGACTAGACTCCTCGGACATACTATTTCTTCAATTTTTGTATGAGAATTCTATGAGAAAATAATGTACATAATGTTATGTTATGTTGGGTCCCTCCCACCTCTAGATCTTTGCTCTAGATCCGTGCTTGCTAACCAATTTGACCAGTAGTGAATAACATCACACATTTAGACAGGAACCAAATCGGCAAATCTTCATAAATACCTTTTTTTAAAGGGAATCAATTCAGCACACCCGGTAAATATGATCGACTTGAAAGGAACAGAGTACATGATTGTTCAAAAATTGTACCCATGATATAATAAATTGCTCAAATATGGCGCTGGTTTTTCGCTGTCTCTGATTTGTTTATAATTTTTGACGGTTTTTTGAATTATGCTATTAAGCTAGAGCATAATTTGATATCATGATTTAACTCGCAATATACTGAATACGTAATCATCAACCAATAAAAAATCAGACCAATGTGGCGAAAGATGACTAGCGCCGTATTGGTCTATAAAGTGATGAATGGCGGAAGCGAGAAGAGCAGAGGTATCATTTATTCGGTGATCATACCTAATTTATTATAATACGATTGTACTTAACTCTATTTATATTACGTTAACATAATACAACATAACTTAATTTCCTTTTTCATTGATAGCGCACTTTAGAATGTTTCATAAATTTTCAAACACTTCTTCAACCATTTGTAAGTACAAATTTTATTCAATGTATATTTACTTCATTGAATGTATTTACAATTTATTATAACACGATAAGACACTAATCGTCAATCACAATAATAATATAAGTCATTATCGCATCCAAAATGGTCATGCATGATCCTTCCATATAACAATCGGGATTAAGCTAAAATTCAATTATAAATTATATATAAATAGTATATTTGTTTAAGCTTTAGCCCTATTTTCGTATATGAGATGTTTCTCGTAGGCCCTAAGCACAGTGCCTAATAGTTAATACGGCCTTGACTACAAGTACTTATTGAACCTGTTATACTTTCTAAAATGTACGGATATTATAGATAGTTAGGTACCTATCGATAATTATTTAAAAATTTATAATTTCGAAAAAAAAGTATAAGTTAGTAATGTAAAATAATGGGTTACTAACGATTCGGCCATTGCTTCATAGTTGGGTCATACCAGACTTTTCCACCCCCTTTTCGATAGAATTGCTTTTCTCTTGTGTTATTGTTACACAATGGTATTATGATTTTGGAGGACGATGATGCACATCCTGCAGCAGCAATCGCTACATGTACTTTATTTAATACTTCAGTCGACTTATTTACCAAATATTTCGTTTTTATTCTGAATAATAATACACCAATCAACAATAATTAATTACTATAAAAATGTTGATTAGGTAGTGCAAAAACATAATATAAATAACCCAGTAAACATCGCATGTATAATAAACGTAGACATTTAGTTGATTTTTCATGTAACCATATAGGTACTAAATTTACGCATCTAAACCTAATATAATATTAAATTGCACGTACATAATTTTCGTGTAGGTACCAAAGAGTTTACATTTAATTTTGTACGTAAATGTTCCATCAACTATAGTCTTAAATTATAGTCATTATACAATATACATGTATACATGTATACATATATGATATTATATATGGTTAAACAGTGCAACACCAAAAAAAGTAGAGAAATTGATATTTCTCGGAGATCTATCATCGGATTTCTAACTCAACTCAGGATTACGACAAGGAGATACCTTGTTCCCGACCCTGAGTGGAGGTAGTCGGGAATCAGAATATTAGCCCACGCAGATAATATAGTCATTTTAGATAATACAAGACAAAGATATAGTCCAGACAATGTCTAAACTCGAGGCAGTTAGCAAATCAATGGGTCTATCCGGCCTATGTGTTAACGAGGAAACACTAAATTGACGGTTCTCTCGAAGAGAGACGAAGACCTGGAGCATTATTTAAATTTTTCAATAGGGATGTAATTTTTTTCACTATCAAGCTATTTATATAATATCTTGTTTATTTTGCGGGAATTAAAAAATGTTCGATCGATTTGCTCACTCGTATTCCCACTTTACATTTTAATACTCAAATACCTACTATAAAAAAATATTTCTGTTAAAAAAAAATTAAAAAACTAAATTTCAATATCATACTAGATGTATACTTTACTGTCAATTTGTTTTACATTATAATCACATTGATGATAATACGATAATACTATCTTAATTCGTGAAGCCATGGTGACAATAAACATTCAACGGCTTTACCGGCCAATTGGCAGCGGTTTCAGTTTACATTTTATCAAATTTGTATAACATTTTATGCGGGCCACAAATATTTTTTTTTTAAAAATAGGACTGCCAAATTATAGTCTAAATCCCTCAAATGGTACACCTGACAAAGACCAGCCTGATGTACAAATATGTGAGATTTGACATTTGGAATAGTAGAAAACTTTAAATATCTGGAAGTGAACATAAATAGTAAAAATGATATGAATGAAAGAATAGCACGTTCAGGTAGATAATATGGTAGGTACCTAAGAAAAAGCGATTAGAATGGTTTTGACACGTATGGAGAGCCGAAAACGATCAATTAAAAAGAACCCTTATCGAAACCATTCGTAAGAGTACGGTAGCTCACGAACGAGATAGAATGCAATAGAGAAAGACATGTAAACGGTAGATAAAAATATTTCAATAGAACTAGCATTTGACAAGGTGAGATAGAAAGGTTTGCTTGTGGCAGCTCAGGTCCTACAAGGACCGTTAAGATAAGTATTAAAAAAAAAAATTGGTTTTTATTGCATATAATTTTAAGGGATATAATTAGGAAAACACCTATATAACCTTGGGAGACACTGATAAGGATATTATGGATATTATCTGTTGGAATTTTGACCCTGGTGGGATTTCGACCCAGTCGGAATTTTAAACTTTTCCCTTTACGACCAAAAAAAGTATTAGTTAATGTTAATTAACCGTAGAATATACTTGAATTGTGTGTGTTTGATCCAAAATGATATTAAAATTAAATTAAATATATATATATATACACTAAATATCTACGCACAGTATAAGTACATTAAGTTTATAATATACGTACACGTATTATTATCAATGGTGAATCTAGGGGGTGATAAGAGCCATCACCCCCCCTCCCCCGTTTACTCTCCAATATACTATTAGTTGCGTTTTACATCAAGCATCATTAAGCTCATCATAAATACGTGAAAATGCATTTTCAAAATCAACCCCTCTCCCCCGTTGTCTTGTCCTGGATCCACCCCTGATTATTATAGCCGATAGGTATATTTTATATACATATAATATGTATATAAATATACTATGTATAATTGTTGTTTACTGAGTATTTATAATATATGCTTACACTATACGTTATATCTTCATACTATAATAGGTAGTTTGTATAATAATGCATAATAGGTATTTTATATAGGTATTGGCTTACTTAGAAATAAAAGTTGATGTGCGTTGATGTCGATTCTGTAATAAAGAATCGATTTCTTTAGATACAACATCCAGAGAAGATTTATGTAAATTATAACCATGCAATTTTATTTCGTTAGAACTATTATCATCATTATTGCTTAGGCCAATCATTCCGATATCTTGTTCGAATCTAAATTTTTAAATAATAAAATTAAAAATAGGTGTAAGCATTGATGATTTATTTTAGTATTCACAATGAGTCAGTCGATTTTATTTAGCAGCGTCATTTAAATATTTGCGAGTGTAGGGCATAATAATGAATGGGCTAATAAGTATAAAACTTTTAAGCACATACTAAAACAAAGCCACTTGTTGAGTCCCCCGACTACAGCTTAATATTTTAAATTGTGCTTGACTTGTCTTACCGTAGATTACTGATCAATGATTTTCATCTCATTATTTATTTATTTTTATATATTACGGGCAGAGGTCCGATATTCCAATAAGTTTTAAGATACAATAAATAATAAGTACTATATGGACACAGAAAACTAGAATAATAAAAACAGAGATTACCCCAACTATCATATAATTTATGATTATGATTATGATTTGTATGTGTCATGACCCCTAATGGGTCTTAGACTCTAATGGGTGTTGACCTAGCAGCTGGCTCATGTGGATCCAAAGCAGCCCAAAGCTACTTTAAAATCTAGGATTGGGCAAAGGCATACTCTTTGCCCCCCCCTTAAATGACGGTTATGATTTTACTTTAGTGAAGTTTAAAATATTATTAAAGTATTTATATTTTATAAGATTTAAGAATTCATAATATAGAAACCAATATTTAAAATACCGATTTATAACATTTAAATTCAATAAATAAAATATAAGTGTTATTATAGTTTATATAACTTCATAATGTGTTTTATTTGAAAAATATTAATTTACTTATCCATTTCTTCATCCATCATATACGTTTTATTATTTCAAAATGACTCGATATGGTTCTGTGTAAGAACGTTTATAGAAAATTATTAATTAGATATTAATGACAGGTTTAGCTAATTGTAAAATATTGTATTCAGTTCTCAGAGAAAATATCGCACAAAATGAAAAATAAATAAATTATTAGAAATGTATCATTACATAGAACAATAATTTTTGTCTATGGAATAATATTCCTAGTACCTATATAGTTTTACGTTTTCAAAGAACTTTAAGAGGGCTCATACATAGATTATCAACATATTTCGGATTTGCTCAATTATTATACAAAACTACAAAGAAAATTAAAACGACTATTTTGGTCACTAACTAGATAAAAAATTTAACAAAATCGATATATTGTTATTTTTCGATTGGAGTAATATTTTTGGTAGAAAACTTAAGTAATGAAAACAATGAAAACAGTAACGCCGTGACGTGCCGTAAATATTTTCCGTTTTACTTAAAGTTTTCTTTTCGGGATTTTCCCGATTATTTCGAAAACCCTTTGGAAAATCAAAATATGACCTCTTCAATGCATCAACGAGAGAAAATCACCTTTCAGAAAAGATGCTATATATGGTCTATACTTAGGAGCATGTTTTTTGAAAGAAAAATTGTTGTCCGAAGTTATGACAAATGAGGGGTAACTTCGGACAACTATGTAATATAGGTATGCATTTCAAGTATCTCGTTCACATTTCAGAACGCAGCCCATTACTATAATAGGAGTGGCCTATCCATTCTTATATTACCTAGCTATGATACTGTATAGGTATGGTGACCGGGTATAAAAATCTAAAAATAAATATAATATTTTAAAATTTAGGTCCTCCATTATAAAAAAAAAAAAACCCTTCCTTGAAAGAATTTGCCAATTTGTATAATATTCTACCCATTTTGCCCATAATTCATCTCCATCTATATACATTTTTTTCTATTATCAACTATAAAAACTATAGGTAAAATTATGATAACTGGTGGTTATGATGTCAAAAACATTTTTTTTCGTCGTTCAGCTGTCGCTACAGTTGTCAGTCACTTGCAAATCGTTTGGAATGCATTAGGTCGAACCATAAAATATAAATTAATAACCAAATTATACAAAACCATAAACATGTATTAACTATTAGCCCAAAATATTTTCAAAAAAATTTTATATACCTACAAAACACCATAGTTAAGGACTTAGGATAATGCATCACAAAAGAGTACAATTGTCCTAAGAAAAAGAGTACGTCTGGTCACCATATATATAGGTGTCGTGTTATCTGTGATTTGTAAATTCGTGAATGTTAAAGAGATAACATGATATATTTATGTGTATAGTGTACGTCTGTACATATAATTCCTAATAAATACAAAATGTTTCGAATTATAAAACTTTATTAAATATTCGTTTAATGTAACATAATTAAACTAATTAAAAGTCACAAGAACTAGTATAGTTTTTATAACGAAAAAAAACCTATGTGTTTTACTTATAGTTAACTTTTATTGTAAGCAAAAATATATAATATACCTTTACTTGATATACCTACAGACTTACCTAGCTATTTATATAATTATATATATATATATTATATTGAAATTGTTGAAATGATAAATTAATATAATACAATAGTATTTTACTTTGTTTTCATCATGTATTTGAACAGTTTAAGAATACGTAAGTTATTCGCATCATTCAAGTTTCGCATATGCCTTATAGTTTTTGCTGTATTTATTTTTTGGCTACTAGTTAGAGCCATACACAACAATGTAAATCAGGTAAATAAAAGCTAAATCTATTCAAAATTATAATTTTCATTTAAATATTTTGTTATTGCTATTAAAAAGAAATTGAGACTATAATTATTTTGAGATTTTGAATGCAGTAAACTATGTAGTAAAGGATGTATTAATTTTACTATGACAAAATTGTTTGTTGTTTGCTTGTATAATATTAAACAAAATATTGTAATGGTATTTAAGAGGAAATTTTTTTTTTTTAGTTACTCAGTTTGATGCCTCAAAATGTGCAAAAAACTGATAAAACTGAAAAGAAATTTTATTATCCATTTAAATTTGAAATTGAAGTGTCATTCAAAATCGGTTTTTAAAACCAAAAATTATTATGTTCAAATTTACCAACCTATGCAAAGCAAGATGAGTTATGAGTACCCATTATCTGGTCTCTGGATCTTGTGCTCATTTTGTATTTTAATAAAATGATCTGATATTTTTTTAATGTATAAATTATTATTTTTAGAAAAATGTTCATTTTTCACGTCTTCAAAACCCTGAGAGTTCTCTAATGAAAAACAAAGAAACAGACGGAACATATTATCTGCCAGTTGGTATTTATTATGAAGCATTGTGTCCAGACTCAAGGAACTTTATACTTCAACATTTAGTCCCGTCTATTAATAAAGCTCCAAATAGTTTTGATGTTGACTTTGTTCCATATGGTAAAGCTAAGGTAAACCATTAAATTATTATCCATTCATACAATTTATCTTGTGTTTTATTATTGTAGACAAATATTTAAAGGTCTTTAATGATAAATACTACTATGATTTGTGTATTTTAATATTTTTAACTTCTAGCTTATATTTATGTTTAGACTCATGAAAATTCTGATGGTTCTATAATATTTGATTGTCAACACGGAGAAGTAGAATGTCAGGCAAATAAAATACATTCTTGCGCTAAAAAACACATAAAAGATAAAAGTATATTAGTCAAATATATTGCATGCATGATTGATTATAATTATGACCCAGAAAAGATTGGAATTTATGTAATTAATAATTACCTTACTTTGCATGTTATAATTTATTAATACGATAATTATTTATTATTTTATAGTGTGCCAAAAGGTATAGTATTAATTGGAATAAAATATCCACTTGTTCAAAAGGAAAAGAAGGTGAACAATTATTAAAACAGAATGGTGAAGCTACAGATAAACTGTGGCCTCAAGTTTCATTTATTCCAACCATTACAATTAATCACGTAATTTAAATTCCTGGGTTTTTTTTTTTTTTTTGTATTATTCTACTATTTTGTTTTAGGAACAACCAAGGCAAGCATCTGTTTTAAAAGATTTTTGGGCTGTTGCTTGCAGTTATTTTCCGTCTGTAAGTAATTTTTAAAAATATCCATACGTTTTGATACATAAAATTTAAGTTGTAAATATTATGCAACTGTAATTAGAAAAGTGGATTTTCTTCCAATTTATTTTCCAGATTATTAGTACCTAATAATATTCAAAGTTATATAATTGTATAACTACTATAATAGAAGATTATTATTTTTTTTTTTTAGGAATCAAAGCCGATTGCTTGTTAAACTTATTAAACTTGCAGTTTTTTATTTTCACAATTAATGTAAATAATGAACTAGACTTTAATTGGATAACAGTTGTATTATTGAAGACTTAACTTACTAGAACAAAATTTACTCATATGGAAAATTTTAAACTACATTTTCCAAAATTTTGTGATATTAATTATGTACTTTATATATTTTTTGATAATTGTTAAAACATAATTTGTGTATCATAAAATATTTGTTATGTTAAAGATTAACCATAATAATTATAATAGGTATACATGAAAATATTTAAAACACACAACTTTATGTTTATTCTTTATTCTTTTTATAATAACAATTCCTTGTTATTATTAATATGGCTGACATGTCTTGATTTAAAAAAATAGAGACCCTGTCCAGACCTGTCCGGTCTTAGAGGGTAGGTACTCTAAATAAAAAAATTGGTAAAACAAAGAAAAATCTAAATTATAAATAAATAATTTGGTAGACTATAAAGTAAAATTTGTTTAAAGTTAATTACGGTAAGTACCCATTTTATTATTATTATTATTATTATTATTATTGATAAAGTAATTACGAAAAATCATGTTTTTCTTTTGTTAAAGAAATGTATGCAAGTTTTTTTAAGTTTAAGTACAGAAAATGGATAATGTTTAGTACAATAATTATTTGTGTATCTATTTGACAAGTATATTTGTAAAATAGTGTCTATAATAGGAAATATAAAATACATATCCTGAATATATTTTAAACAATAACTAGGGTCTACAACTGTATTCATTAATTTTCAAAATTATCAAAATCAAATTCTTTTAAATAGGATTCAAGTATATTTTTGGTAAAAATTGCTTATTAAATACTCATACCTACATTTGTTTTAAATTTAAATTTAAAAATTGAATTGTAAATATTAATTGATGTAGCAACAGAACAATTTTTTTAAAAATTGTTTTTATATAAATCTTAATAGTGGTTCTAAAATTCTTATAGATATATATATATGCAGTTCTATATTTTCATAGGACATTGAATAATTAAGTTGTATAGTATAAAATACTGATATGAGTAATATAATTAAATGCAATATTAAACATTTAATACTTTTGCATGCTCAAATTTAAATAAGATAGTATCATAAATTATAATAGTATACAAACAATAAATTCAGACAATATTTTAATTATACACAAATATTTTTTTTTTTTAATTTTAAATTTCAAAGTTTAGATATATTATTTGACTACATCTATATTATGTATCACAATAATTTTTGAAAGCAAACAGACTGATTTGTTTTATTTTTATCAAACATAATTACATGTATATGATATATAGAGCCAGTAGGTAATTCTTTATTTTATACGAATATAATAGGTAAATTTAATACATAGGTACTAAACTATAAATGAAATTCCATTTAAATAGCAAAGGAAAATAACTTATTTCCATTTTTTATGACTAAACAAAAAAAAATTTGATTTATACTATAAGGTACTCATTAATTCGTTTTTATTTGAATAATAATTACGAAATATATTTTGTAGTTCAATTGGATATAAATACATAGGTACATAATGCAGATACAGTCCATAAGTTTGAATAAATATAAATAAATAATATATACCTATTCATATTACGGTTGGTTTGGCATGATTATTATAGTGTATTTAAGATAATTACCTATTTTATACATAATTTTATAGTATATTTAGTTAAAATTGAAATATACCCAATACATAAGATACATACATGTTTAAAATTAAAATTACAAAATATAATAAGAATATCTTTAAATGCTATAGTAAGATAGGTTGGTAGATACCTAATATTAATTTTAAAAAGATGTATTCACTAAAAAATATATAATTGAAATATATTAATTATAATATAAATAATTTATAGTTAATAGTATAAATATTGACACAAATTAAAAGATTACATTTTATTATAAATAATTTAGAATGAAAACAAAATATACAAGGTACAACACATTCGGATTGATTCAATCATAAGTTCAAAAATCTATGTAAATTATGTTGACGTTTATAATATAAAATAGGTACTATATAATTAAATTTAATCTCAAGATTGAAACAATCGACCAAAAAATATTTACTTATAAAATAAAATATATGTAGACAATAATAATCGACGGAAAGTACATTCCTAGTAATATTAGTATAGTACTAGTACTATACTAATATTACATTTATACTACATTAATAATGTCATCGGAGAGAAATTACTAGATTGTGTTCATTATTTAGGGCAGAATCGCCTTAATATGTAATATTGGGAAAGTTATTAATAAAATTAATCATTTAGGTCACAGATATAGATAATTTATTATCTTTATCTGTGATGTAGGTACATTAAATAGTGCTAAAAACTAAAAATAACTAATTATTAATTACTTTATAACTTGGTTATTATATTGACTAGGTAGGTACACACTACACATAGTTCTCTAAATAAATAAAAATTGATTCTATACAGACATAAAATATAATAAATTGACTTTACTTACAATTTTAAACTTTTATTTTCTTGAATATAGGTACTTTCTATTTTTTTAAAACCAAAACACATTTATAAGATAAGTGCAAACATACAAATACAATTCAGTACCAGGCATAGAATTATTTGATTATAAAATATAATTTAATACCTCAATTAGTATTTAATATGTATTTAGGTAATTTTTTTATTTTACTTTTTCCCATACCTAGTAATTACCTACTATATTATGTTTTTGGTAAAATTAAACATTAATTACTTACATTGTCATATCAGTCCATAAAAATAAATTAAATAGATACCCTTACATTAATCCATTCCAATATTTTTGTTTAATCAGTATACCTATTTAATAATAATAAAAATTCAATATGTTTTTAAATTTGTATTTAATAAAAGCATTCAATAAATTGTGAGTATTACCTTTATAGTTAATATTCATTCAGGCCAATAATAATGAAATATGAATAGACAAAGGTTTAATCGAAAAACTTTCTATTTATTAAATATAAATATAATATTTTTTTTAAAAATTATTTTGATTTTCTAAATCCAGGTATCTACTTATCATTTCTCTTTCTTTTTCTTTTTATGTCATAATTGTGTATACGTTTACTTGTTGGTACCAATTCTCATCAACATTTATTAAATCCTCAGATTCATTGCATTATACCTAAAATTTGGAGTCTAGTAGACATCCCCTTGAACCACGTATATTGTACACAATATACGCATCCTACAATAACGAATCCTTAGGAAACATAAACAAGCAATATGATTCTATCCATTTCTACATTATCTTAGACTAGAACTAATTAAATTAATTTTCATCTATCTATACAAAAAAAACATATTCCATTTTATTTTAAAGTCATAAACTACCTTACATCTGGTACTCTCTTTTAGTACCAACAGATTTTCTTTCTTTAAATTAATTTCTATATGTTATTCTTACATGATTGAACAATATTTACAATTGTACAATTTTGATTAGCTGTTAACTATACACAATTTTTTTATACTTCACATCATACAAAACTATTAATATAGGTGGTACATAATACCAATGTGTAATATCTCAACACATAATTTACTAAACATCTTTATTTTTGTTTAAAATATTTTATATTTTCTATAATTATCCCACTGATTGCTGCAATTTTTATAAGTATTCATACAATAATACTTAAAAATTAGTTTCAAACACTCAAAATGTAAAAATACTCACCATCAAGTAATAGATTATGTTGAATATGTCTATTAATTAAAGAGGACATGTTACCCTCATGTGTTGCATTTAAGCCCAACTAATAAGCAACATAGCAACATGTTTTTGCTATGTTATTCGTTAGTTGGACTGAGCCAATAATTGCAGATATCACATTCTTTTAACATAAACTATACATGTATGATATAATTGAACAATTGATTATTCATATTGAATAGGTAGGTACTTAAAGTTTTGATAAATAAACTAAAATGGGTACTTGTTGCAGTTTATGAATTCAAACCAACTCATCAAATTAATTTTCTGTGAATACAATTAAGTTAAAAAAAAAAAAAATACATGGAGACTATAATTAGGTATTTATTTATGTTTACCTACACGAGTGCATTCAACTTTTAAGAAATAAATATTAAATTGTAATGGATGAAAAGGAAAACATATATTTCATTGTTTTAAATTTATATGCAAAATAAATATATGATTGACTTTAAAATTATTATTATATCAGTTAGTAACAGGTATATAGTGTAATTCGTGTATATTTAACCATTATAATAATATGATTTAACTAAATTTATAAAATTGACTGGATCAAATTAATATTAATTTATAATAATATATGGTAGCTATATTCTAAATAGCAGTCAATTCAAAATAATTTATTCAAACCCCCAATGTACTCTGCATAATAATAATAATAAAAACAAAATTAATAATTATCCTATCTTTGGTCGGTAATTAATAATAACAACTACTCAATTAAATAATAATTATAATAACAAAAATAATTTGAAAATAAAAAAAGGAATTGGTATTGCAAGGGATTTGTAATATACCGAAATACTTTTACAACCACATAATATAATAACAAATAAACAGATGTACCTAATACAATTTACTCGGATTATAAAATTGACGCTTCTTCGTCTGGTATGTTATTCAAAAGTGGATCGTTCTCCCAATAGTATCGCGGAGATCCTTCCGACACACAGAGTTGTTGTTCCAGAGGTTCTGTGCCTTCTACCCAGTACATAACATAAAAGTTGCACATTTCGTCATTACTTGTTGGACTGCGAATAAAAAAAAAAATAGTTTTTTTAAGTTTAATTGTGAAGACCAGACAATAGGAGGTACATCAAAACTTCATTATTATTATGTTGATCATCTTACCCAATTCTCGTAATGGTGTCTCTTCTACTTTCCATTGTGCACCTGGCAGCCTAAAAACCAATAAGTACAAATGTCTAACAATTTCAATAATCATTTTTAAATAATAAATTAAAATCACTAATCGATGTGAATAGGAAATATTATATGATCATAAATATATATTATATTTAGTTTTATAATTTGGAACATCAAAGATATAAAATGCATAAATGTTATTAATAATAATAGGTACCAATTCACTTAAAACTAATTGATGTTAATGTATTTAAAATTTAAAAATACTAAATCAAAATCTGCTAACCAATAAATCTCCATTTTTGACTGTAAGATTTTTTTCTATGGGGTAAAACATTTGTGGAGTCAAAGGATCCCGTTTTCCTAGCAAATCCCATTTTTGTACTCCATTACTAGAAGTTTTTACTCTGTAACCAGCTACAACTTTACCTATTAAACAAAACAATAGCTTATTTAATAAAATGGTCTTCATGTAATATTTCTATAACTAATTTATCTGTACCAAGTTCGTGAGTATGAACCCTGTATGCAAATGGGTGAATAACTTTTCCAGTTTCCAACAATGGACATGATGTTTCTAAATTCTCGAATGAATTAGGAGGGATTATTCCGTCAGTAGCAAGTAAGTATACTCCAGCTTGTTTTTCTAATCTATAATCAAATTTAATGATCAAATACGATTATAACAATTAATATTCTCATCAAAAAAAAATTAATAAATAATAAATAGATATTTTTAGTAAATTATAATAATTATAATACATTCAGTCATTTAGTGGCAACACAAAATCATTTATAAATTGGATACAAGTCTCATAGTTTATGAATGATATGTAGTAAGGTAGATGTTTTTTAAGTAGTTATAAAATATGCATTATAATAAATAATATATATCAGTAAACACATATTTGTGGTGTGGAAATTAATTTTATTGTTTACCAAAATGATAATAAAATAAATCCATCACGCCACTTTGACTAAATATATCAATTTATTACACTGTAATGTATTAATAGAAGTGAGCAGTTATAACATAAATATTAAATCTTACTGTTTTTCAGTGTAATGTAAAAATATCCCAGAGTTATCCGTTTCACCTTCTATTAAATAAAATAAAAAATATTAGGTAGATACAATATTATATCAATATTTTCTGAAGTTAAATAGATTTGTAAATGTAATACTAGCCTTTAAACATTCTATGATAGTGAACCTGTAGTACTAAATACTTAATTTGTGTACCAAGTCCAACTTTAAAACCAACACCATTTGGAAGTTTTAATGTAGGTGCATCAAGAGCCCAAGCATATAATATCTGAAAAAAAAACCATTAGTTATTTAAAGAAAATATTATGAACATTATGTTGAATGAGTAGATTCGATTAAAAAATACACACAAATTTGATAAAACCAGATTAAAACATAATATGTCAATTAGGTATTTTAAAATAACACACGGATATACCAAGTAGTCCCTAGTTGAAAACACCACAATTCTGGGATTAACAATTCAACTATTTGGTTACAAGAAATCTCTCAATGCATATTTGATTTAGCCTATACAAATTTAAAACTATATATAATATTATATACTAACATTTGATCCAGATTTACATGGGTTGGAATGCATATACGAATTTTGATCATTACTTGATGAATCCATTTCTCCACAATTCCTTAAAATAAAAAATCAAAATTGTTAAATCAAAATAAATTAAAATTTGTTTTGAAAAGTTTAAAAGATGTTTACCAGACGGGTTCAGAACTTCCAGGTTCCGAACACCCATAGAGTAACATATGGTGTGATGTATGACCATATGCTTTTGGTTCGAATGTAACTAAAATAATACATATAATTTTGTTTGTATAAAACAAGTAACAGAGAAAGTACTTAAAATATTTGTTTTTAAGATTGAACGATTTTAAGTATTAAACATAGTATATTTCTATTGGAATAACTTAAAAATAATTAAGTAGGTAATATTCATTAAAATCAGTTGATAGTAAAATAAATATTTTAAAACAAATAAAATTGTATCTAAGTAAGTATAGGAACATATTAGTATTATTATTTATTACCTATTCATAATGACAATTTTTCTATTAATTAATACATTCACAAATTCTATGTTATTAAAAATAATTTTTGATGAAAGCAATAAAAAAAATAGTAAGTACCAATAGTCTATAGTCTAGAATTTTAGACTTTTTCTTTAAAGACCAGATAATAATTAATAACCTATTTATCTATTAATTATTATCTAATATTTTTAGTACTATACTTTTTTCAAAATAAGATTGAATCTATTTCATGCATGCAGACCCTTTAGTGGTCTAGTGTGGAGTGGTATGTGATGCATTTTTGTCGTACTAGTGATTCAATATTATTATCCTGAATAGAATATAGGTACCTATGTGTAAGGTACCTAAAGTCCTTAATTATCTATTATTAGTTTAATTGCATTAATTTATTAATAATACTTTATACTTACCAATAAAGTAGGACTTGTTGGGATCTATTCTAATAGGCGTGCATAAATACAAATCCATCTAGAACCAGTATAAATAATAAACGTTACTATAAAACAATAATTTACACTATACCTACATAATATTATTATGGTTCATTTGCAATTATTTATGATTTATGAATACACTATCTAGCCTATTATATTATAATTATTGTTAATTGTGAAGTTTAATTTATAAACACTAGGTAGGTATAGTAATTATTACCTAAGTATTTGCAAAAAAAAAAAAAATAGAATAACTTCAGAAAAGGAAAATCCCAAATATTTAATATAATAATTATAATTAATAATTTCATAATATTTATAGTTACTGCCACCAAATGAGCATTACATTGGTTTCTCACATACCTAAATACTTTAAAAATCTGCAATGGTTATAAATATTACAAGAAATAATAATAACTTCTTTTATTTAGGTTAAAAGTCTAACTTTCAATCAAAATAATTATTGCCATTTATGCCTAACGAGTATATTATATGATACACTAGCTATTATGTTTTAAATGCAATTATGAGGGCTTCTATTTTCTAGTAAATTTAAAAACAATAAGTGTATACATATATAATCAAAATAATTTATGAGGGCCTCACGACATTGAACATGTTACAAAAGTACAAGATAAATGAAATATATATATAGGTACATTGTCTATGTATTAATAAATAAATTTACTATAAATGTTTAGGTTACCCATTATTTAGCAAATATTTTTTCCACTAAAAACTACTTAGGTACATGTTTGTATATTATGAGATATAAATTTAAAATAATCATAAAACTCAAAAAGTCTAAATAATTGAAAAAAACAAATCGTCAAATTGTTTCACATTTAGAAAGGACGGTGAAAATTGCAGCTGTATACAATCTATATCATTATTTTTAACTGAATTACAACAAAAAGACATAATCAAAAATAACAGAAATCGTAATTATTATTATTGCATAATTTTTCCCCATTATCAAGAAAACTTCTTCTATCAACTTTAGAAGCCATTGAAGTCTATGGCTGCAAATCAAATTTTTTTCCATCTCTCTACGTCCAGAGCTATTTCATTATCATTGTATATCTCTAGTTGTCTTAGTTCCTTCTTGCTTTTATAAATCCATCTCTGCTTTGGTCTGCTTCCTTGAGGGGTCCAACTAATTACATAATTTGCTATAAATTTAGCCCTTAATACGTGGCCGAGCCAGTTCTGTTTCTTATGACGTATTTCAGTTTTGTTTTTTTTTGGACCGTAAACCCTTCTAAGGAGTTCCCTCTTCATAACAGCTAGTTTCTTTTCATCTTCTTTTTCACATGCTTACATTATCATTAGTGTTGCTAAAATATACTCTGAATAGCCACTCTTTTGATTTATTCAATAGGAACTTCAACCCCTCAATAGATCATAGAAACATTTATTTCTCTATCTAATGCGTTTTTTAATTTCTTCGTGGTTATCATTTATACTATTTAAATTGGAGTCTAAATATTTAAAGTTGTTTATTTCATCAAACACGTATTCGCTGACCTGTAGTCTAGCTGCCCGTTGGATCTGAAGTCCGATCCTATTAATTTGCATGCATTTGATTGTATTATTGTTAATGATAAATGCCAGTTTTTTGGCGCTTTGTATCAAAGATTCTGTTGCTTTTCGTATGTCCTACTCACTTTCACCTAATATTATAACGTCATCAACATAGGCTAGTAATAGGATATGTTGATGGCAGTTGATTCCTTGAGATTCTTTTCGTACCTACTTCCCTTATCGTTACCTCTAGTACAATGGTCGGAAACCTTTTCGTGAAAATGAACAATTTTTTAAAAAAACTGCAAAACCATGATTTTCAAAAATCCGCAATAGTTAAGATAAAAAAAAACTAATATATTTTACTAAGTAATTTCATTAGGAATTAGTAGGCATATAATCGGATTATATTTAATTTATATTTTATGGGTTCCAAAGAGCTACAGATTTCATGTTGAGGAGGCGCGGGTTCCCGACCACTGCTCTGGTACTATATTGAAGAGTATTGGTGATAGTGCGTCGTCTTGTTTTAATCCTGTTGTTTAATATTCTTCTATATTTTCGTGACCAAATTTAATAATACATCTCAATCTCTGGTTCAAATCATCAAGTTTTTGGTAGAAAAGTTATTCACGGTTTAGAAAAAATAAAATAAAGAATAGGTACATTAAATCAATACATTTCTCGATACGCTCAGAATCTTAAATCAAGTGAGTAATAATATGTATAATCCCGTTATGTTTTAGTGTTCAAGTTTCGAATGAACGATTTGTCAAAAAATCTAAAGTCAACAGAGTGTGACATTTGACAATCGATTGTCACATTGAAAAGAAAATAGAAAACGTAAAATACTACTTCGAATATCCAAATAATCCGTTTTAACGGTTTATTTATACTTATTTGAATTATACCTAAGGTTTTGTTAAAATTATGGTGAATATACTATACAATAATCTGTATGCGTTTAAACAAATTTAATTTAATTCTATTGAAAACTATTATAAATAATAGCATAAATTACCAATGTATTATAGGGTATAATTTTTTATGGCTTTAATTGAAAACTACATAAAATTTCAATTGATTTAATTCCTTCTTTCGGTTGGGACCAAAGATATTTTACTTACCTACATACTTATATATTATGTACTGTATACTTATATTATTTTGTAAATTATAATAAGTACTCATGAAATTATGACGAAGGAGAACGCATAATAATTTTATTGTAGTTGGCCGAACGTGCACAACTACTAAATATAACCTATAAATCAAAATCTACTAAATCTAAATCAAGTTGTAATAACTCAACTACCTAAGCTTAAAATTAGTCTTTTTAACTTTTACGTTAACATTAAATAGATAACGAATGTGTACGAATTCTGAACACATAGAAATTCCTTTAAAATAAAATATCTACTTATAACCAGAGTAGGACATTATTCAAAAATACAATGTAATTAATTATATAGATACAATTGTATTCGAATAAATTATTATTCGGATGAATTTTTCAAAACTAATTCTTCGAATAAAATGAATATATTGGACTAATTTTCAAACATAATTCGATTAATTTTCGTTTATTTCATTTGATTAAACATTGGTATTTGGTTTTCTGTACGTTTTTAATGTTAATTTTATATGACACATGCCCCATCATCTATACCTACCTATGTATGTTTGTCTAGACCTCAATATTATGTTTGAAAACTATTCGAATAATAATGTTTTCAAATTATGTATTCGAATAACAATATTATAAAAAAATCTTCCAATTAATTATCTAGATACAATTTTGCCCGCCTTTGCTTATTACTATAATATACCTATACTATTTGTCAATAGTATCCATGTATTATTGTAGTACTTACCTACAGTGATTACATTTTTTTTTTACACCGAAATGATCGTTTTGTCTATTACACAAAGCGGATATTCGGGATATTGCAGATTTTGTACACTAGCTATGTCGATCTATATGAAATAACTTTTTTTTTTTCTACGCAATTTGAATAATTTTTTTATGAGCCTTTTTAATACTATTTCAAAGTATATCTACTATAAAACTATAAGTTATTAACAAATTTTTTATAATGGGTAAGTAGTAGGTACTGTTTTGTATTTGATCTTATATACATTTTCATAAAGTTGAAAAAACCATGCATCTATTCCATATTGCGTGAATGAGAAAAAAACGTTAGGTACCTAATACCATTGTTTATATATATATATATTTATTTATTATACCCGATGTACCGTCCATGGCTAAATATATTTAGCCATGGTACCGTCTATATTGTATATTATATATACTTACTTACCTATTCATAAAATGTACGGTATTTCATGAAATCTATCGACCAAATCTGCAATATTTCGTTAAGTGGACAATAATGATGATCCATATCGTGAAAAAAATGTATGAAGGTACACTCATTTACAAATGAATGCGATAATGCAACATGTACCTACCTATACATTTACTTAACATGGAATGATGAAATTAATTTGAAGATCAAAGTGAAATTTAAAGTGCAATAATTTAACACAGAAATGTGTGCGCAAAATAATGAACATACACCTCTTATTATGTTTTACATTTCCAATTTAATATTATATCTATTATCTATATCTATTGATTATCTATATAACAATATTACATATAGATAGGTACCGTATAATATTTGACTAAGATTCACGGGGATAGTGAAGTATTTACGAACATTTAAATCACGTGCGTGACTAATTTAGTACAGAATCGTTTGTATACTTCTTATTCATAGGTATGAGGAATACTTGTTAGTCAAGCAGTAGTGGTCGTGGCAGTTTATAAATTACCATAATATTTTAATACCCGAAACTCGCAAGTGAGATAGTACGATTTAGTATTTATACGGCTTAAATTTACGTTGGTATGTAAATATATAAATACTTAATGTATATTATTGTGTTTATATAATAATTACGTGTTAAACTATAAATTATAATATCCGTATCTATCTATATGTGGGAAAAACTGATTGTAAATTGTATATTTAATTGGACATTGGTGCATTATTTTCCTTATAGTTTTTATTCTTACAAAGAGGTACGCCAACTTAAGCCACAGATTATGCAATTATAGAAAAAAATTAGGTACAAAAAAAAAATATAAAACAAATGAGCCCCCTCATAAAAATATAATTTGAAAAATCACACCAAGTTTAATCACGATAGAATGCTGCAGATAATAATAGTTTGAACTATAAATTCATCAGCAGAACCTATCAATTTTTTCTTCCCTTGCTAACAGGTATTACGATATAAGTATTCGGTCATCTCAGAATGCGAAACATAGGTAACTGATTTGGTACATGTAAAAAAAGGTTTAATCGTGCAAATTCCATTTTGAAAAAAAATGTCCAGTTCTTTGTTAGAATATATGAAACGGAAAAACAAAAAGCTGTTTTCTGGCCCAGTAAATACCTATTTATATAGGAACCGTTCTTACGCAGAACGATATAAAAATCTCCCAACGAATGAAAATCTGCTGTAAACTCATTTAAGTCAAACATCTATTAAGGTCCCTTTTTGCATGCACCAAATCAATCGCTATTATCTATTATTATATTTATCCCGTGACTGCAGTTAACAGCTATACAAGTGATACACGAAATAAATAAAAAATGTCATACTTATAAATTTATAAGAATTATATTACATATAGAAGTAGAGCGTTACTTATAGTACCTATATAGAACTATACAATATGTACAATTATATTCTATGTCAACACCAATACAATTTCTTATTGGTTTTTTTTCCCAATCGCTTTATACAAATAAAAGTCCCCAATAAATAATCAGACCGTAATATTATACAGTCACGTAGGTGTAGTAAATGAAAAGTAATGAATGAACGTGAAAAGTTTTCGCAGACTGCAGACGAGGAGGGGAAAAGGATCTCGAACCACTTGTTTTCATGAAAAGTTTTTAAACAATTATAATATTATATACTAAACCTTCCTCGGGGAGGAAGTTCGTTCATATTTAATTTTCAGTATAATGATTAGTAAGGCTGTGAATTTAATGCAGTGAAAAATCTTAAAAATGATATTAAAAATGCACAAAAAATGCGATAAAATATGCATTTAAAGTTTCATAGAATACAATATAAAATGCACTTAAAATGGTTTTTAATTTAATTTTTATATTTATTTTAATATGACAGATAAAACTGATATCGATATATCGCAAGCCTACAAATAACTAATCAGTATTTTAAGCAATATTGCCTTATTTTATCGAATCTTTAACTAACCCGTATACATGCTTGTTTAAAATATTATAATATTAAATATAAATTTGATGTATATACCTAAAGCCTGTGTAAAACAAAAAAAAATGGGTGCGAAGATGTTAATTGACGGAATTTGATTAAAAATACCGTAAAATGAACTAAAGAGAAAAATATGACTTAAAAAGTCCAAAAAATGAACTTAAAAATTAAAAACGTGAAAAAATGCAAATTAAAGTTTTATAAATGAATTTGTTGTTACATAATTCAAATTATGTATTCAGAAAGCTATGTTTCACAATCGCCTTCAAAAAAAATGCACTTTCCTACAAATTCATAATCCTAATGATTAATAATAATACCTAAACTTTTAGTACGTAAAAGTAATATCTTTGTACAAAAATAAAGTTTTTTTATTTGTACATCATTGAAAAACCTTGCAGGATCCCCTCTGCCCAAAACCAAATTCTGGATCCATCCACAAATGCTTATCATAATATATACATCGATAATGCATTATGGTGCCATGATGGTTATTATGATATATCATACTACCTATAGTCACACTGCATATTATATACGATACATATCATAATACGTTGAAATGTATTTTCATACATTATGACGAGTTTTTTGTGAAATTAGTTCACACCTACGCCCGAAGGTATATTATGAACAATGTGTTCAAGGGCACATTCGCAGAAATCAACTGGAAACAGTCAACAAAAAATCCACGTGACGGTAAAGAAAACCGTCTACATTTGTTTTCAATCAGTATAATTATTGCAGTATGCTTTACACGTCAATAAAAATATATCACGTCAATTCATTATTCATAGTTTTAGTTTCTGAGCAAAGCGAGAAATTTATTGGTTTTACAATGATGTTTATTAACTTTCTTTAAATTTTTTTTTTTATCTGTGATCAACTTTTATACCAGAAATCTTGTTCTGATTTCTAAGCGTAGCACCTTTTCTGAAAAGAAATTTTATCTGGGTGGTACATTACAGAGGTAATGTTTTGATTTTCCAAGCGGTTTTCATAATAATTGGGAATAAACGGGAAAATTTACGAAAATAATGCTTTTATTATTTTCAATTTTGTTTTATGGTAATAAATAAGCTAAAAATATTCGTAGAGACCAAAAATTAATACAGAAAACTTATACTTTCTAGACGTCGTCAAATTTTCAAAAATATTAAGTCATTTTGAGCTATTTATGGACATTTTAATTTTGAGTGTTTTATGCAATTTCGATTCGGTATAGGTCTTCCGTGGATAAAACTGTTAAACCAAACTAGAAATGCTTGACAATTTAGCAGGAGGTTCATTATAAATCGTACTTTGTGGTGAAACAAAAAAAATTGAGTGTGATGTAGAATTTTTTTTATAATATTTTAATATCAAATTTTGACGAAAAACGTAAATATTACGGCCTTTTAAAACATATATAACCTAACTCCGCTCAAAACGATATAGATGTAGATAAGACTCGCGAAACTACCCCATCCGTCAATGGAACTCCATCATTCCCGATCTTCTTGAAAATGATACAAAACGAGAAAACATTTTAACGCCACGTTATTTTATTTCACTGTCACGCGTCAATTAATGCATTCCTTATTGACAGGGCTAGGAGTTTATATAACACCAAAAAGTATTGAAATATGTACATATACGGTACCCGAAAACTCTTAAAACATACACTAAAAACAATTTGCTTTGCTTATTATTTTGTATCAATAGAACATGATACCCGCATGCGTTGTCTTCGTCTTACAGACATACAACACGGCAGATATGCATTTTGCGGGATCAATATTGTATTGTTAATTTTTATATTCGAGTGAATTGACCTATTATCTAATTTAAATATAGGCACATTATGTGTGCAACATCAGTGCTACTTGTTTGATATTTTAGTTTATAATTGTATGAGTATGTGTATTTTATACGAGTAGTTACGTGAAATATCACATCCTCTTAATCCTGCACAATTTATTTATACCGATGGGCCACAATGCTCTGTCGCCTAAAAATAGAATACAGTATAAAATATTATTTGATGAAACGGAAATGTGTGTAATTTACATAAAATACAACTTTTCTACGTGTTTTCTTTATATTTAAACGAAATTTGTAAAAAACAAAAAAAAAAAAAATCATTATATTATTATATAATAATACTTACAGTACATTGTTATTACTTATTGGTATATTAACGAAAAACAGCACTAAAAATCTAAACAACTTTAAAAGGGCAAAACAATAACAGTATATTTGGAAACCCTGATACGTAAAACAAAATACGTTTAGCTCACTGTGTTAACTGTATCCGTATCCTGTAATATTATTAACAAATACTACAGAATCTGAGGCCTGCTTATTAATAATAAGCAACACATTAAGTAAATAACAAGTTATTATATTATGTATTCTACTCGAGTCTATAAAAATACGTATTTTAAAACGATATAAACAGCAATTTATTATTTTATAGGTAACATACCTATAAAATATTTGTTCACCCCTTAAAATGATATAGCCAAAAGATAACCAGAGACCGCACATAATACCTACCTGCCTATATAATATTATTATAAACAGCAGGGCGGACACGACCACTCCCAGTCCATCTCCCCCACCCCCACCTCTGAAACCTTTTTTTTGCCGCATACTCAGTACCTCACCTACATAGTAACTACCCCTATCCGTAATCGTCAAAACAACAGCAATAAATACAACGATTAGCGTATGAAAAAAAAAAAAAATATAGTAATTATCGTACACCGTATAATTATTAACATAATGATATTATACAGCATTTTGCAGGCCGGTTGTTGTCACTATATTGGATACAACGCATTACGCCCGAGTAAAAAGCTACAATGTTCGAATATGGTTTGATATTACAACGTGTCCGCTTAAATGTCTATTATTTCAGCCGAATTATTATGACACTACCTACCTACAGTGTAGCGAAACGAACACGATTTTAGAAATGCGAGTTGCTTCTCGACATTTCGTTTAAAGACTGAGAAGTGTGCGGGTGCTCAGTATGAAAATGACTACACACAAGTTATATCTAACACGTTTATTGCTAATTCAGTAGAAAAAAAAAAAAAAAAACGAACGAATCGAGGTATATTGGAAATGTGTTGGGAAATATCGGTTGGTGGGCGCTGGGTAGGTTATTATAGATCGCTTTAGGGTGATGTTGTGTTCGTTTCGCCACTGAACTACCTGTGTCTATACCGAATCAGACTGAGAGGTGTTGATCAGACGAGGAGACTCAGCTGCTGCGGCGGGGCGTAACTAAACGCGCAGTACGGGTCCCCCGTATTACTCCGTCCATATTGTATATAATATTAGTAGACAGGTACCCGTGTAACGGTGAATAATAATTACAATATAAAGCTGACCGTAAAGATAGGGGGGAGGGGGGGGAGGAACGGCGCAACGAAACGCGAAAAAAAAAAACAAAAAAAACCGAAAATGAACTTGTTTTTTAACCGGCATGGCGGTGTTGAGTTCCCAAGCTGGTACACTCCGGGTACAGTATTATCACCTATAATACAATGTCTGCATGGTTTTTATGTATTATTGCGCGTATACGACCCAAAAACACACATTGTACTATATGGTCGACAAATTGTGCGAAATCATCAGTTCGAATCGTTTTACACCCGACAATAATATCATAATGCATCTCACGTAGCCACGGTATAAGTACATATTGGTCTCGAGAAACCACAGCGGCTTGAGCTCCGTAAACATAATAAAACGGTAATCATCATCACGTGCACGTCCGGAGTCTGACCTGTTGACTGACGCCACTGACGGTAGGTACTACGGTTACCTACCTGCAATAGCTAACAATTGATTACCTAACGGTGTTATTAAAGTGAAATTACGAAACGAGTTACAATATCAGCAAACGTTTGGTCGTTAGGTTATGTTATTTGTTGTACATTCAAAAAAATTCACTCGAAAATTCACTCGGTCTGCGCGCGAAATCGTTACGAACCAAACGCTTCGCACGACGATTACTGATTTGTAGTAATGTAGCTTATGAAGCTTACCTTTTTGGGTCTCACGTTGGGCATGAGCAACGAATACTTGTCCACGTGATAGGATTCGGCCGAGTGCCACAGCACCGCGGCGGCGACGGCCACGATCAAATAACAGACGCCCAAAGTCGTGGTCGACGGCATAATAATAATATTATTGTTATACTGTTATACTATAATGTGTGTTGTTGTGACGAACGTCAGCGCGCGAAGGCGCGTGATGCGTTACACAGACACGGAACGTCCGCGACTGGTGCGAGCCGTCGAACAGGTAATACTACTGGCACAAGTACAACGGACGCATGATAACTCCTGCGTTGGCCACCACCGCACCGACGACGGAATGTACACAGTAATGGCGGGAGGACGACTGTGCCGCGCGATGATATTGTGGTGGTGTCTCCGCGCTGAGGTCACCAAATGGCACCACGACTATAATACACGGCGCACACACAAGCACTCGTGTACATAAACAGTGCACTGTGCGCACGACGGGAACGCACGTACACGCGGAACACCTGAACGACCACGACCGGTGTTCGGGCGAGGACTGGTGAGTGACGGTGTTTTATTTTTTCATTGTTTTTCTCTCGCGTCTCTCGGTCACTGTACCGCGCGCGCGCGCGCGCTCGCTCTCTTTCTCTCTGTCCCCACCCACCGCCCACCACCGAAAAAGACGCAACATGCGCGTCGTTTGGCGGCGGCGCTATCGATTTTCCCGCTCGCGCGAATCCAACAGTTGTGCGTGGGCGCGTCCCGTTCCTCCTACACCCTCCGCGTAAAGTCCGAAAATCCCCGAACGCCACCCGCCACCTAACCTCGCACCGTGTGCCCCGAAAACGGCGGCCGAGCGTACGGAACGCCCCTAACCCGTGAATTCCCACGCAGCATCCCGTCATCAATCTTGTTATATTGACGCGTGCATCGTCTACGTTGGCGTTTTCTTTACCCGTTTTGACGACGCCGACTCGTATGGCGGGTCGCCCGAAAAGTCGTCCGGCGGCCGACCACGAACGGTGAATTGGTTTATTCAATCGACGACGCCATTCGTAAATTCGGTTTTTTTTTCTTCGTTTTCGACCCAATGTCAAACGGAAACGATTTTACTGTTCTGTAATTAGTGATCCGGTATCGCCGCCGCCGCGGCCGAAGAATCCGTATTTGCTCGCTGGTAAGGCGACGTAAAATCGATCAGAAACAGCCATCGTGGGCGGATCGGTCTACCCGGAAATCCGATAATTTTCTCGATGGTGGTCTGGCACAATTAAACATTCGGGTAGGTTTCAAACTCAAATTTCAAAAACTTCAGATTTATACGCCCGTCTGTTTACAACAGTGTCGACTGTGTCGTACACACTTCCGGGAGAGGGATGGACGTTTGGGATTATATCAACTCCCGCCGGTTTAAAAACACAACAGCTAAACAATTATTAGATATTTTTTTTTATTTTTTTTTTTTATCTAAAGGTTTCGCCTTGTCGCTGCGACCGTTCGTCTCTTTTTCCTGCTGATCTTTTCATTGCTTCATAACTAAAATAGATATTTATTTAGTAATTTAATCTCGACATATGGATAGGTGGTACATTCATATAAAGTTGAGTTCGTTAATTGATTTAAATTGGCTTTATTGGAGGATCCGGCTTTTAAATTTTTACAACCGGGAAAGAAAATTCAACGCGATTTATTCGCGATTATTATTTTCCATAATTCTCCTCGTTCCAATTTCGAATTCTCGGGCACGTCGCTGCAGGTTTACAATACCTGTACGTTAACGAACTACGGTTCAAATCCTATACAACTGCGTCGTTACCGGATTTCTTATCCGCTAGACATTATCATAATAATATTTGAAAATGTTATTTCCCTTATTCAATTCATATCACGAACGCAGTTCATTACACAATATTTTACATAATGGATAAATATTTCACACGTCCGTTTTTTTTTTATAACATGAAAACTGTTTTATTATTATTACCAAAATATAATCTTATTTTATGTATTTAATTTATTGCTATCAGAAATGTATAGGGCCATTGCGTGAGAATCAAAATGAAAAAGTTTTATAAATATTTTGCAGACTGAAATTAATTAATATGTCTCATAACGTATAATAAATTAATGCCTGAAAATAGTTATAGTCAAGAATTAAAAAAAATAACTAAATAAAATATAAAAAAGCTAATGTGGCCGTCCTTATATTTAAAAAAAAAATAAAAATATTTTCCACCAAAAAAAAGGTTAGTACAAAGCTTCGGTATTGTATTAAGGGGCCTGCGTGCAATCTTTTTATTGACTCAAAAGCATGCAGTTTTACAGGAACAACTCTCTTATAGTCCAATTTAAAAATCGTTTTTATCGGAAAAAGGAAAACTTCTTACAAGGTGCTTTAGGTTTTAAAAATTAAATTTCTAAACACTATTTTAGACACTTAGAGTTTGAATGTGACTTAATATTTTTGTTTGTGATTTTTTGTTACATATTACTATCCAAAATCGACTTCTGATGTACTCTGTAGGAAGATTTTTTTTCTTTTCGGCAATAATATGTTTTAAATCAGATTGACTCTATGATACATGAAAGTTTTACCTGTAAAGCATGTATTGAGCAAAATATCACATTGCACCATTTGCATGGCCCTTAATATACACTGCACAAACTAAAATTAATCTAATTATTCATCAAACATTATTCAAATTTGTTCTCTGTGAATGTTAACAATTTGTTTTAAGTTGTAACAAGTCTTAACGATTTGTAAAAACATTAGCTGGAAGGGAACATTTAATAGGACGTTTTACCCGCGTCTACTACCTCTGTTCAACTACCAGGTAACATACAAAAACATTGCTTTCACAGAATAAGTAAAACTAGATTAATTTTGACTTTAAAGTAAAAGTACCTATAAAATTTATAAAGAACAAAATTTTGGAGGGAATGCCATAAGGTTTTTGTATTATTCAAAATATACAGCTCGATATGAAAGATACAAAAACCGTTTTTTTTTCTTTTTTAAATAACTTTAACTTTTTTAATAGTTCATAATTTAAAAAACACCTTTGACATTCCCTCCGAAATATTGTTCTCTATAAATTTCATAATAGGTACTATTACTCTAAAGTCAAAATTAAGCTAGTTTATTCTGCGTAAGCATTGTTTTTGTATGTTACCCGGTAGTCGGACTGAGGCAGTAGATACGGGTAAAACGTCCTCTTAAGAAGGTTGTCAAAGTTTCGAATTATAAACTAAATCGTGGAATTGCAAAATGTATACCCGGAGCTCGAATCGGGATGGCAAAATCCAAAATTATACCTAATATTGATGTAAACAATCACAATTTTATCTAAATAACCGGACTGCTAACCATGACACCTCTGTCACCCAACGGGCGACCTTGATTTTATTCATTTTACATATTATCTTTTATTTTATCTCTAGTGTATTTTGTTTATTTATTTATACCACATTGTGGTCCGTGGTTATTACAGGTCAGTTATAAGTTATAACCGTAATAATGGTAAAAAAACGATTGAAATTCAATTGATACACAAGCACAATACCAGCAGTAGGTAAAAATTACGGTGAACCTACCTATACTGTAATTGTACTATAATAAATTTTGGGTACTGCAAAAAAATGTTAAAAACGTCGTCTTGTTGTTATTTCTAAACTAGATCAAGCAATAGGTAAGTACTCGTAATATTTTATTATTTTGGTCCTGTACATAAAGCAATAGATAGATATGAAAATGTGTATAAAGTGGTTCAACGGTACTTAGAACATAGAACTATAATATGTAACAAACTGCATCAGTGACGGGAAGACGATATTCGCACCATTGAATAACGACGAGGATACAATAATAACAATAATCGTCAATACAACGGTTTTTTCGCATCTTAAATCACAAGTTACCTAATAATAGTCGCCTAGCTAAGCCGTGGCATCCGGCGAAAATGAGACACGACGCGTGAAAACCAAACGGTGCGTATCGGATTATTAACTAACCTAACCGCAACGCCGAAGCGACTGAAATATATTGTGTGTACAATAATGGAGTGCCTTTCGGTATTGCACCTATATTCGTCCAGATAATGATAAAAAATAATGGAAGACGGTTTACTCCTATAGGATAATGTAATATTTTACATATTTTCAATTTATAATATTATGTTATTTTACGGACGCGTGATTCACCGAGTGCGTCGTATTGTTCCCCACTTCTTAACCGCTGCCAAAACCATTGTAGGTACTTTCCAATCAAACAATGGTTTAAGTATAATAGGTGCCTACATCATCATCAAATCGCATTATCACTGAGGACCACTCACATAATAAACGGATTACCTTTACAAATGATGTATTCGTTAAATTCACTTCGACGTACTAATTAGATTAACCTGTTTTATTTTTGTTTCAGTACTTAACATTGGAATTCGCGTGAATAATTGATTTTACTCACCCGAGAACAAAGACCTTGGCATTTTTATGGAATGATTTCCCTATTATTTCCTGTCCAAAAATTTGCTCTGACAAGTCAGAATAATTAGCGTGTCAATATATTCTCTATATTAACCAGTCACCCAGATATGAGAACGATATTATTGTATAGATTGTAATAAATAATTAGAATATAAAATAATTAAAAAAATACCACCTATTTAACATAGTTAAATTGAAAAAGCTAATGTATCAGCAGAAAAATTCATCATTATATTAACTTCTCCAACCTTTCAAAAAACAAAAACAAATTCTATCTCCGACATCTAAAACACTTAAAATTATCAAAATTAAAATATAGAAAACTCAGAATAGAAATATTGGAATAATGCAGTGCCAGTTCCTACTATTAGATTAAGAATGTAAAGCTTAACGTAAAAAGTGGTATCTACAATCCCATTGACTTAACAGAAATTTTACAGACATATCGATTAGTAGGTTGTTTCTAATTTACCCACCTAACAGGGTCATGCAGACAAGACATAAAAGGAACCTGGGCCCCATAATATAATATCGATGGTATTTTATTAAAAAAGCGTATACCACTAAGAATCGAATAAATACGTTTTTGGTAAAATCAAAAAAATTAGAAAAATTAACAGCATAACCTGATAAAAAGGCGTATTTAAATACAGAAAATTAAGTTGGTAATGTCGACTAAAAGATATCCGTTCACAGGAAAACAAAAAGGCCGTAATATTTTTTTAATTAATACCTGCACATTTCATACATTTTCCCGTTTTTCCTCTTCTTTCCGGTTGTTTCAATATATTGAAAAAACTCCTGAGGAAATCAAAAAATGACCTTAAAATACCACCCCAGTCAGATTTTATTTCAGAAAAAGTGCTACACTTATAAATCTCAGCAATATTTCTGGTAGAAAAGTTGATTACAATGAAATGGGCTTAACGTTAGATTTCGGATTCGGAGCGGAACGAGAGATCTATTGGTTTTACTACGATGTGTTTTTTTGTGTGATCAACTTTTCGAAAAATTTGCTTCAATCGAAAAACGACAAAAAAACATTTTTATTGCATTTTGGTTCTAGTTGGTGCATTACAAATATTATTTTTAGATTTTTCAAGCAGTTTTCATAATAATTAGGAAAAACCAAAAATGACCCAAATTAATTTAAGTGCAGCACCACTGCTTATACTATTACCATATAACTAAACCCAAATCAAAATAATATTAGATTTACCACAAATTCCATGCTGTATTACTTATTCTTTACTCATATTTGATGTCAAACTATGTAGTATATTAATAAATGTCGTATGATAAATAAATAATTCGTATTTTTTTCTTTGAAAAAAAAAAATTGTAGGTAGCTACATTTCTGAAAAAAAAAATATTATTATGTTATCGTTTTACGTATAAAATAACATTCAGTGGAGAAACCGGTCTTATAATACAATAGTATAGTAGATATCTATAATGCATTAGATAGGTACACACCTAACATGCAATTTCGTCCAATGTTTATTTTATAAGTATTTATGTAAATTCCATAGGTTATGTATAGAATTCGAAAAACATTAAACAGGTATCTACCAACCAACCTATCTAATATGAATAGTGGCTAGTATATTATAATCTATTCTGAGTTACCTATAATATGTAAATCTCATTGATAAGACCGCGCTGTAAAACAAAAATAATGTCCCTATACTCAATGCGAATAATTTATCAATTATAATTGTGTACGTCGCAAAGTTTAGCAACAAAAATACCGAAATCATTTTTTATGGACGATTATGATGTTTTTTACAATGCGATTACAATGCAAACAGAATTGTAGGAATTACAATTGACAAATCTTAATTTTAAAAAGTTTTATGATACTTTAGGTCCTTTACTAAGGTACGTTGGAATTAGTTTTGAATTTTAATCGTATGTAAGAGACAAAATAATTTAAGTAGAGTTTTGAATATTTTTAAAAATACAATTGATTTTGCTTATGATACTAAGTAAAATAATTAAATTTCTATTTCCAACATACTCTATAGTAAAAAGCCTAAAAAAAATCATAATGGGTATTCAAAATTGATATCTGCCATATCTAATTCCTACAGCTTTGTTTGACCTTTAAGTCTCATAAATTTACTAAAATATATAGTGTCACTCCCCTATACTATAATGACCAGATATAAAAATCAAAAATAGGTACATTTTAAAATTTAGATCTTCCATTAAAAAAAAACCCCCTCCCTTAAAAATTTTTTTTTTTTATAGTGTTTACAATTTATGTTATAAGTCTCATGTCCTTATTCAGAGATATTAGCATTTTACATAAATACCGTTCCACTATCGCCTTATATTAAATTAAGTGCTCACATGCCATTTGTGCATAAGTATTTAAGAACTAAAAATATCATAATAATGCAATATATATTAACCGGGAAAGTTAATTTTTTCACTAATAGTGTTATGGCAAATAATGCATCTTAGGTCCATTTTAAATAACATATTTAAGTACGTACATTAGGCTAAAGAACGTACTATTATTATAGCCTATAGGGTACGTCTTATATTAAAGATTTAAATTATCAATCCATGATAACAATCATCGCTAAACATATAAGTGCAGGTTCAATGGCCGCCACTGGCAGTGATTCCCGCCTTATTTCAATCTAGCTGGTAATAAATATCACTGCCAGCTTCTCTCCATGAAAAGCTATGAAATAAATAATTGTGATCATACCTGAGATCAAATACAGTATTGATGAAGCCGCAGTTTAATATTTTGATGCACATGTCACGCATTAAGATATATAGGACTGGAAACGGATGAGTCGGCGGAGTTCGAGGTGTGGGCCAAACGTGCAACATGACGCGGTACAATCATAACTGTTGTGCCATCTATCGGCAAATGATATAAGCCTATAAATAAATGAAATCTATTAGGTACGATTACAAATTGGATAAACAATAATAGACTATGGACACAATTAAAACAAATTACCAAAATGCCTAGACGATGTAGTGTAGATAAGTGTCATATTTTGAAAAAAATATATTAAATGTACGGGTACATTATTCAAAACACCAAAAGAAGCTACTATTTCAATAGCTTGAAACCAAGCTGCCTATAAAGCTAATGGAAAAAGTTCCATTGTTCTTTATGTTTGGATAAATCATTTTGTACCTGGAGATTTAATTTAAGATGATTCACCCAAATGAACATTTCCATAGCATCATATCAGCAATAGAAAATCTTTCTCGAAGTATCGTATTATGCCTAGCGTATTTCAGGAGACAATTGATGATTTCATAGAAAATAATACCAGTTCACTAACATTTACATATGCTAAACATAAAAATGATATACTGATGTCCATTCTCAGGTGTTATATAACAATAAGGATGAAACAATTTTCTAACATTGAAAATTAAAATAAAAATAAAATAAATTCGAAAAAGAAAAAATTCTGCCAAATTAGTTATTACCCAAGTAAATATACATATATATTTAATACATATTTTCTTGTTTTTTTTTTTATTATTATAATTATTCATGCTTACAAATGTATGTGCAGCGTAGGTATTAAATTTCGAAGTACCTAGGTATTGAGTTCAGAATAAAATATTCCATATTCACAGCAAATGTTATTGTAAATCAAGTGTTAACAGGTTTGCTATGCTATAGTTATTGGTTAGGTACCGTGACATGTAAGCGACGAGTCAACAGGTGAGTTGTCTTTAGTGCGTATGTGTTTCAACGATTAGTCGCATATTTCTCCTTATGACGGTTAGGTTATATGGATAGGCCTCTCGGTCTTCCTATATATGTAGCCATGATATTACGAAAAGGCTCGAAAAATGTGTCGATTGTACAATACAATAGTTTTTGTAGGTAACGTATAGGGTAACAAGGGAACCGAAAAGCGCCACCTATCTAAATCTGATTTCTTATCATTTTTTCTGAAACCCGTATAGTACTCATAGATAATATTATCTATGGATACTACCCCTTGGCACGGCAGACTGAAGCCATAGTATGTATGTTGTGGTCATACTGAATTGATAAAGGGACAACCACAAATATACTATCTTAAAAGTGTGTTTACAATCAAAACGAACACATGGAATTCAAGAATTGCCACTAGACTGTTAAGTATTCAACCTGTGAGTTTTAAAATATTAAATACATTATTATATAGCGTATTCACCACTCAACTTTAAAATGCTTTTAAGATTTTATCCTGGAGAAGATGGAACACGTGTGTACACTCTAAAGGTAAAGTATAATATAGTTGTTTTAATATGACAAAATGAATAATCATGTAAAATTATATTCTTTTAAATATAGAAAGTGGATCCTGCAGGCAACCAAACGTTTAGTGCTCATCCGGGTAATGACCATTTTATTTTTTTATAAATATTTTTATTAATAACTTAAATTTAAATTTATTAGCTCGATTTACACCTACCGATCAACATTCTAAAGAACGTATTCGCATAAAAGAAAGATTTGGAATTTTACCTACTCAAAAACCAGCTCCAGTATACTAAAAACAAAAATGTGTATTAAGTGAAAAAAAAAAATATATATGTAAACTGAAAAATTCAACTTTATTGAATTTTAATTAATAAATAAATAATTGATTATCATAAAATATTATCACAGTTTGTTTTCATTTGATCTAACACTCTTGATGTGTTAGATTTATGAATGTAACAAGTGCCTTTACATGTTCATATTAACAATAATAAAAACTTAAAATAACAATATATTAATGCCTGTAGAAACGTTAATTAAGTCTGGAGCAAATATGAGCTATATATATCAGAAAATTTCTGCATAGATTTGGCATTTAATTTATGTGTTACATCTAAAGTGAAACTGAAAGCTTTTAAATATTTCAGTCTATTAAATATTGGTGTCAAAGTAATATTTTTATTGAGTTCTCTGTATACAAGCCCTCTGCGGTATGATTGAAGCGTTTTTGATATGCTGGCATCACAATCAAGTTTAATGTCCCGTAGGCAGTAATGTAGTTGTTTGTTATAATCCTGAAGACATTGTAAATTAGATAATTTTATTAGGAGGCCACCACAGTAACATTTGCCGTCTATGTCTATCTAACAAGCAATGTAACACAAATATATTTTTGTATTAACAATAGTAATCGAAAACCGAATGGATTTAAAACAAAATTATTTCACCCTAATTAAAAATGATAATATTTACTATGTTATCAAATAAATAAATAAGTTTTTGATAAATTCATTATACAATTTTCTTTAAGATTATAAAAAAGAAAAATACTAAAGATAATTCCTCCCCTTCTCCCCAAAGTTTGAATAGTTTATCATATATAGTCATCAGAAAAATTTCATTTGAAAACGTAAATATCTTTTTTTAATTTGACAAAATAAATAATTTTTGTTGTAGGTCTACTAGATCTTGAAGAACATTAGAAGTAGGAAATCACATTTTTGTTTTATTGTCTGTTAAATAAACAAGACGAAAAATGTTACTGTGATACAATCAATATGTAAGTGTTTATGAATAATATAATTTTATGAAAGTAATAAAATATTACCTCAGAAGAATCCCACATAGTACATAAACCAACCATAGCTTGCAACCGAGTTTCTAGTAATAGATTAGAAAGAATAAATTGAGATAAATTGTTGGAAGTCAATTCAATATTATATGGAAATACATAACTTTCAGCTTTTCTATATAAATCATTAAGAATGCTATAAATACAATTTAGTTTAAAAAAAAAACTGATAAATAACATGATTTGTATACACAGATCTGATACCTGTAGTAATGTTTGTTCTGTTCAATATTTTTAAGTTTTTTTTTTTTTGTGGTAATTATAACGTTAAAATGATTTTTATGTAAAATTGGTTGTTTAGGTGTAAATAAATAAATATAAATACATCATTATTTTTAAAAACTTACAATATATTATTTTTTTTTAACAATTTGTTATTACTTATTACTAGAGCTCATAAGTTGTTGCATTTGCAATTTTTTCTTTATTGTTTTGATTTGTTGCTAAGTAAATTTTAAATTTGTTTCATATAAGTAAAAATTAAAATCTAAACAATTTCAATGCAATTTTTTGCAACTTTGTTGATTTTCTTCATTTATAATGCAATTTTAGATACTTTTAAATGTTATTCACATGATTAAATTATTTTTCTATGGTGAAATAAAATAACGATATGGTCCGTGTCAGGTATTATGTCAGAATAGTAATATATTAAAAATAAAATATGCAATGTATGCCTATTGATGGTTATTTCATGCTTTGTCAATAGTAATAGCAATGGTGAAAATACCATTTGAAGTTATTATTTTCTCGAAATGTTAATAAGAAAATAACCAGGTAAAACTTGTATTAATATTTTTTTTTTAAATTATTGCTATTTTGGATATTTTTTACACCAATAATGTAATTTTTCAGTGCAATAAATACAAATTATGATGAGTAATAATGAATCGTTAATTTTCCACAAGTTGTTGGAGTTTTAATTGATTTCATGATTTCTAATAAATAATATCATTTGATTCACCAATTCTTCCATGAAAAATAATTTTGTTAACTTCAACAATTTTTATAAACTTAGTGATTTTTCATTAGTCAATATGAATTTAAGACATCTGGACATTTTTACAAGAAAAAAAACTTAAAAATATTAAACAGAACGAAAGTTATTTCAAGGAGTCAAATTCTCAAATTACAGACTGCATATAATTACTTTTTCGCTGGAAAAATAATAATTGTAGGATATGTTTGTATAGTCAAATGCCAACTCAAGTCATTATCCCTACCGTTGAAACGAACAAATTTAATATCTTTAACGTTTCGCATTAAGCGGGCAACATTTAATAGTACGTGTGCAACAACTTGACAATATGCACAAAATGGAGTGTAAAAGTAAACTATAACATTCTAAAAAATAAAAAATTAGTATACATTTTAATGAATGATTAGTTTTAGAGAAGACATATATAATTTGGGTTGCAAACAAATTAATAATTAAAAGTTAAACTGGGTTCTTAAATTATTATATTGAATATAAAATTGTAATCAATAGACATATATTTATTATTAAAGGTGTTAAAGTTTTTTAAATTATTGTTAATATTGTATAGAATAATCAAAATCAGATTTAGATAGGGCTAAAAAATCATATTAGGTTTAATGGATGAAATGGCAATATATTGGTAAACATTTATATTTTTTTAGAATAAAACAAAAAAATGAGATATATACAGTGGAACCTTTGATAAGTCGAAATAAATGCTGTTTTCTTGTGAAAACCTCAAGTACTCAAAAATAAAAACTACAGATAACTCAAACATTCTGTGTTCCAAATATAGACGGATAATTTGTAAAATCATTTGCCCAATTGGCCAGTACATTCTAGAATTAAACCTAATCACATTTATTGTGATTATTATCATATTTTTCATTTGATAATAAATAATTAATTAATAATATTAATTTGACTGTAATATGTACATACATTTTATAAACTCAAGTCAAATTTTTTTTCTAAAATCTTGATAATTCGAAAAAAATTTAATTTCTCTCAAATTTTAACTTATTAAGATTCCACTGTATTTGTACTTTCAAAAACAATCAAACACTACATTAGGGACCACTTTTTTCAATTAAAATATAAGAATAGTGTTTAGGTATACCAATATTATAGGGCGTGTGGTGGCAGATTTGTATTACCATCTTTATATTACCCAAATTTTATTATTCAAGTAAGTAAATATTACTTCATTATTATTAAAAACAGTATCTTCAAAGTTTTCAGTGTTCAATGTTTCAATGGTTACTGTTTCTTTGCCATTTTCATTTCCTCTGTATAAATGGAAATTTATATCATGGTCAGCTGATGATCTTAAGTGTCTTTTAGCTCGATTTTCTAAAAAGTCTATAAGTAATTTTGCCATTGTATCTTTGGTAACATGACTAGATTTAGGTAATGCATGAACCATTTCAGACTGAAAAAAAAAAAACAAAATAACATAATAAATATGGTTTAAAAAAAAAAATGATTACCCGTAAAACACAATAATACATAATTGAAAACTATAACTAAATATTTTTAACCACAAATTTAAACATTGGCTAACATTTCAAATATAAAATAGGTTTCACATTGTATGTAATAATTACTCTAATCTACTACACGTATTTTAATTATAAATATTATTTTTCTATTTTATTGTTTATTGATTATGATGACATTTATTTTTATTTTACTTCATTATATTTTAAAAGTGTAATACCATCATTTTTTTTTTTTATAACAATAAAAAGTATAAAGCATAATATTAAATTAGAAATATTTTGAATTTGATTGTATACACATGCCTTATATTATTTAAAATGAGTAGAAATATATGCTTACTTATACCGAACAGCTAAGTTTTATCAGATACGTTCAAATTTTAAAAATAGATACAAATTAATAATTATACATACAATTGTTATAAATTACTGGAAAACATTGTAGTTTTTTTAATTATTTTCTAAATTTTACCTTCATATCATAAATTAGTACTGCTGTTTTATCTCGATAGTGGTTTAAGTTGATACCAAAAACTTTAGCAATATGATAATGACGAGTTGAATCCAAAGCTAAAAATGTCATACTTTTATTTGCTAAACATATTGATTTTAATGTATCAACAGTGTCATATATAAAATCCGAATCTGGTTTAGAAAACCTTAAAATAAATATATCAACAATTAGCAACATGTAAAGAAGTAATGCTTCTTAGAAGAAGTTTGCTTACATATAATTTTTAAACTATTTTATACCAATACAATGCACATACTACAGTCATACAAAATAAAAGTAACATAAATTAAATTCATATCAAAAATTGACTTGCCTAAAATATTTGTCAGCAAGTACAGCTCTGTAACATCCAGTGTCTTTCCAGTGTTCAATAAATTTGTCTGTACTTACATGATTTGATAAGCTTGTTTTAGTACTAATCAAATACAAATATATAAAAGCGGTTTTTATTATCAAATACAATATCTTACTTTTTCTTACTAGACTTATCAGCATTTTCATTTGAACAATAACTAAATTTGTTTTCAGAAAATATACTATTTGACATTTTACACAGAGCTGCATTTAAATAGTTAATTTCCATGCTTTTGTCAACATTATCTTGGTTTCCTCCTTTTATTGTAGAATTTTGTTTTTTAAGAATATTGGCCTTTTTATCTGGATATTTATTCATTATGATCTCATAACATTTTTTTACATATTTTGGACGTTCATTATAAAAGGCTGAAATATAAATAGTAAATGTTAAAATATACAATGTATTTACAGTACAGTGTCCCAGAAAAAATGTACAATTTTAAAATGTGTGTTAGTGGAGCATTACTAATCCAATTTCTAAACTAATATAATCAATTTATCACTTTAAAACTTAATTAGTGTGGAACACTCTAAACAGTTAAAGTAATTGAATTATTTACATACAATTAATTTCTTTTCTTAAATATTTTGATATATAGTTTGCTGGTATAGAATCTTTCTGACATTTGAAGTATTCAATGCTTAACAATTGTAGCTGAAACATTTATATGATATTATAATATTTACTATTAATGATGTAAAAAATAATTATATGAATTACCATTGAGTAAACTGGGTTAAAATCCAAGTATGGATTGTGTGGTGTAAACAATAGCATAGTTGGTCCGGTTTTAAAAGTATTATCTAGAAAAGAAGATCGAACATGGGCAACAGGAGGTACCCACTGTGCTATAAATTTACTTTCTTGTATCACCCATTTTCCAAGTTTCTCATGATTAACAAATGATTCATTAAATGCCTTAATAATATCAATAAATAAAATATTTAGTAACTTTTAAACTAGTATAGAACTTTTTTTTTTATAAATGTTATTTACCAATGTTCGGTTCCACAAAAGTAACTTAATTAATGGTTCTTTACTACTCAATGGCCATGTTGCAACACACCATTTAACATACATTTGCAATGGGTCTGTTCTTAAATGATTAATTGCTACATCTAGAACAATCTTATATAGGTCCCAGCCTCGGGTAATTTTAAAATTAACAGATGCCACCAAAACGGCCTGAAAATATAACATAATACTTGCGTAATTATATTATACACAATATTATAATTGATAATTAGTATTTACATGATACTTTTGATGGATTTTTAATAAATCTCGTTTGCTATTCAATAATGTTACTGGATGTTTCATAGTGTCAATGAAACGAGTTATGTATGCTGCATCATTTGTAGGCCCTGTATAGTAAACTCCTGCTTTGGAGTAATCATAAGCTACTATCATTGGGTAAATCTTATTGCCTTTGAGTATTTTACTGCATCCGCTATCTGGTTGCCAACAATTTACAGCAGCAAAATATACCTAAAATGTATAATCTGGTTGCTATAGGTATCTAATAAAAATATTTAAAACAATTACTTCATCTTTATTGATTTCACATGATTCGATAAAGGCTAATTTTGCATCAATAGAATCTGCATCCCACGGAGCGTAAAACATTACAACAGCTAGATCAGCCAGGTTTACATTTGATAAAATAGATGTTAAATCACCCGTGTAGAAATCATTGACACATGAATTCCCATCAAAAAATGGTTTTGGTTTGGGGGCCTCAGCATCATAATCATTTTGTCTAAAATTAATGTAATACAAAATATACATAAAATATAGAAAGATATTTCAACTTCTAATTGCACTAGTACAAGTACAATTTTACTAATATGGCTTACATATTGATTAAAGTCGCGTAAGTGGTGCATGAAACAACAAATAAAAACAGCAACTCTTTACCCAGCCTTTGGATGAACATTTTGAACCGCATGAATTGGTTAAACGGTTGTTCTTCAATTTCATCCGGCTGCTCTTTGATGGTTTCTTCTTCCGCTACACTTTTCATTATTTAACCTCATCGGGATCCGATGGATTTTTGGATGGTCAGATGCACAGATTAACCATAGTCGATCGATACTGCTCAATTCGATCAACGCCAAAGAAATGGTTATTTAAAGATTCCCAAAACAAATTCAAATAATTGAATAGGTATTTGAATGTACACGTCGTACATGTAACTATAATATTACCTATATTACCAGAGTAATTCAGTCTTCTATGCAAACTATGACAAATTAACAGCTATTCGCCGGACAGTTGTGATAGTGTAAACAGTGCCCCCTAGATACATAACTGATAAGAAATGCTGGTCGTGCCTCTTCCCTACTAATATCTACGTAGATAATAAAGAATTATTTAATTAATTAATTATAATTCATCTTTATTGCCTGTAATCCATGACTGGACAGGATAAAATATTTTTGAAAATTATACTAAATTATTATAATACGCGTGTACAATAATTTGTATGTCATGTTTTAAATTTATCGTCGGTGGTATAGATTATAAAATATTTGGTCTAAAAATGTAAAATAATCAAATGCCCACTTAACTGTCCATTTCATTTATAAACAATATGCATCTTGTGACGTTCCTATCACCATTCGAATTTGTGTTTAAAATCTATTGGTATACCTTGCAAAATAATTATTTGTTTTTTTGCATACGTGTTATACGTTTATTGATTTTTATTTCAAAACTATTTTTAACGTTTTTTTTTTTTTTTTAAAGGTACTTCGCGTTGATACATTTTTACCTATTATGACTTTAAATAGTTTGACCACAAAGTAGCAGTGAAATAAATATAGCTAGTACAAAAAATGTAGATAATTCTAGTTAAAATAATTTAAATTGAGGAAAAAAAAAATTACTAATTAGTACACATTAAAAGTTTGATACTGGTAGACGTTTTACGGAAATGGAAAAATGTAATAAAAAAATGTGGAACGCTTCACGATTTTGCGTGTCATCCTTGCGCAGGGGCCATGCTAATCTTCTCTGTATCGTTCCAATTTTAGTATATGTACTGCCGAAGCAAGTACATCTGATATATAAAAAGAACTCGTATATATACCATGCAAACATCACAAAGTGAACACTAGCGAGAATTTGCTTATAAAGTTCTGTGAATATCGTGATTGTCACTGAAGTCTTACACCGATAGATCGCGCCACAACATACACCCTCGTTGTCCGTCGGACATAAAATATTTAATAGGTATGTTCTAAATAATCTAAATTCTGATTTCCAATCAAAGTTTTTTTTTGACGAGATAGAATTTAATTTTTATATTATAATAATGAACTAATACAATAAACCAATAATAATAATAATAACTGTATTATAATTTTTTTCCAAGTACCTAGGTAGATGTAAGCCTCCTATAGTGATAAGGTATTGCCATAGGTTCAATTTTTTATTAAGTAAGTACCTACTATAAAAGATTTTTAATATTTAACACTGTGACATTTTTGTTATATAATTAAACAATTTAAATACAATTATTCTCAGTTTGTAAATTATTTAGCTACATATTTTTTTCTTGAAAATATAGTTTATTGCATTATTAATATAAGTACCTGTATATTTAGATAAGAAATATTGTTTCCTTACTTATGGTCTCAAACTTACTCGAAAAAAAAAATGTTTAAAACTTGCTCATCACATATTTAGTTTTTACATTTAAATAACATAGAGAAGTAACGATACTATCAATTAAATCACATTTACTCATTAAGATCGAAAGTTACGAGGTTTTACACAGTTTTTTCTTAAAGATCGTAAGAAAATACATTAATTTCTCTTAGAATCAAGTAAAATTTAACTGTTATAAGAATAGCTTATTTGAAGAAATATATAAAAATTGATTTTTATAACTTTTTTCTTATTTCTTAATTATTTCTTATTATGAAGTTGTAAAAATCAGCCACTTTTTGACCAAAAATTTTCAAATAAGGTTCATTTTTAAGTTATGAGCTATTCTTATAACAATAAAATGTCACTTGATTCCAAGTGAACTTTATGTATTTTTTTGTGATCTTTAAAAAAAAAAAAACAATTTACAATTTCAGAACTTTTGAACTTCATTAGTAAATGTGATTTAGTCAAAAGTATTGTTACTTTCTTATGTTATTTAAATGGAAAAACTAAATATGCAATGAGTAAATTTAAAAATTTTTTTTGGTTAAGTTTGAAACCACAAGGAAGCAATTTCCAGTATTAATTAGAAAAATTAAAAAAAAGTTAAAAATCCAAACAGTCTAATATATCAATAATTCATTTATTACATGTATATTATACCTATATACAATGCAATAAATTATATAATTACCCTAAATATCTATTAAATATACATGCAGTTATACCTTAAAAATTATCAAAATACACTCTTAAGCGCAATTCACATGATTAAATATTTTATCAAATTATCCATAACCAAAATTGTAGCAGTTGGTCAAATATAACAGCAGTTTTAACCACGTAAATTCTGGTTGCATAATTATACAAATTCAGTAGTTACCTAGTACAAGTATATTAGATATTATGATCTATGACAGTATACATTTTGTATAGATTATATATGACTCATATCTAATAATATAATATTATAATATGAGCTACGACCTTGAAAAATGAATACAATTGTATAAAATATGGAAACTTCAGAAACTGTACAAAAACAAACGTTCAAGTTTAATGATAGGTAGGTACCTACTCAACCTGTTCAGTGTTCAATCTAGCAATACATATCTTTGCTTTCTTCGGTGCCATTGAAAACAAACTTAAATAATAATTAAATTTATTTTATATAGATAATAAATAAATAATAAATAACAATCAGAATACAATGCCTTTGTAAATTATATATCATAATATTATACTATACTATATAGGTATGATAATTGATAATAAAACATCTAATCTAATTCTAATTTAAATTGTCATAATATAGGTACATTAATTAATTAAATATTTTTATAAATTTATCATTATATTCATTCTATTTCAATTTTATTTATTAAGTATTTTATTGTGTTTATTGTGTGTTCTTTACTGAGCCCAATTTTTTTGTATTGTAGTGGTATTTCAACAAAATACTGAACTGCGTTGTAACCTGTGCAATTTTCAACATAGACACTTGAAACTAACAGGTTATTTAAATACAGTAGAAATCATTACATATACAAAATTTAATAATTTTGGGAAATATTTTTAGATAGGCGATATTTGTGTGACAGGTAACTTGGAGGTATAATTCAAGTAATTTTTGACTTTGGAACTTGATAGTATGACAGTTGTATGGGAGTATTATTATGGACCTTGTTGAGTTTCGATCCATACAGACTATTTTGACTACACTAACCGCTTTGGCTCTAGTTCAGCAAGAGACAAGTGCAGGGGGTCACAACCATAGAGTAATATTAGTCTATGCTCATAATGCAGACCAACAATTTACAATGCTATCTATTGACTAAATTTTTAAACTTTTAAATAAAATGTGCAGTATTAGGCTACACTTATGCATATCCATTATTCAAATTGATTTAAAAATTGTATTAATGATAAATATTAAAGACTCATGTGGTTGTAATAGTTGTGTAAATTTCAATATTTAAACTACCTACATTATTTTGGCAGTAAATAATAAAATATTATCATGATTGAATTTGTGACATCAAATAAAACAGCCAGTAGCTTTTAAGTTCTAGCCCTAGTTTAGCAAATTATACAGTCTCTTGAATAATGAATAAGAGTACCTACTTCAGAAACATAAAAATAAAAAAAATCTGTCTTAAAAATGTACAAACTCCTAAAACATGGTCTAGTAAAGTATAATTATATATATGATTTAATCCTAAAATATGCAAAGTAATTTTTAAACAGAAATGTTAATATATGAAACAAATTTTGATATTAACTAGCTATTTTTTTGACCAATAAATAAAAATATACCAACAAATATCATTGTCTAGGTATCTTTAATATATAATATATAAAAAAAAATATATAATAATAGTGTAAAATATAACCTTGTGTCTTTTACAGGAATCTAAAAGTTGGGTATTGTTGATTTAGGTAAGTATTGTAATTTTTATATTTTACAAATTGTGTTGTATAAAAAGGGTAACAGGGAAAATAGTATTAAGAATGAGTAATAATTTCGACACTATCTTATTTACAATTTAGTATAATTCAAAGATATTTTTTTAATTTATATTTACATAAAATAAAAAATAATAGTATGTAAATGTAAAAATTTAAATATTTCACAAAAATAAGATAATAAATTTAAAAAAAAAAATTCATAATATGTAATTTGAATTCACTTTTTCATTCAATATGATAAATAAATAACATTACTCAAAACTAAATTCATTACTGATGTCCATTAAAGATTTAATTGCAATTTCATCTATGTCATCCAATACCCTATTAATTCTAAAACAGTGAACAAATAGCTATAAATAATTTAATAAAATTAGATCAGTATTTTACTTACCCAAGTTGAATTGAATCTTTCGATAACCATCCTTCATTCACAAGATTATCTAAAAGTTTCCGAGCAGATGTTTTTTGTTCATATATTATTGCTACAAGAATCATGGCAACAGCAAACGATACACCATCATAATGAAGCCATGTATTGATAACAGTAAGTAAATGTACAATTTCCTGTAAATATTATAATAAAAAACATAATAATATATTCAGGAGCGAGAATTTTATTAAGTAGTATTGATACATTTTGACATAATGAGTAATAATATTAAAGGATAAAAAAAGTAATAATAAAATAATTTACATATATTATACAATTTTGGAAATTGTATACTAACAAATATAAATGATCGAAAAAGAGCTAATACAGGAACGAGAAAAGAATAATTTTCGTAAACCCTGTATTTTTCAGTTTTGTATTATAAATAAAAGAAACTAAAAAAAAACAAAAACCAACTTTCTTGGTCATCAATTAGATTAAAAATTCAACAAAAAAGATATCTTGATGCTTTTCAATTAGATAAATATTTATGTTGTGCCATAATCTGTAAAAATTGTAATTTCATCTTTTTTGGTTTTTTCCAAATATTAGGAAAAATATTTTAGATATCAAAAATTGACTATCTCTGTCAGTGGCTAATGGCTATGTATAAAATGGAACAAAATCAATACAATATAATTTTTGGATTGGAGCAATATATCTGAGAAAATAATGTTAATGAATAAAAACGGTTATGCCATAAATATTTGCTGTTTTACCTATAGTTTTCTTTCAGAGTTTTCCGATTATTGTGAAAACTCATTGGAAAATCAAAAATGATCTCTCCAATGCACCAACAAGAGAAAATTACCTTTCAGAAAAAGTGCTATAGTTCAAACTTCGGAGCAAATTTACTGGTAAAAAAGTTATTCATAGATACAAAAAAATACACATAAAATAATGAATCATTTAAATAATATTTAAATATATAAGTTCAAAATACCTATCTATTATTGTATTTAACAATGTATACTTTAAAATTCAAATTAGTCTACTTTTTTAAAATTTATATTAGTAACATTTAAAAACAAAAAAATAATATACATATATAAGTATTATTATTAAAAGTGACAATGTTTACTCACTTCAAAATTTTCTGTGTGAATAAACATAAAAAGAATTTCATAACATTCTTCATAAACTGACTCAGCCAACATTTCCATAGATTTTGACACAAAATAATTTTGTGATTGAAATGGTAATATATGATCATTATTTTCAACATTTGTTTTATGGTTTACTAATTCAAAAGAATCTAATAATAAAAAAAAAAATCAAATATCATTGACTACAAGAATAATGAAGTATAATCATTGCAAATGTATTTCTAAATAAATTATATTTTATAATTCAACAACACTTAATTCACAATCAGTATTGGGAAGTATTAATTTTAAAATTGTTAATTTAATATGACCACATAATAAATTATAAACATGTGTAGTTAGGGTTACACAATAAAAAACAATGTGTTTTAAAAATTTGTTTAATACAACTGATTCAGTTTCTTATCTACCTTGTCACTTTGATTTTGAAATGTTATAAACTATTGTTTTTTAAAATATTATTGCAACTGAAATCAAAATTAACTTTTAAACATTTAATTTTTACACAGCTTTCTGGATACTTAGTTTTATAATCAGAGGCGGCTTGAAGGTGGTTTAAGATGTGCTCTCACATAGAGCTCTGCACTTTTAGATACAGTACAGATAGTCGAAATTAGAGTCATGGTTAGAGGGATAGAAAGGGATATAAGTGAAAAGTTGATTAATGATAGCAGAAAGGACAATTCTTATTGTTATTGAGGAGATAGTTAGAGTTTAGTAGAAATAAAATATGCTATCAAATAATAGAATGTATTTTATAATTCAAGGACTCTCAAGATTTATCTACTTTAAAAAAGTTTTGAACTCTAATTTGTTGATTTATTATTTAAACAAAAATATTATTTACCAGTTAAATATGAAGAACAATTACTTTTATTTATCCAACCAAAATCAAATAAAGATTTTATTTCATGTACCAAAGATTTGATTATTGGTGACAATTCATTGTCTATAGAAGTCTCGTCATTTGTAAATGATAAAAGTTGACTTACTATATGATCCAAATTATAAATCTAAAAAAAATGTCATAATAAATATTTATCCATAAAATTAAATTAAAAAATATCAGATATGTGGTAGACTCAGGGTTTTTTAAGGGTGAATACACATTAAATATTAAATTATTAAATCTAATAAGAACATAAATACAGATTTAATGAATTGAAACAATATAGTACAATACTCTGAATTTAACTTATCTAGCTAGTGTAATATTATTTAATATTTATCAGATTGTTACTTTTGATAATTTTTTTCCAGTTATTTTCAAAACTATACATAAACAATGAATCTGTAGTTCTTCTTTTACATTTAATAATTCTGTAACACATGATAATATTACTTTTCCACTAATTCCCCCGAATTGGTATAGTTCAGCAAGAAATCTATTAAAAATATTATTGTCCATAAAATAAATATATATTTAATAATAAAAAAAACATACTTGCAGTTGGTTAACAATTTATTATAGTGATTACACTGGAAATTGCTTAATTCACTGCAGAGTTTTGTTGGTGTCTAGGAAATAAATATTTAATATTATTGAATAATAAATTTGTAAAATGAAATACAATTATATTAATCTATGAAACCTCGTATAATAGTCTTAAACTCTTAACTAATATTCAGTAATAAATAATTAAATATACATAAAACAAAAATTATTTACCATGTATTTTTGATGTCTAAATTTATCTCTAATATTTTTTAAGTCGTTTTGATAACTTTTATACATATTGAAAACCATTTGGCATTTTTGCATCAAGATTTTTTGAAATGTATTTTGTTGGCTAATACATGTATTAAATTGTTTGTCCTTTATCAAACTTGTACACAACTGAGCATACAATTCTGAATTATGGTATCTTTTTAATATCTAAAAAGATACAATTGTACATAAAATAAATTTAACTAATATTTTGTTAATATTTTAATGGCTTCATACTTTACAATGTATTTTATTTGTAACTTCATCAAGTGATGAAGCTGATTTTATTGGCAAAGCAGATATTGACTGTATTATTTTGTTTATGTCTTCAAGGTTTATATTCCATAAACTCGAAGACAAAGAATTTAATATCTCCTAAAGTAATAAACAAAATAATATTATACTAAACAACTATAGTAGATAGGTACCTAATGATTAATATCTAGCAGTATAAGATAAAAAAAAAAAGAAAAAAGCAGGTTATGGATTAATAACAGGTATGTAGGAAAGTTAGTAACTATGCAGGGTTAACAGTATTAATACCTACTTGTATAATAAATATATATTATAACTAGGTATACTAATAATTTATTTTAGTTGTTTACAATTTTGAAGGCAATGAAGTGAGAAATTTAAAAACATTAACTATTACAATTATGAATATTTTGTGTTCATTTATCTATATATAAACTAATGTAGATACAGTTTCACAATAATACATATATTGTAATACAAAAGCAAAACAAATTAATCAATTTCTGCTAATCCTAAAAATATTTATTTTTAACAATTTTATATTTAATATTGATATATTATAATACTAAATACTTACAAGTCGGTTCATAGTTTGATAACTTTTATTTAATTATTACCTGTACCTATAATAAAATACCTGAAAATAAAACAACAAATAAAAGTTTGTTCTAAAAATTGTATTGTAAATTCATATTGAAAAATATAAAGTAAATACCATTAATTTTTAAACAATAAAATAAAATAAAATAATTTTATTTTTAGTTAAAAAAATAGTATAAAATAGGGAAATTATGGCGCAAGTTACTAGTAATATTATTACAAGAAAATTACTTAGAAATATTGAATAAAATAAATGTTCTTGCGTGTCAAATCTCCTCGAAACACCCTGTATAGGTAACACCTGCCCATAATAATTTAAATTATTTATAGTCATTAGTCATTAATGAGTTATTTATTTATTTATGCATATGATGTTTGGCTTTTAGTAATGGTAAAATAAAATAAGTAGAAATAAATTAACATTAACATAAAAGTAAATGTGAGCAAGTAGATACAGATGCAACATATTGATTAAATAAAATAACAATAATATCATGTATGGCAAGTTCTTAAAGCTATTTAATTGTGACAGCCACCGATGTGTAGTTTTCCCAACCCTTCTTCAAACTTTGGATTTGGGCACGAATCAACAATGTGCACGACTGAGTGGATTTCACCACATTTACAGATTGGAGAGTCGGCCATGCTTTATTCATGAAGATGGTTACACCTACCTTAACCCATCCTGATGCGTTTTAGAATATAGATAAAATTAGATGAGGATATGGATCATTTGATTTTTATGAAACACCTATTCTAAATTAGCTAAAAACTACCAAGATATGCATAAATTAGTTGAACTTAAGTTATAAGTAAGTACTCTCACTTAGAAGTTTGAATCTCTAGCTAATTATCTAATATGGCTACGGTGAAATATTAATAGTTATAAATATTACAATTTTTATAGGTAGAACATAGGTTGATCTGAAGCTTATTTAAGGCTATCATCACATCACCCCCACCTTAAATCCGCCATTGAGATAAGTACCAAATAATACAGACATGTTTAATATTTAATCTTATATGTTATATACAGAAATTATATAAGCGTTTTAAATAATTAATATTTAGAACATATTTTCGGTATAGAAAATAATGATATACAATAAATAAAATAATTCAGTTAATTCCACCTACCTTAAAGCACTAGAGAATAGGCACAAATATTTATTAACATAAAAGTTTATCAAATAAATTAAAATCGAACAAATTGTACAAAATTACAAAAATATAAACTTATTGAAAAATATTTATTAAATATTAGTTATCATAAATAAAATAATAAATGAAATAATCAATTATTAATTATTATTGAAATTTGTAGAAATTATTGTCAGCGGTCAGGTTATTACAATTCTATAATAGTTTCATTGCCATAGATTATAGACAAAATTACGAAAAAAGTAAAATTAGAACCTAATCAGTGTGATAAGGTCTATGAAAACCACAGACCTGATATGTTTATATGTCTATGATGAAAAACACAGACTTCTATAATACTTCACGCCTGTGATGAAAACGATACAAATTGTATAAGAGTGGTTGGTCTTGGTACGTTATCATAAATTATGTGATCGACGGAATAAATAGTCCAGGGAAAAATCCAATAGAAAAACCCAAAGAAGTAAACAACCCTGTAAAATAACCCACGAAAATAAAAGTCAACGTGAGCACCATTTAATTGTATTATAACGAGATATTTTATAATTAAATATTTAGTTGGTTACACCGTAACATAGAATGAATGAATGTTTAATTGATAATTGATAATTTCTGAATGAATTATTTTTCGTCAAAGTAGCTCCAAAATCCAAATGTTCCATTTAAAAATATATAACGATCATTAACGATAACATTTACAATTTTAACAGTTAATTAATTTTCCATTAGGTATATTATTTGTTGAACGAATTACACAGTTCAATTGAATTAACAATTAAAATTAAAGACATTATCTTTTGTAATTTATTATACAAGTATAAGACAAATTTACATGCTTTCGGTTATCGCTTTCTGTATGCAGAAAAAGCCACTTTTGATACAAGTATACAACCACATTGGGTTCGAATGCTCTTCTATATATATTGTTTAATATTACAAATTCAATTATATTGATAATGGATATTCTATAATTTCTTTTAGTACATTAAGATAATTAAAATTCTTTATAATATGAGTTGGTAGGTAGGTAGATAATCATAGGTACTGCTGACGATATTTATCGTTTATCCATGCAATGTATATTTTCACCAATTTTGATGTTTCGAATTGATAAATGATTTCAGTAAAACTTAAAACAATTATAAATTTTAATCAGGTAAATGTTCTAAAATTTACATTTTTGAAGTATTACTTCAGGTAAGTACCTACCTACATTTATTTATCAATTGATTTATTTTTTTATATACAATTTATTATTATGATAGGTATTGTAATTAAATGATTTTTACAGTACTATTACATTTTTAATTTTCAGGAAAAAAAAAGGCTGTGCTATGGGCTGTAAATAATACAACTGTAACTATAATCAACTAAAACTGGTGAAATATATTTATTATTTATATTTAATATTAAAACAGTTATGTGTTTTATATAATAAGAAAATTTAAAAGAAAATTCTCCTCTAAATGTGCCATTGTCCATAGTAAAGCTATAGCCTTATTCGTAATATTGTCTAACATTTAATTTGGTCTCGTCATGACTAAATACTATACTATTAGTCTACTAATTATAGTAGGTAGTAATTACCTTCATGTATTATAGGTACCTGTTACACTTACCGATTAAATTGTTTCATTAGATTCGGGCTAGTAAAAATATTTAAATAATTATAGAGTAGTGATCGTGCATACTCGATACTTAATAATCGTAATTACTCTATGGCTCTATGTAAATACTCGCAATACAGGAACACAATATTAAGCGGGCATCGGTATAAATATAATCTAATGACAATTGAGGCGACTTTGAATGATGCGATGAATATAATATTATAGTCATTTAAATCGTTACCGAGAAATATGATTTTGAGCGATACAATTATTGTGTAGGTTATATTGTAATGGTGATTAAATTCAAGAAAATTGAAGATTAACAATTAAATCATCAAAGTATTTTTCGATTTTAGTGGATAAAACTCAATATAATTTCCGATAGGAGTAAAAAAAATGTCGATTTGTGCGCGTTATTATATTATTTATTATGTTGTACTAAGGAAGACTTTCTCGAATTTTCGGTAGCAGATAACTATTTAACTTTTGAGGGTTTATCTAAAACGATAATGCAGCAAATTGAAAAACTTGGCTTAGAAAAACAATATCTCGTTGGGCAAGGGTACGATAGGTATAGGTGAGGTACCATATTGATGATAATGAACTTAGAAATAAATAGCTAATGCACAGTTGTGTCCAAAGTCACAACTATAGGGAGGTGCTAGGGGGTCTTTAACATCGCCAAGTTTAAAACTACCACCCCTCCCAAAAAAAAAAAAACATTGCCAATTCTTCGTAATTGGTCATTTTATTGTTTTCGACAAAATTATATAATAACAAAGTAAACAAATTAATTTTGTATTCAAAACTATAAGCAAACTGAGCACTAATTTAAAATAATAAAATACAAATAATTACACCGATATTAATACTTAACAGTTACAAAGTAAAAATTGATAGCACATTTATTAAATGAGTTGTAAATGTATAATTATTACTGACTTTATACCAGTAGAAAACTTATTGCATGATAATTTATTGTTAAATTAAATTTTATCACTATTCAAAAATATCTATTTTTGTAATTCATGCGATAAACAGTCGAATGATTTCAAGAATTGCTCCCCCCTGTAACTTTTTCAAAAAGAAACGCATCGTCTTGCCTCTAGAATATTATCCTCAATTAGTTTTATAAATATAGGTGGTATTATTTTAAAACCATAATTAAGCAAGTTATACGCAGTCTGCGTAAAGTAGATTTTGCTATATTGCCCGTTAGTTGGATTGAGACAACGTCCTCTTAAAACTTTGAAATTCGAATTAAATATTGGTAAACTTGATTTAATTTTTAATGTTTTCAAAAACTTTGTAGATAGATTAAATCGAATATTCATAATAAAATTAAAAAATAATAATAATAATAATAATAATTCTATGACAGCAAACCCACATTCCTAATGTAATTTGAAAATAAGAAATTTCTTCGTCAAATATTTCTTGATGGCGTTAATCATAACTAGGGCTCGGAAGTTATAGGAGACGAAAAGGCAAGATATGCACGAACAAATGTTTAAATATGCATAACCTTATTCAAAGTTTATTATTCCAAAATATATAACGTCATTATTAATATGCACACACAAGAAAAAGATTAAATGTGATCAGACCGTTGTCGTTAAATTAATAGAAGACTGAGACGATAGAAAATAACAATAAATAACTAGGTACGTTGAATAATATTGAGTTTTATATTCAATATTATTTAAAATACATTGATCGCACTATGCATTTCAAATGTTCGATATTTTTAAATCTCTATTGATATAGAAACAATTTCTAGCTTGTTCTGCTATAAATCCAGTGCATTCAGAAAAATATGCAACTCCTATAACTTCCGAGCCCTATTCATAACTTACGAGTAGGTTATTGTGCTGCGGCGGTGCTCTATAGAAGTATAATAATGATGACAAGTGGTCTTTTTGTGACACATTTCGTGACAAATTCTCGTAATATTCGTACTATATTATACATTCGAGTCCAGTCCGCAATATATAATACCAGGTGATCCATTTAAGTTGGTACACTTGATATTTCGATAATTATTTATAACTTTTTTCGGAATTTGTTTTTCAGACCATTTAAGAAACAAACACTTCTACAATTTTATATTTATGTTATTTTTAGGGGTGAAACCACAACCTACTTTTGATTTTCAAATGGCACCTATATTAAAAAGTCCATACATAGATGGTGTGTTTGTTAGAATGCAATATTGTGGATGTGACTGACTGCCCGTATAGATACGCGACGGGAAACCGATTGCGTTTCTCGCGGAAATCGCTCCGGTCACGTGATTTGCGGTGGGAGGGTAGGCATCACGGCGGTTACCTAGTATACCTATAATACGTATCCAATTATGAGACTGCGGTAACGGCGGCGGCGGTAACCGGCTTAAACCCGGCTCGGCGTGACGGCAACGGTGTGCAGCTAGGGACACCATCACGGGTGTGTGCGCGCGATCGGGAGGACGGCCGGCCGGCCGGCCAGCCGCGGTGGCGTCGTTTACGGTGCTCGCGCGAGACGGGACCTTTCATTCAGTCGACTTGTCCGCCGCCGTAGTCGTGTAACGTCAGACGTGTCGCCGCGCAGCAAAAACTTTCTCGTGGCCGCCGCCGGCGTACGTACGGCCGCCGAACGTCTCGTTTTCTGCACACCGCCACCGTAACATACCGATGGAACCGCCACCGTCGTGGACGCCGTTGCGGCGTTTCGTCTTCGGACTGATTTTGATAGGCTTCGTCCCACAGCAGGCGTTGCTCAGCTCCGCCCAGAATTCGTCGATTCTGGAATACATGATTACCTTTCAAAATGACCTAAACGAAGTGAGTATTTCAACATCTTGTACTCGTTTATCGTTTTTACGCCGTACACCTTATAATATTATTTAGTTTAAGCGTATTTTTAACCGCCCGTCAAAAGATGTTTGGCTCGGTGTTTATGCCAGGCTCGTTCCTAGGCCGAGGTGAGCAGGGCCTTTGCGTCGGGCCCCGCGTTTCCCCTGCGGTCGGACATGCACCGCGCTTTTATAGATACAACAAACAAAAAGTCTGAAAAAAAAAAAAGGAATCAAGGGCCTCCAATTACGTCCCTATAATATTTTGACACCGTTTAACTCAATACACTTAGGCTACATGGCTGTGATGTGCTGTCGGTATAGACTTTAGGTCATAAATACGCGGACCCGAGTGTTGTTAGTAACGTATAGGTAACAATAACAATGTAAATAATACGAACGAATACGAACGATCGGGATTTGCTAACGAAATTGTGATTTCGCGGTCGAATTCCACGGCAGAGGGTACTGGGCATACCCAATATTATGTACTACTATTATGCACTATTATGTACTAACATCGGGTTTTCTTTTTTCACTGAACTTTTGTTATTTTCCTTTCCTAGTAGATAGGTTTCCCAGTAATTTTCGACATAAAATATTATATAAGTATCACCACATACGTCGTCACTTCACCCTACATATTTTTCTTTTTTTCTTTCATTGTTTACGTTATAAACGAGACGGTTTTGTTTTAAAATATAACATGTACGTATATATAATATCTAGTTTATAAATAGAAGTCGTATAACACATTTACCTTTTGCGGTTTAGTTTACATAATACTCTAAACTGTAATACCTACCGGTCTAATACCTGCGTTTCTATGAAAAATAAATAGGTAGCTATGGTTTTTTTCTTCGGTTTAATATGAAAAGGTAAATGTACATAACCTACAATATTTACGTATTATTTATTCTGCACACGATTGACTTAATTAAATTAATTTTATTATTATTCAGTTAAGTAATTGATGTTCGAAATTGTAATTAATATCAGGTACACCTATTTACCTATTACGTTTTGAAGTGATCAAACAAAAAGTTATACAATAAATTTGTTTTGGGTATTAGTTCACTCAAAAATGTGTACCTACTATTTCGTTTACAACACATTTAAATGTTTTTATGATTTTCGATGATGTAATTAAATGTATGATGATGTAAATAGGTAGTTAAAACCATTCGTTTTCTTTTTAAATACGATGTTTATAATATAATAATATAATATTAAATATGTGATAAATATTATTAAAGTAGGATGGTGAGTGATTTAGAATAAGAAATATTCCTGGACCACTGCCAAAACTACTCAATATAAAGTCCTTGACCCCGAAACTGTATTACGTATTGATTGTTACTTATATCCAGAGTACCTACCCATGCGCAGGGATGAAAATCCTTAGGTTTCGATTTTTATTCATTCGTTTTAATTACATAATATAATATAGTTTTATACATTATATCAACATTAAGTAATCACATCACTGAATTGAATAAAAATACATGATTAATTACTGAGTTGGTATTTATAGTCTATGATACATGAAATCATTTTTTGTTATCATTTAAAATGGTATTATTCTATGTTGTTTATATAATTTGTTAATATTGCAAAATTTGCTCTGTTATTCAATATTTTTTACACCCCTAAAATATTTCGTATCGTACGAGTATTAAATTCAGTGTTTGAATTGGAAAAATATAAGTAAAGGGACCATTATTATTATTATTATTTATTTTTTATGCCTAGACAGGCAATTTACACAATTAGTAAATGACAAATTGGGAAATAAAAATATAAACACACATGCACAGTGATAACACAGTTTACATATACTATTAAATCTAAGATTAAATTATCGATTGGTTGGCTAGTCGTAGCGTTCTATGAGTCGGATGATTATGGCTATAAGAATTCATGTGAGTTGGTATGACAAATAGCTAGTGGCTGCTAGCGTTAAATGGCGGAACGCGGACGCAAATCAAGGAAATGAGGTCTGGAGCAACTATGGATCCATTAAGAAGGGAAGAAATAAAGTTAAAATCTGCTTCGAGACGTCTGATGGATAGAGTAAGAAGTTTGAGCGTATCAAGGATAAGGGAATAGTTGTGCGGAGGTGGGATGATGATGAAGCCTTAGAACAAATGAAGCATACGACAACAATTTATTCTGGAAACGTTTTCACCTTAGTTGATCAAGATATGGATGATACATTATGAGAATGAGACCATGAGACATAAAACAAAGTAGCGGTCCTAATAAAAAAAAAGTGAAATTTAAAAAAAAAAATGGTTGAGGAGCTCCGTCCCTCAAAATCAAACATATAGTATTTAATTTTTAAAAAATGAATCCATTTAAAAGGTATTTTATTAATTTATAATATTTATATGACGCTATACATGTGTTTGTTGTCTCCATCTTACAAACAAATGATGTAGTAAATTTGAGTTTAGCAGAACTAATTTTACCAAATTTAAATTTTTTATCGAATTTTCCAAGAAAATAAAGACTAAAGGATTGTATTGCATCTGCTATATTAAAATGTATATTTTTTTTTCGCTACTTTAGGACACTTAGCTGCTCTCTCTAGTCCGAATAAGCCCAAACCCGAAAAGTACAGTTATTTTTTTTATTGGCGGATGTGATAAAGTTTTAGTTTTATTTTATTACGAATTTTACCATATTGTTGCGGGGTCGGTGGTTTTTTTTTTTAACTTTGTATATTTCTATAGATTCTCAAATAAAGCTAAGGGGATGAAATTGTGCGTATGCATAGAGTAAGTATCAGGGATAGACCTTTTGGGGATTTCGACTTTCAACTCATCCCAACTCATCGTATGCTCAAATTTCACGTTTTCGCAGGAAATATCGGATTTTAAATACATCTGTTGACTAAAATGTATTAAAATTCAGGTGACCATAACTATTTTAGATCAATTATAAATAATATAAATAAAATATTGTAACGGTGGTGACAAGTCGGCTAGAGGGAAATTCGACACTATAGTGTCGCGGAGCTCTTTTGTTCACGGATGTCTCAATATTAGTGAGTTTTAAATGTATAGCGTGTTACGGTTCCAACCGAAAAACACCAAAACTACTGCGTCCTATTTAGCTTAATTTAGCTACTCAGGAAATCATGAATTTATTGTGTTTCATCTGATGTAACTCTATACACATCACGTGATGTAAAACGACTGTATAATATACTATAATATTGTGTACCGACTATGATATTATTGTTACTGTCGAGTTGCGGAAATGACATAAAAAAGGTACAATGATGTATATATTTTATTTATAGATATACAGGATGCCCTACGAAGATAAACCCGTTTCAATATCTCCGGAGATAATTAAGATAATCAAATTCTGTTTTTTTTTTTTTATATATATATATTACTCACGGAAATAAAGACTACACATAATTATATTTCAATTAATATTTATTATTTTTGAAAAATTTGAACATAGTCATTTTGTAGAGTTTATTTTTCCGAAAATGTTGACGTGTTAATTTTTTTATTATCAATTAATTCGTGATTTTTAATAATTTTTTTAATTTCAGAGAAAAAGTGTTCCGTCAATTAGCCATAATAATAATAATAACAATCAATTAACGAATGCGATTACAGCCTGCTGTATAATTATAGGTTCTTTTTTCTGAACTTTAAACAATTATTAAAAATCACGATGAATGAAAATAAAAAGTTAAAACCTCAAAATATTTTTAAAGAATAAATTGTATAATATCGCTACCTTCAAATTTTTCGAAAATTATAAAATAAACAATTCATTTTTTAGTTATTTTTTTACCAACACTTACAAATTCAACTCAAATAATGAAATAATAAAGTATAAACAAAATTATTAAAATGGTTAATACTCTTAAATATATAAATAAAAAATGTACGTATGAAAATAAAAAATAAATAAATGAATAAATGCGTCACCTGGAGTATTATGATAAGTCATAAGCGAATCCCCGTGAGCAATACAACAATAACAGAATTTGATTATCTTTAATATCTCAGAAGATATTGCAATAGGTATGTCTTCGTGAGACACTATCTGTAGGTATATATTTTGTTAATTTGTTGAAATGCAAATTATTCACTAAACAATTGTTTATTTTTCTGAAATTGTGTGAATTCGTATTTAGGTAGTCTCGGCGAATTTTTAGTGAATTTCCACTGCATGCATACTAACCAATCCCTTAAAAATACCTCAGCAGAGGTGAGCTGAGCAGACAAATGCCTGCCGCCCAGCCTTCAGTGAAGTTATTTAATTTTTAAAGTATATTGTTTCGTTTCAAAATCTACTAATTCAAACATATGCCATGAATTTTTTAATGTATATTGGACACATAGTAGCAAAATTGTACTTTACTGGGTGATCATCAACATTACTGCAATGTGTCCATTTGGATATAGAAATGCTCTTAAAAAACACTCTGGGTACTCTAGTAGTTTATTGTTTATAGGCTCTATCATCAGAAATTATAGACTCCGGTAAGCACGGAATCATTTAATACTGTATCTACGATATTCTTATAAATTATTTAGGTATCTATCTAATATTATTTTCAACATAAATAAGTAAATGTAATATTATTGTGTCCTTGTTTGAATTTTTTTAAATTCTGAGCATAATGAGGAATGTATTAGTTTACTACGATGTGTTTTTTTTTTTTTTTGCAACATTTTTACCAGAAATCTTGCTCTAATCAAAAAATGACAATAAAACGGCATTAATTTCGTTATTTTCAATTTTGGATTTTTACTATAATTTACAATTTTCACCAAATACTTATATTAACTTTTTCTAGACATGATAACGTTTTCAAACATTTTAGTGATTTTCGAGTTATTTAAAGGCATTTTATGTTTGTAAATTCTGTAGATAAAATGGTTTGATTAAATACAAATGCTTAAATACCTATTTATATTTTATAAGAGTTTTAAGATCAAATTTGACGAAAATCGTAAAAATAACATTTCAGAACATGTATAACTGAACTTCGTTCAGAATCGTATTTCATTAGCTATGATTTATCGTTGCTTACGTAAATAAATTAAATTAGTTTAGGTATCCTATATACCTTTCCAAATTTTCACTTACAACAGTTAGATTTATTATCAATTAAAAAAAATAATAAGAGGGCTTTTAAATTTAAGTATGATATAGTATCAAACGGTATCGTAGGAAAATTTTTATTTAACGTTAGTTTTATATGATATTCTATTATTTCTGCAGGATTTAGTAGTAACTTATAGTATTATAACTAATAAGTACTGATTATGAAGGCGGTGCGCTGTACATTTTAACACATGTACACAAATTTGATATTTTAAATATTTATAATATGAAATAATAAAATATGTAGGCACTTACTGGTTAGGTAAACACTGCAAACATTAGCTATTATTATAATCACTCCGTGGTTTAAATACAACTGTTTAAATTATGTATTTTTTTTTTAGTTTCCGTCAACGGCGTGTGGAGTATACAGAGCGGGGTTAAGGGGGATTCAGCCTCCCACATTGGTCGTGTTAAACACAAAATATAATAATAGAAACTATTCGGTAGTGAATAATTCATTACTAACACTATAATAATCATTGTACATTTCCACTACTTGTTCAATTAAGTAGGTACAAATAATATTGTACTATATATTTATGGATTTTGGAAAATAATTTTTTTAGTGGAGTTTTGTTTCAGTTTAGTCCTTCCCGTTGAAAAATCATAGGTATGCCTCTAGTTTCCGTGTAGATAGATATTTTTATCGTTTACATATTTTACCGTAGAAGAAAAAAAATGGTAAAAACGCGTGGACGAACTAAAATATAAGTACAATATTAGTTGGCGATATGTTATAAAAATATTCAACATTCAAAATATTATTACTTGATAATTAATAATTAATAATTTTATTAATTATTTCTGTTTTCAAGAAGGGATCTGCGTTGGTACAATTCCTATTATTTTACGCCTTTACCACGCATGCACGTGAATTATATTACTTGTATAGGATACCTTCATAAGATATATTAAAGGGAAAAATCCGGTGTAAATGCGCATGGTCACGTTAGACTTCACGGTTAGTTACGAATAAATTAAATGCAATTATATTATAATATTGTTGTTCGTACAATTTGATATTTAAAGTATACACAGAAAGGTAGAAGTATATAGGTAGGATAAACTTAAAACTTAATATCCTTCAGTACAAAAATGGACGTTTATTTCTAGTCCAGAGTTATATATACCTATATATCATATATATTAAATAGAACAGTTGGATTTTGTCCAAAATGTAAAAAAAAAAAAAAAAAAAAAAAAGAAAAAAGAAATGAAAATGATCATAATATTAACAACAATAATTATATACGTATAATACGTGGGTGAATGACAGCATTGTGGAACGAATCCGTTGATCGTTTATCAAGGTCTCGGAATCGATGAAATATTAGACAGTCATTTTTTTTTCTCACTTTTTAATCACGTTCTTTTTTTGTACTATTGTGGCTTGTATATAGGAAGAAATGATATATACAAGTATATAATATATGTGTGTATATATAAAAAAAAAAAACAAATACGATTCATTTTTAGTTTATTTTTTCTGTTATTCCATGGGTACTTTTTTGTGAGTACCAGGGAGAGTATCTATATAAAGATGTTTTTGTCACCTAATTTTCGATATTTTGTACGTCTACCTACATTCTTCGGTTCCAAGGATATTCAAACGAGTATTGTTCTTCGCGGTATGAAGATGTAATGTGCAATTGTTAAAAAAAAAATTGGTTAAATATCCATTTGGAATTTAGCTTTGTATTTGTATACGAATTAAAGTGAAACTGATTTTAAAATTTTACGTTAGGTAAGTAAATTGCTAATATTTTATATTTTGAGCGTAGTGAGGAGTGTGTATTAGCGTATAGTTTTACTATATTATGTATGCGACCATGCTCAAATTAAAAAAACGACGAGAACTTTTTTGTAACATTTTGGATCTAGTTAGTGTAATGAGTGTAATAATTTGAATTTCCTAGTGGTTTTTATGTATTTGGAAAAAGTCGGATAAACGTAAAAATGTACGGCATTAAATTTCATTAAATTAGATTTTTTTTTTTTTTTTTATTGGTTTTATGATAATATAATTGTTTTGTCTGAATAGAAGAAATTCTTGACAGTTGAATTCGAAGTTCATTATAAATTGTACTTGGTGGTAAAAAAAAAATTGAACATAATGTAGTAGTTTTCTTTATTCCAGGTTCAAATTTTGACTAAAATCGTTAAAAATGACGGCATTTTAAAACATGTATAACCAGATTTGGTTCAGAATCGTATTTTGTTTAATGATTTATCGTTATGTACAGATAAATTAAATAACTTTATGTATCTTCCTATCTTCAACCGAGATACTCCCATCAGCAATATCAGATCTTTTATTTATTTGGTATTATAAGTATCTGTTAATTTTTAGTGTTTTTCGTGCTATAATTATTACGAATAACTATAGCGGTATATATTATTATTTAATTATTCGGCGGGTTTTTATTGAACATTTTATACCGGATGATCCAATTTAAAGTGCCACTTAATTTTTAATTTTATTATAGTTAGCAGTAATTATAATAATGTACCTACTTATACTGTATTTTGTTTATACAACCTTGTTCTAAAGTCTATTTTATAATCCGGGTGATTTTTTTTTCTAAGTTGTATGTTATAAAACCATGTATATAATTACTTAGATAAAACAAATTATAAGACAATTAATATTATAATTATTCAAGTATTACCTACATACATGTAGTAACTGATCGAGGAAATCGAGGTAGACCTTTAGTCGTTATATTATTTTGATAGGCAGTAGTTAAAAGTTGAAATGTAATATAATTTCACGTTTTAATGATTCCGATATTAACATAATTTCTCGCGATAGGCAGTACGAATATAATTAATTTTTAGATTGGCTAAGTAAAAAATAATTTTTTTTATTATTATTATTATTACTCACACAATCAAATTGAATTCAACGATGCGTGAAATTGATTGACAATAAATAGACAAAATACAGGTACCTACGTAATAGTGTTTGAACTATATATTATACAAATTATTCCATACCAATTTGTCTTGAAATGTATAATTAGTTGATTAATTAATCAACTGAATATTATTGCATCGACGGCGACGGTCTCTAACCGGAAATTATTTATCTAGTTGGTAGATAGGTAGATAGGTTTTACAGTTACTGCAGATTCGATGGACATGAGTTGGCGAACAATACAATCTGTTCTTATCTCGATACATAGTATTATATTATTATCAAATTTGAAATATGGACTTTATAGGTACTTATCTATTTAAAATTTTACATATATTTATATCTACTAATATGTCTTTGGTCTTAGAGAAGAAGGTTTTAAATTAATTTCGTATAGTTTTCAGTACAAGTAAATAAAATGTTAAAAATTTGCTAAGCTGCATAAAATCATAACTGTGAAATGGCTAAATTATTAAACAGCCTAACCCAAAGATAGGCGTCAAATAAATGGCTCAAGTCATAAAACTATGGATTTTTACGAAACAAAATAAAATATGTTTGCGACATAAAATATTTTATTTTTAAGTACACAATTGTATTAGAATGGCATTAAGACAAAAAATAAAAGGAACAGAATTACTTAAGATAAAATTATTATAAAATATGCTAAAAATTGATTTGAGACCTTCTCTTCTGGTATAAAAGTTTTGTGCTTACTTATTCGATAGCTGACATCCGTTTTATTAAAGAACTATATGTGTGTCTGCGCGTCATAATATGCCAACTGCCAGGCGCGCGAACAAACAATATAAATGAACCACAGATAATATGGATACACAATATATTGTATAGTAGATATTATTATTATTATTACAATTATGCAATGATAACATTGTTTGCATTATTGGCAAATGACTCGGCTATCCAGTTAGTAATATGTATATATATATATATGTATAATAATATAGGTAAACGTATCTATGTTAATATCACAGATAATATAAGATAGATATAATGTTTTTTCGAGTTTCATAATGATAATAATGAGTTCAAATAATTATGTTGTTGTTACGTTCGTTTACGGTGGATTTCATTTCAACGACACTTAGATATTGTTGTAAGATATATCGCATTGGCGTGTTTTGACGTGTTGTGTTGCACAACTCGTCGTGTACTTATACTATCGTGTGTAATTCTCGATCTCGGACGACAATACTATGTCGATTTTTCACAACGCGTCTACACAGGTTACTAATTTCGTTATATTTTAATACCTACTGGTGAACATTTGCGCCTACAGAGGACGACGTTCTATATATTACATAGAGTGTCCCATTTAAATACATTTATTTTTTTCACAAAATGTGCTGGTATTGGTACAAAATTATGAACTAATGATAGGTCGTTAATTGTCTACAATTTGTTGAAGTTAACATTATCGCTATTAAATAAAATAGTCAAAGCGCAAGGCTCTAGTGTTTATGTATACCAAAAAAACAACCTTTCAAAATATCGAATAAAACAAAAGTGAGACACACTGTATTATGACATATACAGTTTTGAAATCGGTACGCGTTTACCACACTCGATAAATCAACCCTTTTTTTTAATCCGATATATATAATATTACACAGACGGGGTATACGTTTACGTCGTTCCACATAGCAGTATAATAATCGAAGTATGGGCAAAGTTGGGCTTTAATACTTTTTCTATAAAATGTTAGCGTTTCGTTTTAGATTCTGATCGAAAACCGGGAAAAACGATACGATATTAAACAAATATTATGAAAGAAAATATATAATGCCTATTTAATTATTTTACCATAATTTGTTATATGTATATATATATATTGTTGACAAAGCATCACTATCAACTGGACTACGCTCAGAATCGTTTTTTCGTTAGCAATGGTTTATCGTTGCTTACAGATGTATATTAAATTACCTATAACAGTGGCTGTACCCCCGATTCCATTATCCTAGGACGTCTTTTTTTTTTATGACATGTGTTAAATATATATTTTACGGTGCGTTATTATGTCATAGAAGCTATTTGGAGCTGCTGAAAGATCTCCGTCGTATACAAGTGTATACACAATAATAATAATAATATCATAAAGTGTCCGGCCTTGCGCGAATTCGTCGTGCTGTGCGACGGATTATTGTAGTGCGGGCCGGTGCGGTGTGACCGAACCGGGCTGGGAGGGCGAAAGTTGAAAAGAATTCCCGGGCGTCTTTAATAATACACTGCGTCATACTGTATACACACACGAGAATGATAATGCCACGGCGCGTGACACCCCATCGGGGTTTTCGTCTCTTTGGGGGCGGATATAAAGTAATACATATATATATATATTTATGTGTGCGTGTGTGTGTGTACAATACTAAATCGTCCCCGGAGGCGTATTAACGTTCCCTATTTGAAACGAACCGCCGATGCGAACGAATTTCCCCAGTAGGGTCTTTGATTGCTTATCACAAATAATGTATAATGTCAATAATACGGTTTCAATAGTAACGATAGTAAACATCGTAGCCAGTTTGTTTCACTATTAGTTCAATCTCAATGCTGTTTCAAGGTTTTGAGTGTCTTTTAATAGGCGTGAGCCTAAAACCTACTAGGTACATTAAATGAAAAGCCTGCCGTAGTGGTTTGGATAAGAAGGGGATCCATAGCGCGGACGACACCGCCGAGCATACGGCCTTTGAGTGCCCGCATCATGGTTTTGGCGAGGAAGATGAGAGGTCGAAACAGGCTGCGGATCCGGTTGCTAGTTGTCGAAGACGAAGCCTCGCAGTTGCCTGGTTAGGCTGTATGCGGTTGGCGGCTCTGCTTAGTAGAGTGTGCCGAGCCGGGGAAGTAATGCCAATGAAGGTGGTGTTCAATTGGAAGAAAACAAATAAATCAGAGAGGAAATGGAAAAGTTTGACTTAATTTTTGGACCAAATCTGATTTAAAATTGTTATTGTCTAAAATGTTAACATAAAATAGGTTTAGATAAAGCGGGGGAAAAAATCACAACAAATTTACACTAAAATATATAATCATCGGCTATTGATTATAACGGACGCCATGCCAATCTATTTTAAACACCAGTGTTCGAATTGGAAAAATAAAAGAAGAGGGTCTATGAGACTCGTCTCTACGTTTTTTCAATAACAACCTCGCTGATGAGGGGATTCGTCAGCTACAGGTCCTGGCTAGATGTTTATATTTATTATTTATATTACAAATTAACAAATTTTTTTTCGAAAATATCATTATTTGCAAAAGAGACGTCCGTCCGTTCCAATAGAGATAATTAGTTAGGGGGTGCTAAAAAAATTTAAAAAAATTGCAAAAGAGCTCTGTTCCCGTCAGCGCTCCTCCACCAACTGTAACTTAATACTTCAAACGAGTATAGTGCCATATCTGGTCTGTATAAGAGGATTCCATTTGCGTCTGTGGTTCGTCTCGAGTTGGGAACGTTAGTGTGTATTATATACATGCCCACCTATATGTATATTATTTTACTTGATAATGTGTATATATATATATATTGCGGTCCGGGCGTTTACGATAGCAGAAAAACACACGCCGCGCGTAAAACGTACCTATAACTGTTCGTGCGCGGGTTCCGCTTCAATGGATTTCTCATTCTCTTCCGTTGACCGTGACGGATTTCTCCTAAACTCCCCGGGTCTATATTATTATATTATGTACTTATATACTCTGTGTTTATAGTTATATATATATATATAAATATATTCCTAAATTAAACCCGAGACCCGACAAGAAACCGACGGCTCGGCGGCCGCGCAATAACCGCCGTTCCACCTCCTTACCGATCCGCCCCTCCGGCGGGTGGCGTGGTTTTCTCGCGACGCATAATAAATAGGGAAAAAAAAAAAAAAACAATCGCCGTCGCCTCCTCCGCACAACGACGACGACGCCTAATGAAAATTATTACTATGACAATAATAATTATAATTGACGAATATTATGCGTCGGCGCGGCGGCGGCGGCGACGGTCGTCGTCGACGTCGAGAGTATTATACCGCCGCCTCGCGCCCAGCACGTCCCGCCGCACGGTTTCCTATCGTTCGCTTCCGTCCCGCGATACATTATATTATATTTTAACACGCGCCCGCCGTTGTGTTACGATGACGATCGGCCTTCTTCTTTTTTTTTTTTTTTTTCATTTTAATTTATTTCGTTTTTCTCCGCAGTGTTGCTGCCGGCTACACGGCCGTGACCGCGTTCCCGGTCGCCGTATTATTATTTCCTCGTTTCTATAATTAAACTTTAAAACGCGCGCAAAACTGCGTGCAGCACTTGGTGCGCGTGCACGTCACATTTATACGAGAGCATATTATGAAGGCGCACGGCCACACCTGAGCGTCGTATTCGGACCGAGCGCGTACAACGTTACGACGGTCAACCGGTCACCTGCACGGTTAGGGGGCTTGGGGAGGGGGGCGGCTATCACCCCGGCCGTAACCCCGGGCCGCGAGTCAAATGGTTTCGATTGTTATTATTTTTTCTCTCAATTTGTTTGCATTCACTGCGCGGCGAAGAAGCTTGTCCACTCCTACCTTTTGAATACAACTCTGAACAAATAGCACAAAAAGCTTTCTTGTCCTCTTCACTTTCATTCACTGTGGTTTTTTATGTTTTCGTTTTTTTCCTCACTTTAATTTTTTGATTCTTCGTTTTAGCATCGTTTCACTACTATGGATTCATATACGCGTCCACTGGTAAACAATTTTATGTTGCTGTGTGGACGGATGCATATTTGCATTCTATTGTTTAAAAAATTAACAATAGGTGTTCTTATTAATAAAGTGATACGTTCATTTAATATGGTAAATGACTAGACAAATCTAAAGATATAATTAAAAAATAAAACGTACAAATATCAAAGAAGATTTAAGTATAATACAATTCAGTCCAGGGTTCCCAAAATGTTAATCGATATTATCGTATGCGTAGGTAAGGTTAACAGAATATAGATACATTTCGACTATTTTGGGAACCAATCTTTAACTTAAATAACTTGTATCTCCTAAATAATGATTTTTTAAAAAAAAAGGTTAAACGTCTAAAAGCTATCGTAAGTTTATATGCGAAAGTCCTAGGTTTTTGCTGCTAGAGACATAAAGATACGTAATTTCTGGTATAAAATGTAATGTTTAAATGTAACCTTTAGATTTCTTTAATAATAAGATAAAATTGATAATATATTTTGATTTATCTATTATTTAACGATGTGCGCCCCCGCGCTCCGCCACGCAACTTTGTTGCGCGCCACGCTAACCTTGTGAACTCGGAAGCGCATCATCAGCAGACAACGATCTTACCCATCCAACAAATTTATTAAACAACTAACAATTTGTTTGGACTTTGTTTTCGACAGGGAGCTATATTGAACTTTTGTGCTGCCAAGTACACACTGGCAGCGCAACTGTTTGATGGAATTTTTGTTTTAGGTCAGAATTATTATTCATCTTAGTTTGTTGGACAACTTTTAAAAACGCTACGATTATTCGTGTATAACATTATGGATTTACATAGGTACTGCGTTATTTATTTAAAATACTTACAGTCTGATTTATAAGATATTTGTACATTGTAAACGAATTTAGAATATAATTTTTAGGCATATTTTGATTGTATATACATACAATATTAAATATACGTATTATAATATATACTAGGTAGCTGTATTACCCGGCTTCGTTTGTGTGCAATTTTTTTTTTTTTATGTGTTTCGCTGTATAACCAGTGACATTGTTCGCTTAGACATCTATAATAATGCCTTCTCTACGGGACATACGATAGCTATTAAAGATAGCTAACGGATAAATAGCCTATGTCATTTCTCAGGATGCAATCTATCTCCTGCCAAATTTTAACGAATTCTATTCAGCGGTTTAGATGTGAAAAGGTGATAAACAAAGTTACTTTCGCATTTATAATATTAAGTAAGGATATATGATAAAAACTCAAAATAGTTATTAAAATGATATAAGTCGGTACGTTATAAACAACGGACTAACCAATAACATTTTTAAAGTTAATGAGTGTAAAATGTTAAATAATACCTAATATATTAAATTCAATGCAATTTACTCGTGCTGCGTGCCACGTGCGTAAATGGAATCAATCGACGATCTAGCATAATCTAATGACTAATCGCGTCACCCGTGATCATTACGTATTCACCCCAGCCGTCGTTCGAAAAAATACAAAAACAAATATGAAAAAAAAAAAAATACAAACGCACCACATCGACACGAGCCCTCCATTTTTTTTTTTTTATGAGTTTGTGCGTATTTTATGACCATGCGATGTCGTGTGAATAATACGAACTTTACGCGCGTTTTTTCAACATCGTCGCATAAAACATTGTTACGTTAGGGTGTTTTGGGCCCTTGTTATTTTTCCTACGTCATAATCGTAATAATTGTGTTTCCCAAATTACTAGTTCACCCCCATGTCCCTTCTCCCCAAACTGAATGTATTGATTATACTAGTATATTGAGTAGGCGAAAACTGCAATTTTTTTACGAATAGACAATTTTCAAGTAAAATTGTAGACTTCTTTAATGACATCATGATTATTAATAATTTGCTTTCATGTATAGTCTAGACAAAAATAATAATACTCGGATGACAACCCAAATTCTGGACGTCTATGAATTTAATTTTCTTTATTGACTTTTCGGGGTACGCATACTGCATAGGAATTATTATAATATTATATTATGACGAATGAAGTCAAAATTAATTAAATTTCTTGCATATAAAATGTAATACCTTTGGATTTAGCTTTTAGGACATTTAGAGGAGTTACCGCAGTGGCAAAGTATCTCGTGTGGTAAAATGTTATCGATTTTTGACATAGATAAAATATGGTTCAGTATCAAAACTCACATGATCCAATGGTATTTGTTTATTTTAACGCAAATCGCTACATTGCGGTTAAATTTAAACCCGTTATCGTGTGTTTTGAAATGTCGTGAACACATGTAAATACGTGTCCGTTTTTTTTCTGTACTGTTTTTTTTTCCATATTTTTCCCAGTTATAATGGAAATCGCATGGAAAATAAAAAAATGAACTACTTACTCAATCCAAAATGCAACAAAAAAGTTCTCTCGTTATTTATTGATTGAAACAAGATTTCTGGTATAAAAGTCGTTTACAGACAAAAAGAAAGCAAATATTACAGTAAAACCAATGCATTTCTCGCACTGCTCGGAATTTAAAACAATTATTTCTTCCTTTGAATTCTATATAATCATAATTTACGTACCTATGTAGAAAACAATGAACTCCATCAGTATGAATATATATTTATGAAATACTAGCTGAACTCGGCCACTTTTTGCTGTCAGGCTGATATGATATGATGTAAAAGGAAATAATAGTAATTTAGTGTACATTAATTAAACGAGAAAATATCATTCAATTTAATATTCTAGCTTGTGTTGCTGTGACTATATGGGATAAAAGGAAAGATCTTTCAATTCTGCTCGCGTATGAAAAGTTAATTTTGTCTAAAAGGTTGTTGATCAGAGCTTTTTGATCTCCTTTGACTTTCTGTAATTACGCGCCGAGAACTGCGACCTATGTTTGAATTTGAACTAGGCGTTGTAGATGATTAATGAATGTGATACTATAACATAAAACTAAAGGCTGGCGTAATAAATTTTCCTAGTTTGAGACAACAAATAATTTCAAAATTTAAATGGTAAATGTCTGATAATAAACGAAAATGTAGTTTGTTGCGATGCTATAGTTAACAAAGGATAAGTTCCATAATAATTTCAGCAACTCAACATTTAAGTCCTTTTTTTTTTTTTTCTACTGATCTAATCGAGTCTGTAGGTATATAAAAGCATGCGCGTATTTGAATGCAACGTTGAGACAAAATGTAATGTCAATGGACCGATTACTTTTCTTTTTGGATGCACAAACATACAAGGGATTAATTTTAATTTACAAAGATTATAATAGTAAATATAATAATCTATTACAGTGATAAAATGTGTCGCGTTTTACATTTTGACTGTGATATACCTGATGATGAATTTTTAATTCCAAACCGGTCGTGTAATATAATATTATATAATACACTTATCATAATACTCCAGGCGACGCATTCATTTATTTATTTTATTTTTACGTATACATTTTTTATTCATATTTATTTACTTTATATAAAATTTATATTTTATGAAACTACTTAACTGCAGTACAAACAGGTACTAAAATAATTATTAGAATTCACATAATTTCCAATAACATCTATTAATTTTACTCTCGTTGTGATAAATTGATAATAATTTACAAGGGTATCGCTAATTTGTGCCAAAAAAAAAGATAATCGTTTTGAGTACAGATCATTTGCTCCAAAATTAAAAAAAGGTACTTTTTTTCCGACTGCTCAAATTTGCGCCAAATTTCCCTCTAAACATTTGGGCGGCATTTGCTGCGGATTTAATAAGAATCACCAATAATTGTGAATCATTTCATGCCCACTTTAACGAACAATTTTATAAATCACACCCTAATATTTTTACATTTTTAGAAATTTTAATTAAATTTGTTCGAACAGATGTTTACATTAAAATCAATAACAATATAAACAATATCCCCAATCATCCAAAGAATTTGTAGACTAAACTATAAAAACAAAAAATGAACACTGTATGAATATGTAAAAATAATGTCATTTGATAAAATAAAGATTAGGTTAGGATAGTTAGTATTAGTTAAGAATTAGTAGTTTGTATTCATAATTTTTTAAAAAATAGTTTTAAAAAAAATTGAATAAAAATGTGAATTCTTGAATATTATTATTTATTGGAATATAATTTGTAAATTTATTGACAATAATTGTGAAAATTGGTGATTTGTAATATTACAATTTATATAATACGTTATTATTTAAGTGCTAAAAATAATAATAAAATTTGACCAATTGACTAATCTAAATTGACCATCATATAAACGTTGTGTTAATCAAAATCTATATTCATTTAGTACCAATTATAAAAGAAAAAAAAAGTAACATGAAATAACTTATAAATAAGTAAAATAAAAATAACTCGTGTAATATACTCAGGTAAATTTGGCACAAATGGGCGATCAGAAAATAAGTACCTTTTTTGTTTTGGCGCAAATGGGTAATTTCCATTTACGGTATACCGGATTTTTCGGAAGTTATTTATATTTTCAGAACCCTTCAATAATTTTAAGCTCGATGACTTTTAATTATAATCAAGTTATTTTTAAATTTATAAATAAAAGCTAGTGAATTTAATTTTAGGTAATGGCCAATGTTGGTATTGAATTTCTCCGAAAAAAAATAATACGTTGTTCTATTTTAATAAACATTTTTATAGAAAACTATAAATTTACACGGTGACAAGAATTATTTCTATTACCTACCTGACTCGTACAATGGTCGACTACTTATACACACGGAATGTCAGAAATTTTCATCAACCGTTTATAGTGAATAATTCACTGTAGAAGCCAGAAGGGATCGCCAAAATGGTTAGAATGCCGGTCAGATAATATAATATGACCAATTACAGTACCTAAATTCATTAAATTCGTGACCTACCTGTTTGTTTTGGATTATAAATGTGTATTCATTGCGGTTTAAAATTACATATTGTAAATCGTATTAGCAATATTAAAGGGATTAGTGACGGTGTAATATGTGACCTACTAGCTGCTAATAATATGATTATAGAGACATTTTTTATTATGTTCGAACTATAAATAGAATTATTTTACTGAAAATCGTAAAAAAAAAATTGATTATTTTAAAAATTTGTTCACAAATGTACTCAGAGTAATTTACAGTATATCTTCAGTATTAGGATTATAAAAATATTGTGTAATATTGCACAAGATTCATTTATGAACAGGCAATCGTCGCATTTCATTTGCGAATTTTTCCCCACCTTTAATAAAAGAAAATAGTAGTTCTAAAGGATATGCAATTATTATTGAAAATCTTCCAAACCTTACGTATTATAGTTTGAATATAACAGTTATTAATTCAATAAATATTCAACTATTGGACCAATATCTTAAACCGCTTTATATCTACTAACCTAACAAAATTTCAATTGTTTTACATATAAAACGCTATGGAGTGTAAACTATTAAAACAATGAATGAGTGGTTACTCTAAGTTTGTCTAGTAATAAAACATCACTGTCTACAAATTATTTTCCTCCCTATAACGGATATTGTGCCACTGATAATGTATTAACTTGAATTAGTACGTTCAGATGAGACATGCATATTCGAATAACCGCAGAGTTGTACAGTGTACAGTTCAGGAGTGCTTATTTATTTAATATTATTTAATAAAATCATTATATTATTATTGATATGAGTTTCGCCAGTTATTATTAATAGTTAAAAAATTTAGATTCGTATTTAAGAAGATCGGGAAATAGGGTATGGAAATTACCCTTTTCTAATCTATCCCCAACAATAGGATGCACCCACTGGAGCCTTTTATTTTTTTTATTTTTATTATGCCTTCTTTTGAGCAATAGAGCTAGTAGTAGAGCTTCTTCTACTTCCACGGTTGAGTAAAAAATAAATAATAATTGTATTGAATCAGATATTCGTGTACGACAAGTGTCTCGTGTGAAAGGCGTTCACACATTTTTTGTGTCTTGTAGCGCGATTCTAGTGGCCGGCCACAAAGTGTCTCGTCTGGAAGCGCTCTTACAGTAAATTTGAACATTGTAATTTAACAAACGTGAAAGTATATTTGAATTCCATTATGTACCCGTATAACGATTTGAATTTAGATTTTAGTAAAAAAAAAACTATTCATTGTATAACATGTACATGGCATTCCAAGAGTCTTATTTTATTATGTAAAAGAGATGTGCAGTCCAATATTAAATCTTGCACAGCTTTTGGAAAGGGGTCGGATTATCGTTATCGATACTTCAAAACAAAACGATTCAGTGACAGCTTCTTCAGTCGATGTCAGTTTGGAAATAGAAGCTTCGGTAAATTTCAAAGGTGTAACAGCTTATTGTATTTTAATACATGATCGTGTTGGAGAATATATACCATTAACTAGAGATGTAAGAAAACTTGTATAGTATTTAAGAAAAACATAAGCTATATAAATATTATATCTTATACATTGTAAAAAATACAAATTGTACAGTTTTAATAAAAATATAACTAAATTTCTTGTTTTTATTTTAAAAAATACGAAACAATTTTTTTTTTTTAAAAGTAGTCAAATCAGAGAGGTCAAATTTTTCAGTTTTATGGGGCGCTTTGCTGTGTGATAGAAGGAACAAATATATACTACTTATGATAAAGACAATTAAAATTAAATAATTCCAAGGTGTCATATAGAAAATAACCTAAGGAATCGTAGTCACGTTTTCAACATTCCGTTGAATGTAATATTCCTATGGACTATGATTTTGTCCGGTTTATCGGTCAAAAACGTTTTATTTATCTGCAAAAACGACAGTACCCCTTCCACTTAAATGGGAAGTGTATTTGTTTTTCTCGACTAAAATTTAGTGGCCGTTATAATATGTATAACAAAGTTTTAATTTGTATTACAATTGGAGAAAATTTGGAAATCCGTTACCAATCCACAATATTGGTTTCTAATGGACAAACAAAATACAATTTTTTCAGTTGTTATATAGGATTATAGGTATTTCAATATTTGTGTAGAAATCCTAAATTGAAAACCTGCAACATATTTAAAACTACTTACTAACTGCAGAAATGAACGGAACGAAAAAGCAATAATTCAAATTTTCATTTTCATTACGACGTATACCGTATAGGTACCTATTATAATTATTTTGAAACTTATACATATTAATTAGCGAGAACGGATATGTACTATAGTTATATATACATATATGCACGATTTATTATGTATGACCGACACAAAATATAAGTATATTATCGTGTTTCTCCCAATAATTTTTAATAAATTGTTTTGTTTACGCCGTAAAAGTTAAAATCTACTAATATTTTTAATGGGACATGCAAAATATCATATTCATTAAAATGTTGGTTATTTCAAATAAAATTATAAAATAGTTTTCGTTAAATTCAAAACTACAGAGTACAGGTATTTATATCCGGTCAGTAAAACGTCAATTTAAACTTTTTATGTTCTTCTGGGAAACATAAATAATATAGTTAATCGTAATAAGTAATACGAGTAAACAATTTCGGGAAAATTCAATTTATAAAATAGAAATACTAAGTTTACTATTCCGATTATAGAATTATCCGAAATAAACTTAGGTACTGTAAATACTGCAATTAAATAGAAAAGATAAAATAGAAACATTATCATTGTAAATTCAATTATAACTATTGCGTTGATTATCTGTACGTTATAATGACGTATGTAATATAAGTGAATATGGCGACGCTCCCAACGAAGAAAGATTCAATTCACTTTTTATCATTTTCCTGTTTATCCACTTATCGTGTTACGTTTTTTTCTTATTTTCCCACGAAAATGGCAGTATTTCAAACCTAGCAAGGAGCCTAGAAAAGTCGAATATTATAACCTCCCAATATTGACTTTTCCGCCGAAAACAGTCGTATTTTTAGTTACGTCTTTTTAAAATAATAATTATTTCACGAAAAAAACCGTAACTCAGTTTCTATTTTTAAAACTAGTAGAAATAAGATAATAACCATGTTATTATTTTTTGATAAAATATGTTGTACTATTAATATTTAAAAAAAAGGTTAGTTTATAATATTATACATTTTTTTCTGTAGATTAATTTTTTCTTGTCTAAAAAGGACGTCTTGAGTTACGTTTCGTCTAATTTTATTTTCGACGAAAAAGGACGTAAGTCAAATAAAATAATAAAATATGGCTTAAGGTAAAATACAGAAAGATATTTAAAAAAAAAAAGCAATTTTCTGTTTAATACTAAAAAATAAAATTATTAAAAAAAGCTAAATATTAAATAATTGAAATGCAGAATAAGAATTTAACTTAGAAAACTTTAAACTGCTCTCTTGAAAAATGATGAAAAGTGAATTACGTCCTTAACCTAACCTACCCGTCCTTTGTTAGGTAGGTGTCTTTTTTTTTGGAGTGGAACAAGGAATGGTTTTACAATGATGTTAATTTTTTTTTTTATTCGGAGCGTAGCCAGGGATCTATTGATTTTACTATGATATGTTTTTTTTTTGTGTCTATGAGCTACTTTTCTTCCAGAAAACTTGCTCTGAAGTATCAAGTATACCTTTTCTGTAAGGTAATTTTATCTAGTTGGTTAGGTTCTTTTTTGTTTGATTTTTTTTTCAAATTTAACAGGTTCATTATGTGTCGTATTAAGTGGTCAGAAAAAAAAAATTTTATACAGTTTTAAAATTAAATTTTAATGAAAATCGTAAATATTACGGCCTTTCAAAACACGTGTTACCAAACTCCGCTCAGAATCGTATTTTTTTCGCAATGATTAATCGTTGCATACAGATATACCTACTTTATATTTTCCTTCTATCTTCCCAACCTTTCACCTTCAACACTGGCCCACCCATCGTACGAAATAATGTCTGTTTGTTTTTAATAAACCTATCTATACTCAAGTTTTTCAATTCGAAATATGAAACTAAATTTATTGACAACTTTCATTTTTTTTCTAGTGTATTACGAATATAATATGTAATATGTTCACTATTGATTTATAAAATTCGTTCTTTTAGTGGGTACGTGATATTCTGTTATAACGTATAAAATGATGGATGTTGGAAATTTGATAGTAAGTATATATTGGATATACTATATATTATTTTCCGTGGAATTAGACCCACAAACCATCAAGGTTAAAGACAAGAAGTCCGCTAAATGGAACCCTCGAGCATTGAATGTTTAAAAGCTTTACAATCCCACGACTACGGTAAAAGTTAAATATTCAGTATACGAAGACTTAAAGACAGTGACCTATTTCCAAATGTTTATATTAATAACCTCTTTTCAAATCTCTTTTCATTCGAAAAGTATATATATTTATTATTTTTAACGCTATTTTTTCGATCAGAATACGATATAGATATATTATTTTTTGACGATTTGAAGCTCTATTTGGTACGCTTAACAAAATAATGTAACAATTTAATTTAAGTATTTGAACGAAAAATTTTAGGTAGCAAATTTTTCGTCAGGTTCCTATAATTGTTATTATTTATGAGACGAATATAAATGTATTCTGTAGTTTTGTCTAAATTACATTTTACTATTCTGCCATGCGTATTGTGTGTATAATACAAATTTTATTATACATGAGTTGTGACATATTAGTTTTTATTTATATTTTATTTATTAATTACTATTTATTAATTTTTTTCCTAACCATATTATTAGTGATAAATATATACGAAAAAAACATAAAATAAATGTACATAATATATTTGGTTATAAGTAAAAAAATTAAGTATTATTAGCAATCAAATATTTTAAAAATGCTAAAATATGTTAATGGGCGTGTAGAAAATGGGAAGAGAGGAAAGATTAAATTAATTTATATATTTACTTAATAATCAATATTAATAAATTTTGCAAATAAAAAACGATTCTGAGCAAATTATTATTTATATTCGTATTGTTTCGCTTGTTGCCAAGGCAACCCAAAAATCATTGACAGTTACACAATAACCTTATTTAAAATTGCCAGTTTTCCCCATTTATTAAGAAAAATACAAGTCAAATACATATCAAAAGAGGCGACCTAGAATAATGAAGACGAGTACAGTCACTGTTATAAGTTAATGGTTACCTATAAGCAATGATAAGCTATTACTAACGAAAAAATGATTCTGAGCGCAGTTCAGTTGATAATGATGCTTTGTCAACAATATATATGTTAAATTATGGTCAAATAATTAAATAGGCATTATATATTTTCTTTAGTAATATTTGTTTAATATTGTATCGATTTTCTCGTTTTCCCATGTTTTTCCCGGATTATCACATTTGCTAAGAAAATTCTTGGAAAAATTGAAAAATGACCTCCGTAAAGTACCATCCCAGTCAGATATATTTTCAGAAAATCTGCTATAATTGTAAATCGGCGTAAAATTGCTTTTAGAAAAGTTGTACACAGAAAAAAAACGACCATGGTATTTTTACTAATAAAATGTAATCAAATGTAGTATCAAATTCCTTTATAAAAATAATTATTACATTAAACTCAATATTTTTTTTTACCACAAAGTAACATTTAATGAACCTTTTCTTAAATTTTTTGAAGCATTTTTGTTAAGTCTAACAATTTTACCACCGAGTACCTATCGAATAAAAATTACGTATACAACTCGAAAAATTAAAATGTCTTTAAAAAGCTTAAAAATAGCTCAAATGTTTTGAATATTTTATCACGTCTAGAAAAGGCAAATATGTTTCCTTTACAAATTTAAAGTCTCTACGAATATTTTTAACTGAATTACAACAAATAACAAAATTGATAAAATAATAAAAGCGTTATTTTCGTAAATTTCCCGTATTTCTTACGTTTTATCCTGGTTTTTCCCAGATATTAGAAAAACCGCTTGGAAAATCAAAACATTTTGCCACGTTTATATGTCTGGTAGAATTTTTGTACACAGGATAAAAAAAAAGTAAACAACCACCTAAAACTAATACATTCTTCGCTACACTCAGAATCTAAAACGACCTCTTCAATGTACCAAATAGATCAAAATTGTATAAAAAAGTTCTTATAAGGTTTTTGATTTGAGAATGATTTGTGGTAGAAAAGTTGTTTACAGAAAAAAAAAAACACATTATAGTAAAACTAATATATTTGAATACTTGTTTCGTGTTGTAGTTTATTAATTTTATTTTCTTGTTTTGTTACTTTAAATATTTTAATTGATAATGTTTTTTGGATACAATAGAGTTTTAATATGTTGTATTGAAGTTAATTTTTAATGTATGCTTGCTATATCTATATAATATTTACTTACTACCTACGGTTTTTATAAATGATTATAAAATAGTTACTCCGGATATTTTAAACGAACATCATATTATACGAGTAATATTCTAACAATACGACTTATTAAGAGTTCAGATGTATACGTATACATGTAGCTTATTCATTAAATGAGCTGATTTTAAAATACTTACATATTATATCATACAATAGTGTGTTACTCATATTGTTGCTAGAGTTGTTCTTTGACATAAATATTAAATATTATTTGGAATTGAAGTTGTTTTACGACCCGTGTGTCGTACAGGAAATGGTTCGTTGACATCTACTAGTATAATAATAATAATAATAATAGTATCACTCATCCTCGAGCGATCCTGTTGATAAAATGACAGCAACTCGATTCGTATTCACGTTTAAAACAATAGATAATACAAGGTACTCTGAACATAATATTTATGTCGTGATTTTTTTACGTGTGCAATGACAAAGAAACGGCGAAACGGTCGTAGTCCAAAATCGATACACAAATCTAGAGATACAGAAAATATTCGTAATATTTTAATTTTGTTCGTGTTGATTGGAAGGTTTCACGGCAAGAGCTGTTAGTAGCCGAAAAAAACAATTATTATAATTTATAATAAATTTACAATTTTAAAAATTTATAATTTACAATATCCATATTAGGTACGAAATAATCTTAATTTTATACATTTCGTTGTCATCGAGATCGAAGGTGTTCTCGATTGTTTTCTAATCCTTGTTGAAATAATGCTAACTATAGAGGATATCGAGGGGGGGGGGGGTAGATGACAATTAGTGGATCGTCCCCTCTCTTGGGATTTTCGTCACCACTATGTATTATTATTTATTACTTACAACTTAATGCTTAATAATGTATAATGTATAATGTTATATAATGTATATAAGTATTGTATGATCAAATCATACAACTTTTGATAGTTTTTTTTATTGTTAGTCAATTAAAATGATAAGAAGTCATGCCCGTATTTTGTTATCATCAATTAAATCGCTTATTATCAATGATTTTAATAAGCAACCATTGAACTATTGATATAAAATTAAATGTTAACAACAGACTGCAGCTACAGCTGATTGCTGCTTTAATTGCGTCGAAGCTCTACGGTCAAAATTAGTTTCAAATACTATAGAGCTACTTATAAACCTACGAAACTTTTTGCATATTTTATAAAATAATAATTATACCCGCACATCGGTGTGTCATTGATTTTTTTTACGGATATCAATTATCAACGGTTCACATTTGTATTGTCGTTGTTGCTGTTTAGATGTATAGTACGCATTGTATTTTAGTTCATGATATATTTGCTGTAATATTATATTATATAGTATTTATTATAATATAATATAGTTATTAACAATTAACATTATTTTAGTATGTCGAAACGTAAAGTATCTTCATATTTTACCGCAGTTAACATTGATTAAAATAAATTATAATAGTTTCTTAAATGATCGTTTAATAAGAGTTCAGCCGAAAATTAAAAAAATAGAACAATCAAAACATGTTGAAAAAGAACAATGAAAGGATTTATAAACATTTTTAGAAATTAAAACCAGCATAATGTTCGTGTATTTCGTTCAGATTAGAGTAATAGGATTCCAAAACAAATAAAGGGAAGGTATCACTGTTTATTTCCTAACCGATAGGAGTATTACCCCTCTCCTCTACCCGCAGAAAAATGTGTACTACCTCCTGAAAATGTAAGGCATTACTACACAAACTACGTGTTGACGGGGTTTTGTTAAAAGGGTGTCTATCAAATTTCATTTTTTTTCAGGAAGCCAATAAATTGCTTTGCAAAATAAACAGCAAAACAGTTTTTTAATGATTTTTCACGTTTGTGTCGCGTTATTTCGACGTGCGTCAAATGGACGCATGGCATATTTTGACGCACGCCATTTTGACGCAACTACATTTCAACACATTTTTTTTTTAAATTATTATTATTGATTTATTTTTCAAAATAAATGTATCCTAATATGCAATCTTTAGATATGTCTAAAATATTATGAATTTATACATTTATTTTGAAATATAAATTAATAATAATAATTTAAAAAAAAAAAAAATGCGTCGAAATATGCTTTGTGCTTAATTATCTCGCGTCAAAATGACGTAGACTCGTTTCATGTTTATCAAGGAAAACAATAAAATTAATCCTACACATAATACCCTGTACACAAAGTATACATGCATTGAATGTGGTATACGCCCTTTAAGCAAATCAGTGTTGATTTAATTATATTTTAAAAGGGCACCCGAATATCTTTTAGTCAACATTACCAACTTAATTTTCTGTATTTAAATATGCCCTTTTAACAAAATACCATCGATGTGATATGATATGTGAAATGAGTTATGGACCGATGATGAGTCATCTTGTTGACAATGAAATAAAAACAATATGGTGTTATATAAATAATCGTATTTTAACCAGTTACAAAAAAAAAGTCATCATAGAATGTATTTTCTTAATTTTTTCTCAGACGTAAAATTTCCTAGATCCAGTTTGTTTTCAACATCTTTATCTAGGGGTGGATTTAGGATTTTCTTGAGCAAAGGGGATATCAGATATATTCATTAATTTTATAATTAAATCAATTATTATAATGACCTAAATTATAAAATATTTATCATATTATCATAAAATTGCAATCGTTTTATCAGTAATCTGTATTAATTGTTAACATATAAATAATAGTATAAATTTATTATTAAAAACAGAATAGAACATAAAAACTGGGTGCTAGACCAATTTGTATGTAATCAGTGATAACTTATCGCAATATTGCTTTATCAGATTTCCTATTAGTTCTTTTTATTATGATCGGTCTAAGTAATAATTTCTTTACTGAATCCACTAAGAAAACTTAATTATGATACTTCAGTCAATTCGTCAGTCGTTACAAATATAATGTTGTATAATAGATAAAGGTGAAAATCGTTGTGTATGACTGCATCAGCTACATGAGTAACAGCAACCAGAAAAAATAATTATACTAATTACCGATATTATGAGTCTTGTGTTAAATTTCCAAGTAGTTTTTTTTTGTCCAAACTATTTTAATATTTTAAAAAACCATATTTTCATAAAACCAAATTAAAAATAAAAACCTAGAAAAAATCAAATATATAATAATTAGCTGAAATAAATGCGTTAGAATGTTTTAAATATTTTACCACTTTGATAAAACATTAATATAAGTAGTATTTTGTGAAATTTTGAGATCTCTACTATTGTTTTTATCCAAATTACATTAACAATATAAAATGTAAAATAATAAAACCGTATATTTTTAAATTTTTCCAATTAGTAGTATTAAATTTCAAGGCAAATAAAAAAAAAAAAAAAAACGATTTTCCTAATGCATCAACAAGATCCAAAATGTTAGAATAAGTTTTCTTCCTGTGTGTTTTGATTCGACAAGATTTCTTGTAAAAAAGTTTTTTATAGACGTAAAAAAAAATAATTACACTTCAAAGTAAAACCAATATATTCTTTGTTCTGCAAAAATCTAAAAACTTATACAAAAAAGTTGAACTAAACGTGTTCGAAATTATATTAATATTTTAGATAAATACTAAATAATTATTTTATTGTATTTATTTAGTATGACCTATGGACTTTATCATAGTTTTACTTATAGACAGGTACTTTCATTAATTTTTACAATTTTCCCAAATTCAATATAAAATATATAGAAAAAAAATATTTTTAATATATATTATACTTGTGTGTATTATTTATTTTCCATTATGTCACAGGAACGATTTATTTTTATTTTGGACGTAGAAAACAGAGGGCGAGGCGTTGTGACGTTGTCAGTACAAATAAAATAGCTTTGAATTTATCTTCATACAGTGAAAGAACGATTTATTAGTTTAATCGTTTCCAGTGCGTCTTGCGTGTACACAATAAAACACATATTTATGTACATTGCACCGATCAACAAATATAAATTTAAGCACTCATTGTCTTAGTTAAAAAGGAAAGAGGCCGTTTTTGATCTAGTTGATGTATTGCGGAGATCAATTTTTTGATTTTCATTTTAATTTTCATAATTTATGGAAAAAATCGTAAGAAAAACGGGAAAATATTCATTATTTTAGTGTAATTTATTATCTAGTATAATAATTTCGTAATTTGGTTAAAAATGATCGTAGCGATCTGAAATGTTCACATTATAATACTTTAGCCTGACGTGGTACAATTTTACCGTATAAAACATTTTGGTGTATGAAAGTGAAGTTGTATTGCGTGATGGTCGTTGTGGTGGGACATCTGATTAGTATTTAATGATCCGGCGATAATGATCCAACCACGAAAAGGATATTAAACGCTGCCGAACAAGGATGAGGAATTACGGATTTGTGTGTGTCGTCGTCATCGTAGGCTGAGAGCAGGATTTAACCGGAACGATGTCTCGGTCGGTCGTGTCTACCGTGGCGTATGTACCTACTACCTTTAGACAAACTATGGATATTAGAACTAGTTCTAATGTCCATGACATAAACCCATCTTTGGAATTGAGAATCAGAGGTTTGATGGCTTTTTTTCTTTATATAATCACTCCATTGTGTAGTCGTCGACGACGTTGAGACGTAATATAGACTCGCATTATTAAAATGCACTAGCATTGTAAATGACAGGTATAATATTATATACAAGTCCGGTATCATCCACTTTCAATTATTACCTACAACAAAATCGAATAATTAATATTATACTAATATATATTTATTTATTACTAGCTGAATAACCCGGCTTCGCCCATGTGCAATTTTTTTATGTTACAACTTTTATTTATCAGTTTTTATATTAGGTACAGTTATAGGTTGTATTTAGATGCGTCTTGACCCGGCGTTGTCCGTGTATTGTAACAACCAGACAAATTTTATATTTTAGTATTTCAAAGACAATTCTTAACGAAAAAATATTGAATTATAAATATATATTCTATATTACTATAGTATAGATAGCTGAAAAAAAATGGTTTTGAATCGTTTTACGTTTTATTATTATTCGTATTATTCTTATTATTACTATTGTTTATATTATTGTTATTAAGAGGCATAATTGCACAGAAATAGCGTTGCAATTAAATTAAATTTGTTGAGCGTTGATCATCAATCAAAATTATAATGGAATTAATAAACAATATTCAGTAAATGCCGTAAATAAGTTTTGGCCATAGATACCACATAATCAACAAAAATAATAATTATATTTACTTTGTTATCAAGGTAACCCAATCAACAACTATACCACAAAATACCAAAATCTCTGTGTCAGCTATCCTTTAGGGGTTGAATTTTAGAAATTTCAATAGCTGTAAACTTTCTCTGGATCAGGCGAAACATTTTGCGAAATGCCCCATTAAAATCGGTCTAGTAATTTTTGAATCTACAAAGGACATACAGACAGACATTCTTTTTTATACATAAAGATATAAAATTTAAATTCGTCCATTTGCCTTGTCTATCGTTTCAATCTGTAAAATCTACAGTTTTATCTCGATAAAATGTATTGTATATATGACATTCAAGACTATAGGGAAGTCATTGTCTACTTTTTGTCTCAATATTTAATCCATAAAGAGTAATTCACAACACTTCTTTTAAAAATTAAAGAGTTTTGAGCGGTTGGCTTATACCGTGGAAAGTAGATGTGAACTATTATAGAGACGACACGTCCCTCGATGATGATATTTAATATAAAAAAAAAACGGACATACTTCGCACATGGATGCAGCCACTGTTAAAACTGGTAGAAAGTTGGAAAAGGCAAGATACAGAAGAGAATTTAATGTATATCTGTAAGCAACTCTAAATCATTCCTAACGAAAAACCGATTCTGAGCGCAGTTCAGTTAATATTAATGCTTTGTTTACAATATATAATATGTCATATTATGGTAAAATAATTAAATAGATATTATATATTTTTTGTAATAATATTTATTTAACATTGTATAGATTTTCCCGTCTTTCCTATGTTTTTCTCCGGTTTTTCACATTTGATGAGAAAATTCTTGAGAAAAATGACCTCCTAAAGTACCTTCCTAGTCAGATTTACTTTCGGAAAAAATGCTATTATTTTAAATCGGTACAAAATTTATTCCTAGTAGAAAAGTTGAACATAAAAAAAAAAGGTTATACAATTTTTTTACTTATACCTATATAACGTAAATTTTCCGTTTTCCGACATTTTATCCCGGTTTTTCCCAAATATTATGAAAACCGCTTGAAATATCAAAAAATGACCTCGCTAAATTACCATGGAGATAAAATTTCCTTTTACAAAATAGGCTACACTTGATACATCAGGGCAAGATTCCTGGTAGAAAAGGTTGCACAACAAATCGAGGGGTATTTTGTGATTAATAGTCCGAGCGAGCGATTGTTTAGGTAAAACGGGAAAAAAATGCAAACAATTTGTTTTGAATCTTGGGTTTGAACTTGCGATCTCTAGAATGTCAATAAGAATGTACCCCTATTAGACTACGACAAACACATAATAAGTATTTAACTAAGTTTATATAGTTATTTAACATAATATATAATATCCGTATAATATCAAAACTTCAAAAATCTATAATTTCGAAACTATGTCAGTTCGATTTATTCTTACTTCACCACCGTTCTTAAATCGAAAATATACATATTATGTTCAAAACAAAAAATTGAAAAATTAGATTTGTTTCACATAGTTTTTTACTCGAATGATTTTCGTCAAAACTTGATATTAAAATTCTTTTATAAAAAAGAAATACTACATTAAACTCAAAATTTGTTTTACTTCACAATAATACTTAATGAACCTCCTGTTAAATTTCCATGCATTCCTGTTTAGTCTAGAATTTGTAGAATTCGTGTGCACAGTATAAAAAAAACATCTTTGTAAAATCAATACATTCTTCGCTACATTTATAATTTAAAAAGGTCACAGGATCAGTAAGTGTTGGGTTCTGCAGATTCTTATTTTTAGGAAAAGTGCACTAATCGGTGAGTTCCTTGCTTAAATTGCGCTACAATAGTTTATTATGAAAGAAAAATAGGTTCTGTAACTATAATTTCATTATTCATTATCATTTTGGACTTTTGAAGTAGGATATTCTCTAAAAATACTAAACAATAAATACTCTTAAATCATTTTTCTTATAGAATTACAGACAATATTGACACTTAAATGTTTTTATCATTTATTAAATTTAGTTATACCTTATGACAGGGGATACTTATGTTGTAAATTGTTTTATTAAACATTTGTGTAGTGAAAAATAACTTCTAGATAGTGTTTATTCTTATCTTCTTCCTGGCATCATAAAAATGTTCATGATTTTTACCACTACTACTACCACTGCCTTCCATTTCTGTCGATTGCGCACCATGTCTTGTTTATTCATTGTATTTATTTCTATTTATTGTTTAATTCAAAATAACATTTTTTTTTTAAACGAAATATTTTCAATACGTTGGTGAATTTTTTTTTGTGTATACTGAATTATTTCGTAATTTATCAAATTTATTTCATTACATAGATTTTGTTTTGTTTTTTTCTTATTGTTAAACGATCTCAGTTCACTAAATTTCACCATCATGTTACATAAATTAATTAAAAATAATTTTGTATTAATTAAAGATTAGAAAATATAATAATATATTATTTTAATGACATTTATAAGGATTTTTTTTAATGTTCCTATAGGATTATCTAAAAATAGTAAATAGAACATGACGTATTAACATAAAGAAATACTGCATTTATCTAACGATTGTTTTTTTTTTCGCTTATTGTGACGCGTCATTGAAGCTACAATAATAACATAACTGTAATCGAGTTCATTTAACATCATAATATTGCTTAATATTTTCCCTTTTTTAATTTTAGCGCATCATATTTTCTATTTTTTTTCTCTTATCAAATATAGTTTCCACCGCGATTCTGGTCTTATTTTCTATAATGTTGGTTCCACTGTGTAATCTTAGCAAGCGAAAGTACAGATTTTCCGGTTTATATGAATAATACATATAGTTACCTTGGTAATTAATAATAATATTTTATGTATATTTTGAATAATTTTAGTTCTTCGGAATGAGATAAGCCTATATGTTAAATAACTGCAAGTAAAACGATTTATGTTAAAAAAGTTCAATATATATAGAAACTATATCTAAATTATCATATTAGCTATATACCTATGTATGCGGTGTAATAATTAGAACATTATGTTTAAGGAAAGAATGTTTCGACGATTCGTTAATTATAGAAAGTTCGTATGTAGGTAATAGAAATAATTCTTGTCACCGTGTAAATTTATAGTTTTCTATAAAAATATTTATTCAAATAGAACATTGTATTATTTTCTTTTCGGAGAAATTCAATACCAACTTTAACCATTACCTAAAATTCAATATACTAGTTTTTATTTGCAATTTTAAAAATAACTTTATTATAATTAGGCCATGGGTTAAAGATCCCTGTTCTATACACCTTATTCTCTTTTACTTCTCCTTAAAAGATTGGCACACTCATCGGTAATATCAGACTTTTATATAATTATGATAGGTAGTACCTATAAGTTGTAGGTTTTTAATATGTTAAGCACTGACACACTCATATTTATAAGTATAGTTCTAAAAAAAAAAAAAATTAAAATTATAAAATATTATACACAGTTTTGTCGTGACCAACTGAAAAAATAAATTATTTATTCATAATAATATACCTTTTAGACGTGATCGACCAAAAAAAAAAGAAAAAAGAAAGACGGATATACTTCACACGATGGGTGAATAGGGGTGTCATTTGGTGGGGAAGAGGGTGTGCGGTTTCACCCCTTATTTTTAAAATTGTGTTATCAAGTAAATAATTGAGTAAACAATAAATGTACTGCGTATTTTATAATCTACCAGACATACCTGATACCTAATAAATACAGATGTAGATAAACAACTTAAAAGGCCAAATGTTGTATACCTTATTGCTACTAAATGGTCAACGGTCGCTTTTAAGAAAACCTTGAAAATTATTTCATTAATAAAAACTTTACCAATTACAATGGAATCAAATGAAAGATACTACACCACCTTTCAGAAAAAGGTACTACATTCGAAAATCGGAGCAAAAATTTTGTTAGATAAGTTGTCCACAGATAAAAAAAGATGAACCCACTTCGTACGTGGATGAATCACTGTTGTTTATGAGAAGTTGGAAAATTTAATGTATACTCAACGATTAATCATTCCTAACGAAAAATGAATCTTAGCGGAGTTCGGTTGAGTGTTGCTTTGTCAACAATATATATGTCTTATTATTATTATGGTAAAATAATTACATATGCATTAAACATATTCTTTAATAATATTCGTTTAGTATTACATCTATTTTCCCGTAGTAATAATAATAAAAAAAAAAAAATAAATAAACATCTTTGTAAAACCAAAACATTCTTCGCTACACTCAGGATCTAAAATTGTATGTTTAATGGTATTAAATA